TATCACCTATGCACGTAGTTAATAAGTCAATATTGACTACACGAATTTGCGAGAACGGGTTGCACTACTCAACCCGTTCTCGCAAATTCTCTGCACATAATAGCAGCACACGCTATACTAAATATGTTACGGTTCCATTTCAGTTTCTGAATGCATTGATAAATTGAATTTTCATAGATTTTGATTTATTTTAATTTTGATTTAATTATTTTGTGTGACATTGCATTGAAATTGAGCCGTGTTGTTTACCATACCATTCATTTTGTGAGTATAAGTATAGATGCCACACCTGTGACAGGTAAAAACATTCTTTTTTTAAGAAACAGCCATCTGTTGCTCGTAAGAGCAACACATGCTATACTAAATATGTTACAATTACATTTCAATGTTTCCGATTGCACTGACAAATTGAATTTTCATAGATTTCGATTTACATATTTTCATTTTGATTTAATTATTTTGTGACGTTGCGTTGGAATTGAGCTGTGTTGCTTACCATACTTATTTATTTATTTATTTATTTATTTATGCATATACAAGAATGTACATAAGGAATGTGAGGATACAATTATGGTAATTACAGTCTTGTAAAGCCACTAGCACGCGCAGCGTTTCGGGCAGGTCCTTAATCTAAGAAAATTTTAAGGAGGTAAATACTTGCAAAATTTATAGACAAAAAAATGATAACAGATTACATGGAATGAAAAAAAAAAAAAGATGAGAGAAAATTATAGGTACAGTATATTAAAGCACATAGGTAGCTATGATTGATTGCAATGACAGCTTAAAATGGTAGTTGACAACAAATTGGTAGGCACAATACAGCAGAAACAATATAAGATTGATTGCAATGACAGCTTGAATGGTAGTTGACAAAAATTGGTAGTCACAATACAGCATATGGCTAGCACATAAAAGAAGACAGCAATGAACACAATGATAAGGTTGTTTGATATTACATAAAAATTTGGAGATTGGGTACCACTAGGTACAGAGCAAATTTAAAGCTCAGTGTAGGAAACTAAATAGATGAAGTTAGGTACTTTTTGGTTTTGCTTTTAAATAAGGCAAAAGTTTTACAGTTTTTCAATTCACTAGGGAGTGAGTTCCATAGACTAGGTCCCTTAATTTGCATAGAGTGTTTACACAGATTAAGTTTGACCCTGGGGATATCAAAGAGATATTTATTTCTGGTGTGGTGATAATGGGTCCTATTACATCTGTCCAGGGAGAGTTTCAGAGCATGGTTTGCATTTAAGAACAGGGTTTTGTAAATGTAGTTGACACAAGAGAATGTGTGGAGGGAGTTAATATTTAGCAAGTTTAGAGATTTAAACAAGGGAGCTGAGTGTTGTCTGAAAGCAGAGTTAGTTATTATTCTGATAGCAGATTTTTGCTGTGTGATGATGGGCTTAAGGTGGTTTGCAGTGGTAGACCCCCATGCACAGATACCATAATTAAGATAGGGGTAGATTAGTGCATAATATAGTGAGAGGAGAGCAGAGTTAGGAACATAATATCTGATTTTGGAGAGTATACCAACTGTCTTAGAGACTTTCTTAGTTATGTGTTGAATGTGGGTGCTGAAGTTGAGTCTCTTGTCTAGGAATAGGCCAAGAAACTTGCCATCATTTGTATTACTGATGTTAATGTTGTCTATCTGTAGCTGAATTGCATTTGATGATTTGCTTCCAAATAAGATGTAGTAAGTCTTTTCGATGTTTAATGTTAGTTTGTTCGTTGACATCCATAAGTGGACTTTTTTTAATTCATTATTCACAACATTATTTAGTGTATGTGGGTTGAGGTTTGAGTAGATAAGGGTAGTATCGTCAGCAAACAATATAGGTTTGAATACCATTCATTTCGTGAGTATAAGTATAGATGCCACACCTGTGACAGGTAAAAAGATGCCTTTTTTTTTTAAACAGCGCCATCTTTTGCACGTAAGAGCAACACACTATACTAAATATGTTGCAATTCCATTTCAATGTTTCTGATTTCATTGATATATTGAATTTCATAGATTTCAATTTATTTTCATTTTGATTTAAATATTTTGTGTGACATTGCATTGGAATTGATCTGAGTTGTTTACCATACTGTTCATTACGTGACTACAGTTTATTTTTTATTTTTTCATTGTTTTTATTTCGTTTATTTTAAGTGTTTTTTCTTATATTTCAGTGATGGGAACATCAGATCATTTGGGAATGCATTACACGAGGGAGTGGGGAGGATGAGGGGACAGGGGAGGGGGTAATGGTGGGGAGGACGAAAGACGGGGGAGTGAGGAATGGTTGGGAGGACGAGGGGAGGGGGACAGTGGGGAGGACTGGGAAACAGGAAAAGTTTGCTGTGGCCAGGTACAGCTAGTATTATATAATACTGTATTAACATTTTAAGTACTGTACCTGTTTATAAGCAAATAACAGCTTGTACTTTTGTACAGCTACAGTACTGTAATTATGCATTGTGTTTTAGGCACATCTTACACCTAACATAGACTATAACTTCATGTTATATTATTGTAATTCACTGTCGTGCCTATAGTGTTAAGTCATTCTACATTTTACTGCAATTGGGAGACTGTCTCCTTATTTATATAGAATTTCTACTTTTGTTGAGTTGGACTCTTGGATTATCAAAGCAATATTCAGTATACAATGAAGTACTACAGCAGTACTTATTTCTGTGTAGCCTGTTTAAGTTTTGTTACAGTCTCTGAAACGTATCTGAGGTCAGGATTGATCAGCATCATAAATACCCTGTTGCACTTTTTATTTTAGCTGGGTTAAATCAATTCAGTTATCTAGGTTTAGAACACTCACATAATCACAGCTTTTTAAACCCAAACATGATCATGTAAATTATTTACAGTATTGTACTAATAATTATCACTCAGCCACAAGGTAGAAAGTAATAAAATATATATTTTTTTTGCAAACAGGTCCTATTGTGTCAGCACTATCAAACAGATATGGGTGCCGTGCTGTGTGTATGGTGGGCGGTGTCATTGCGTCTTTTGCATATTTTCTCACCATCTTTGCAAATTCTGTTGAATATTTAATGCTTTTCCAAGGAGTCATAGGAGGTAAGACTATTTATAGACATACTGTACTGTAATTATAAATTAATGAAATAAACTGAAAAGCTGTTTTTACTTATTGTCATATTGTCACCTTTTATGTATGTGCAGTTGTTGTATGATTTAGCATGACACACTGAAATACTGTAGTCATACTGTATATATAAAAATCATTAAATGCATACAAAATGTTTTAATTATATGAAAATCCAAATTAATACAAAAGTTTTGTACATTATAAATTGCAAATTTGAATACTCTGTTGCTCAAGAGCTTGTTGCTTGGTCCATATATGAGGACTACTGAAGCCTTCTGTAATATTCCATTCTTTTCCTTCTCTTAGGACTTGGGTTTGGTCTTATCTACCTTCCTGCAGTCGTGTGTGTGGGCTACTACTTTGAGTCGAAGCGTGCCCTGGCAACAGGAATTGCCGTGTGCGGCTCAGGGATCGGTACCATGATCTTCCCCCCACTCCTCACATACCTCATTTCTGTCTACTCTTGGCAAGGAACTCATTTGCTCATTGCTGGACTAATTCTTAATTGCTGTGTAGGTATTTATTTATTTTATTTATCATAAATATTAGTTAAAATATTTTGATATACTGCATGTGTCATCTAAAACAAACATTAAAAAACAAGTTTAATGTTTGTTATTATATATTTATTATGAATTAATAATATTTCAGTTATTAGGCTGTATCAATATAGAGAATAATACTGTAATTCCATTAATGAAATACCATAGAGCAAAATGCCTTTATCTTTGTGACTGGATTACCATAAGCATTCCTTATTGATCCTTATTAATCTCATTTTGTACATAAACTACAATTACAGTATGTAGTTTATATAGTTGATAATACAATTTACTGTATATATAGCATATAGCTGTATTCATTTGCTCCTAAACCATGTACTGTACAGTACTGTACTAAAGCTAAATTAAAGCCTACTTTAATAATGTAAATGTTTACTGTATATAATTTAATTTAAACTTTATATTTTCAGTGCTTTGGTGCTCTTATGAGACCTCTAGAGGTCCCAAGGATGACGAAGAAAGATCTCATGCAAAGGCTGGCTGAGGAAAAGCGAGCACAATTAGAGGCTGGATCATTTTGCGGCTCCTCGTACATCACCTACACTCACCCCGATGGCACCGTGGAGAGACATCCTAGGGTGTGTGGGATCATCATTTAAAGAGCAGAGCTTGAGCAAGTGCTTGAGTAAGATTCTGAATGGAGAGAGAGGGAGAATGAAAGAGAATAGCAATGAGTGCAAATTAAATATCTCTCTTACATGCTATGATGTATACAGAGCTCAGTAGAATATCAGTAAAGAAGAAGATAAAGTAACAGAATACTGTATAAAAATCATACTGGTATATATGGGGGTTCAAATTAAGAATACAGTAATACAATTGATTTGTATAAAAAGGAGAATTGAATGAGCCAATGAGTGAGTTATGGTTGTTTGCTGATATTATTGAGTAAAATGTATGTTATAAAAAATATGCCATAAATACTTTATTATAGGTGAAAATCATAAATAAAAAAAAATCATTTAGTAAGGGAAATGGTGAATATTTAAAAATACAGTACAGTAGTTGAATTATATTTGAATAGAATCAGAGCTTAAGTTTTTAAAAGAAAGAACACTTTCAGAATAAAGATCTATGTTTTGTTTCAAAGAAAGTTTAGCCAATGCAGTGTTTCTGAGCTCTCTCTCTGGAGTGTACCTCAGATTAGCTTTCACTGTCTAATGTGGAGCCAATCATTCAGTCAGGTAAGTTGACATGCTAGGTGTCATTCCCACGGGGGGAACTTTTCAAACATCTTCACAAGGTCTTATTGGTACTAAGGAGCACCGGAAGAAATTATCCATCTAAGGTGACCTGTAGAATGCTCCTATCACACACACACTCCAAAATCATTTATAAATACCACCGGTAAATATTACTCAGAAATTTTTAAATAAGTAAAGGTGAGATGGGCAGTGCAAGATATTGATAAAATTAATGATGAAATCATATTTTGCCTTTTTAACTTTTTTATAAACTGCAAGTCATATTCATATTATTGACACAAGATTTATTTGGGTAAAAGTTTCCATGAGACATTTACAGTACACTGTGTAGAGGTAATAGTTTTAAAATATGCAAGTTATGTCAGCCCAAAAAATATATTAAAGCACAGGGATTCCACTGTATTGTGGCACTAGGAATAATATTTGATGATTTAAATGTGTGTATGTCTGTGCCATTTAAGATATCACAGTGAAACTGGAGTATTGTACAAACTACAGAGCATCTAGATGTAGAAAGAGTAACTAGCTATTGTCCTTTGGCTAGATAAAGCGAAGTATTTATTTTTTATTTTTTTGCAGAGAGCCATGAATCCAGACCCTGGAGTACATTCACATCTTAACCTTTCTGGATACCTTACTCCTGTACCAACAAGCCTAGCACTGCCTACCATTCAGGAGACACAAGGCAACACTCCACCTGATCAAGACTCTCCCCTAGCTGCATCGGAGAAGGAGAATACCCCCACATCTCCTAATCCTGCTAACCTTGAACATCCAGAGGGTTAGTATTTATGTCTTAGTACATGTTTCATTATATTACAAATATTTCCCTAATTTGAACGATGGAACTAATTTGAACGATGGCTAATACTGCTTCATCCAACTTGGTTCCCTCAAAGCATTTTCTCCTAATACAAGATGTGACTTATACAGAGATTAGGTCTGCTGGCTTTGAATCTTATCATTGGAATACTGTACTACTGTTTTTTCCAACAAGCTAAGTTGAGTCATCACAGGCCCAATTCCTGGGCAGGGTAAGATGTTTGGGTATGGTTCTTTACACCAAATACCTCTATTCACCTTGTTGTAAATACCTGTAGGTACCTAGGAGTTAGTCAACTGTTGTGGGTTGTCTCATCGCAATGCTCACCCATTGGCTAGAGGGACCTCTCAGTAATCCTAACATGCTTCCTATCCCCAACAGTGAGAAACCATCTCTGGATGTCATGCCAGTGAGAGACAATGCTTACTTGTTTATATATAAGCTATACCGACATAGCACATTAATACTTGATTGGTGATACTGCACTTATCTTTGATGCCCATGGGGATATACAGATTTTGATGGGATTCTCAATAATGACATAACATTGTTTTTAAGAAGTCTATAAATGCACTTCTTTATTAAAGTACATTATCTTAGGGCACTGGAAATATTGCTTCATTTGACCAAATTTACATGTGTACAGTATTGTATTATGGTCTTCAGGTGGAGATGAAAAGCAAAGTTTAGTGCAAGGAGCAGATGGTAGCGGTGTAACACATGTCTTACCATCTCGTGTTGGTGCGGTTCCTGCACCCACCAAGATGCCGCGCAACTGCTCCCAACCTGTTATGGCACTTGGCTCTTCTGGTTTAATTCCAAAAAATGGATCCGTCCCTAACTTTGAAAGAAGATTCTCTAAAGTTGAGTATGCAAGCCATATGAAGGTAGGTCCTTAATTTTTGTTGTCTTTGTAACTTTCATAGCTGGGTCTTGAGAACTGGGAAACCTTTTCTTAGTACAATGCTAATAACAATTTAATTAATGGAAACAATATATATTGCCAGTGGCGGCTCATGGACTATTAGAATGGAGGAACGTGTCACCACAAGCTTCACACAATGTATTATAATAATAATTAAAAGACATTAATAAACACACTTTGTTTGTACTGTTGACCTGTAGGGGTCGTCATTGTCAGGTTGGTGGAAGTATGGATGACTGATATGATGATAATATTACTTGAATAGAAAATCAGTGCATTGTCTCTTCAATGTAGCAAAATGGTTTATTATTTGTTCATTAAATGTCTTCATTTCTGTTATCAATATAAATGTATTGTTGGGGGGAGCCCCGTCAGCTCCCCGGAGCTATCCAGGGTGATATGAATGTATTAGACCCTAGCATCAGTCAAGTGCATGGAGTTCTAGGTCTACCAGGGACCACGATCCAGAACCTGCCCCCCTCAGGTCTTCTGAGGGGGCCTCATTGCGCGAGGAGCTATGGCTTATGAAACATTCTATGCCTGCCATCCACTGGGTCAGGCACCCAGAAAGCTAGGCGCCCCAAAACAAACCCCTATTCTGGTAAAAATATTGTTACTGAAAGCCGAACTAGTGAACAGAACTCCCTAAATGAAAACGAGCATGTTGTCACCACGTTACGGTACTGTCGTCTGCGCAACCCCCTCCCCGGGAGGGGAAAGGGGAAACCCCAGACCCTCCTGCTGGCTATCTACCCTTCAGTTCTATGGCTGATGTGATATTGGCAGGGTCGTGTGCCTCTGGCTCCAGCATATTACAGTTCTGTGCCTTGTAGTGAAGTGCTGTCTCTTCGGCGGTGTGCGAGCCAGAAGTAATTTCTTCAGTACTTTGATTGCATGTGCCTAGGGTTGCCTTCCCTAGGTAGTCAGTTAGTACCGCCTTTGAGGGCTTAGGGTTACCTTCCACAAGTCTCCTTGGGATCCACCTATACTGTGTCTTTTGCTGCTCAGTGATTGACTGCCCTTGTTCGTTGACCGACTGGGGTTCTCTTTTTTCCCGTCCTCGTACAAGTTGGATTTAGCGTCTACCCCTCCTCGGGTTAAGTTGCGTGATCCTGTGGGTTCTTTGGTCCCGTCTTTTCGAAGGTTTTTGTCCTCTTGCATCCGCCACATGTAGTCTGGGAGACCATTGCGGCTTACCTCCTGCGCAGCCCTGATTGTGCCGTCATAATGGATCCGTCTTCATTCATTTATGGATCTTCTTGTCCTTATTGGGTTCGTTATGAAGTTCCGGAGTCATCCTAGCTTACTGACTGCCTGTTTTTCTCGTTGGAGGCGTGGCATTCGTTCTGCCGGTCCCGCGTGCTTGAGTGGTGTGAGGCTCATACGGTTGTCCAGGTTTTCCTGGGGGGCGAGTTTGAGCACCCCAGTACACCTCCCCCCTGCCCTTCCTGGGGATGTCGGTGTGGTGCAGCAACAGGGGCAGGTTCCTTCCCTTTCAGCTGCCTTGGTCGCTGAGGACTTGTGTGCCCATGGTCTGTTGGCTTCGGTCATGTGTTTCTTTTCCCTTCTTGAGCTGTCCTCAGACTGGCTTGAGGAGGATGTGGAGGCGCTTGGGGCCTCTCCTGGGTTGGGTGTGTTGGCCTCGGCGATGCATGCGTCGGCAGGCAGTGCTTTCTTCCTCTGTGGAATCTGCTTGGGCCCTGGCACTTGGAAGATGTCTTCCAGTTTTTGCTGTTTGCAGAGTCTGCAGTTGTGCAGTATTTGCAGGCAGTCTCTTCTAGTTGCTGCCCTATGTCAGAATTGTTCGTTCTCCAGGGTGCCCATGTGGGGTCTTCTCGGAAGGGTCGTGCCAGGGCTTGGGGTTCCTCCCGTCGCGGTAGGCCAGCGGTGCCAGTTTCGAAGCTGGCGCAGCCTTCGGAACCATCTTTGTCTGGTCGGCGTGGTACTTGCTCTGTGCGGAGGTCGGGTTCTTGTTAGGGGCATCAGCCCTTTCATGGTTCGTCCCATTGACGGGGCCATGGTGGGGGGGGGGCTAGCTTTTTTTTTTTTATTTGAGATATATACAAGAGTTGTTACATTCTTGTACAGCCACTAGTACGCGTAGCGTTTCGGGCAAGTCCTTAATCCTATGGTCCCTGGAATACGATCCCCTGCCGCGAAGAATCGTTTTTTCATCCAAGTACACATTTTACTGTTGCGTTAAACAGAGGCTACAGTTAAGGAATTGCGCCCAGTAAATCCTCCCCGGCCAGGATACGAACCCATGACATAGCGCTCGCGGAACGCCAGGCGAGTGTCTTACCACTACACCACGGAGACTGTAGCTCTGAGACTGAGCTCTGTTAATTCATGCCTGGTCCCAAAATTTGTGGGCCTTTTGAGTTGTTTTGTGGGGCCTGTGGTGGCGTTGGGTGGCCCCTCCCTCAGGGGATTCGAGGTTGGTGGGGCAGACCTCTTCTCCTCCACTCTGTCGCGTCATCTTGGAATGGGTTCGGTTGGGCATGGCCAAATGACCTTGCACCTCCGGTGGGTTTCCTGCCTGTTTCCAGTTTCGAAACGGGACTGCGTGGACCTCAGATTGATTCTGGACTTGTCCTGTCTGAACCCATGGGTTTTTACCCCCTCCTTTTAGATGAATATTCTGTCTCAGGTTCATTTTCTCTTGGAGCCAGGAGCTTGAATGAGTGGTGGAATTCATTCTTCTGTCTGGCTCACAGCATGGTGCAAGAGTTCGCGGCGGTGTGGATGCGACTTCAGAGGGTGCGGGTTTGCTCGCAGATTGATGATCCGGCTCCATTTGGACTGCTCCCTGGTGGTTCATTGCTTGAACTGCAGGGGTTCGATACGGTCCTTGGCTTTTTGGGGCTGGTCACAAACGCCCTCTGGGTGAGACCCAGAGGCTCCCTGGCAACCCTCCATCCCTCTGGTCGGCGGTTTTCTTTTCGTGATTTTTGACATCCAGCCTTAAAGCTGCAGGATGAATAACCGGCGTGAGGATCTGGGGCTCCCCCTTCCGGGGAGGCGGGGATTGCTTAGACGACGGCTCAGTAATGTGGTGACATCATGCTTGTTTTCATTTGGGGAGTTCTGTCCACTAGTTCGGCTTTCAGTAGCAGTAGTTTACCAGAATAGGGGTTTGTCTTGGGGCGCCTACCTTTCTGGGTGCCTGACCTAGTCGATGGCAGACATAGAATGCTTCCAGCCACACGGGGGTTTCTATAGGCCATTACTCCTCATGCCTCTCTGAGGGAGCCAGGTTCTGGCTTGTGGTCCTCAGTAGGCCTAGAACTCCATGCACTTGACTGATGCCAGGGTCTAATATGTTCATATCATCCCGGATAGCTCCGGGAGCCTCTGGGTCTCACCCAGAAAATGGCATTTCATTACATTCAACGCTGGTTTTTATACATTAGGTGGTCCCTGCTACTCCTAAGGCTTCTTCAACCAATTTACGTGCCCTGGGTTCTCAAGAGATACGTCGCATGTCTGGTGGTTATGGCCGTGTAAATTCTAATAATTCATTTATTGATCCTGAAGTTGCTGGGCTTCGTCAAAGACGTGCTTCATCAGTGAGTACTTTGCTTATAATATTATGCACATCACAATGGTCATGAATATCAAACCTAAAAGGCTTCAGTAAACTAAACATTCATTCAATATTAAAATGATTGCAGTTATATATGATGTTGCAAATGATTATAATTATATTTAAAATGGTATACAACATTTAAAATCAGGAATGTAAGAATTGGTAAAGTGTATTAAAGAGATACAGCAGCTTCTTTCAGGGCAATTTAAAAGCCAGCAGATAAAGCTTTCAAAATGATGATAAGTATTTATTAGCAAAGATTACATTACATTTCATTATATTATTAAAAATTAAAAAGTTACAGGTACAAACATTAAAACATTGCATGATACCTCTTATGGGTCAGATTAATTAAAATTAATCAAGCTAGATATAAAAACTACCACTAAAACCATCCCACCTGTCCACCCCACACACCTGTCTACCCCCACACACCTATCCACCCCACACCTGTCCACCATCACACACCTGTCCACCATCACACACCTGTCCACCATCACACACCTGTCCACCATCACACACCTGTCCACCCCACACCTGTCCACCCCACACCTGTCCACCCCACACCTGTCCACCCCACACTTGTCTACCCCCACACACCTGTCTACACCCACACTTCTGTCCACCCCACACACCTGTCTACCCCACACACCTTGAGTTGACAGTTGAGAGGCTGGACCAAAGAGCCAGAGCTCAACCCCCGCAAACACAACTAGGTGAGTACACCTATCCACCCCCACTCACCTTTCTATCCCACAAACCCCTGTCTACCCCAACACACCTGTCCACCCCCACACACACCTTTCCACCCCACAAACACCTATCCACCCAACACACTTATCCACCCAACACACACCTGTCCACCTCACCCACCTATCCACACACCTGCCCATCCCACTCACCCATCCACACACAGTTGTTCACCCCACACACATGTCAACTCTACCCACCCATCCACACACCTATTTATGTATTTATTTATATACAAGAAGGTACATTGGGTTTGTGAGAATACATAGCATGGTAATTTACAATCTTGTAAAGACACTAGTACGCGCAGTATTCCGGGCAGAACTATCCTAACACATCTTCCCTCATTCATACACATCCAGTATGCTACTTGCCCTTGTCCTCCGCTTTTGACTCAATTCACACGTCTGCACCTGCTCAAGTCCACATCTTGTGACAATTCTACACAACTCGGATGGACTTTTACCAATCTCATGAGAGATAATAAAAATGGTAGATCATGATACAACAAGATTGTTGGTACTAGGTGAATTTAATATCAAGGTAATAGATTGGGAGGCTTATTTATCTGAGGGGCTGTCATATTTAGTGGCCTCAATGAGGACAGGTAGCTGGTGGCTTGTCAAAGGCCTATGCAATGTTTCTGAGGACCTTATTCTTATTCTTACCCAACCAAACCACAGTGAAAGAGATATGAATGTAACTAGTTTTAAGAATATTTAATATTGTTTGTATTGTATGATGTGCCTTGCATGGGGATGCAGAACAGATATACCTTTCTGGATTTGTCGCATTCAAAGTGTCTAGCAAAAAGGAAATGGCTAATTAATACCATGAAGACTTTTATGAAGCATAAATTTTCTTTGCAACAATTTCAAGTGTTGTTTCAAAATCCTGTTTTTTGTACTTTACAGAAATCCATGATGCTTCGCCCAATGTCACGTCAAGATATATTTTATTCAGGCAGCATCGCCAATTTACGAGAGTTCAAGTCACAGGCATCAATGCTGTCATACCGCGAGTCTGCTCTGAACCTACAGGGCACTGGTGCTTCCAGAGTAGTTCTTGATGCTCTTGATGGACCAGAAGAGGAAGTAGGTCAGTCTTTGGCACTTATTTGACCATAGTAAAGAGTTCATTTAAAGTGTTTACAAGAATACTGAAACACTGAAAGTGTTCTCATTACAGCTGACGGCATTATTTACTGTCATTCATTTTTTTCTTAGCACCAACTATTTCTTCTATAAGCTCTTTTCATATTGTCATAGACATTATTAATTACCATATGTAAGTCTTTGTTCATTATCTCTTGAGATATTCAACAAATTCTAAATCGTAATATCTACTTGTCTAGTAATATCTACTAGTACAGGTCATATTCATCTCACCTTTCAATTCTAATACTTTAAGTTATATCATCTCCACTATAAATTTTAAGAATATCATAGTCAAACACTTATATTACACTTATCTAACAATTGTCAATTCACATTGCATTCTGCATCAGTGTGCAAAATGAACATCATCATGATTAACCTGTTATACACTTTCCTGGAGTGGGGAGGCCAAAGGAAACAGTGAAGCAAAGTAGGATGCATTACATGAGCATTTCCCCTCTGCGCCTCTTCAGGAAGCATCCTCAGCAGTACCCTGTCACTTCATGCGACTAGGTGTAAAGGGTTTCCCATGAGATGACATTTAAAAACATATAAAATAAATATTAAACATTCATGCCTTAAAAAATTATTCCATCTAGTTTTATGCTTTGCCACTTCTGCACTATTCACACAAACTTACTTCCTTACACACTTGTTTACCTTGTCTGCCCATCATTTGTTTGGCTTTCCTCTCCTGTCTAAATTACTCAAATACCCTTCTTCATTCTATTATCATCCATGCATTCAGTATAATAAAACTATCTCTATTCACTTAACAAAATTATAGCAATTTACTGATTTTTGCACTCCATTTCTTTCAGTGACATTTTCATTTCTTACTTTATTCTCCTAACTCCGGAGATGGAGTTAGACTTCCTCACATTGGTTATTTCTTCCACACCCCCCTTCATGCCGATTCTCTTATCTCGCTCTTCCTAACTATCCAAGAATTTCATTGCACCAGTCACTTTCTATCTCTGACTTATTCTACTCTCAACTTTGACTGCACAAACACTTCTTTTGTTGTGTGGCCACGTCTGTGGTAGAAAATAATAATAAACAAAAAACTTCTTTTGTCGTTAACAGAGCAAAGGGTTTGTCAGTCATAGAGGCAAGCATTTTGTCAATTACAAGGCCAAGGGTTTTTAACTGGTAGAGCACTTTTAGAACTTCTCAAAGTACCCTAGTGTGTCAGCATTACCTTCTCTATTACTAGTTTAGTTTTTATCACTCTTCTCTCAGAAGTATAAAAAAATATCAGTTAGCACATATACAGTACATGTACTGTATGTGCAGTACTGTATCTGCATTCATCAAATTTGATGAGCACTACAGTACGTTATTTATTTTTACCTTACACTAAATTTACACCCATTTCCAGGAATCTCATCTCAAAATAAAATAAACCAATAACTTTAGTAATAACTATATACATGTTTATGTTAAAAATAGCAGGTCAGTCTTAATATTATTTTTAGCAAACTATGAAATTAATATTATTATCTTTTATTTTACTACTGTAAATAATCTTAGTAATACTGTGCAGGGAATTTCAAGAATAATCTCAATTAATTGTCGACTTGATATATTTATACCAGTATAGTGGGCAGTATGCCTCTCATGCTTATTGACAGCTTCCAAGTCATGGGGAAGGCTCTTTGCATCGTCACCCCATCCATTTACTGGCCAAACACTTTGGTGCTTAATCTGTTGAATTATTAATGAATATATTAGTTGTAAGATTATGTGGAATGAATGATTGATGATTGGAAAAGTGAAAAAAGTTTATGCAATTGAGTTAATGTCAGGACGAGGAGAGGAAAGCTAAAAGGCAGAGACAAATTTTGAGTGAATTAGAGAAAATGTGATTAGTACTTAAACATGCACCAAATGGACTGGACTGAGCAGGGCTCTGGTCAAGTGGTGAATGACTTTGATTCTCAGCCTTAAGTCCCAAGTTCGAATCCCAGTCAGAGAAAAAAAAAAAAAATTGTAGCATTTCTTATCACCTCATGCCTCTGTTTACCTAGCAGTAAATAGGTACCCAGAAATTAGACAGTTTCTGAGGCTGCATCCTGGGAATGGTCAGTAGTTGGCCTAGTGGTTAGAAATACATACACATGCATACACATATGCATGTGTATTAGATAGACCATTATCCGGTCAGACCATTGGGAGCCAGTCGGCCGAGCGGACAGCACGCTGGTCTTGTGATCCTGTGGTCCTTCACGGGCTGCTTCCTGGGGGTGGACGCGGGGACACTAAAAAGCCCCGAAATCATCTCAAGATAACCTCAAGATATACCCTACTAGTTTTCCCCTGGAACATGACCCACCAATTCGTTTTACTCCAGGTTCCCAATCACTGCTGGGTGAACAGCAGTGTTCACCCAGCCTGGGTGAACAGGTTTGTCTGGAGTAAATGTGTGAATCATGTGTGCAGTGTTGTGTATGCATACACATACACAACACTGCACACATGATTCACACATTTACTCCAGACAAAACTTGGGGAGAGTTGACTGGAAGTGAATCCATAACTGTTCACCCCTGTTCACTCAGCAGTGATTGGGAATCTGGAGTAAAACAAATTGGTGGGTCATGCTCCAGGGGGAAAAACTAGTCTGGTAATGGTCCGTCTAATTACCCAAAACTACCCAAAGCTTCCTAGCATTACATAAGTAATAAAGATATATGATATATATATACTCACTATATTGTTGGTGTTGAATGTAGAACATGAAAAACCACAATTTTACTCTGAAATAATATAAATTTATAGCAAAATTTGATGAAACTAAGTGGCATGAGGCCATAGGAAGTCGACGATCCAAGTGACAGTGTTGTGGAGCAACTTATCCAAGATGAACAAATTATTCAAGATATATTGTTGCCTATAGGTTATATTAAGTTATGTTTGGATAGGTTAGGTTTAGTTAGTTTAGTATATATACATATCTTCTCTAATACATTTTACCTGTCTCTTGTTAGGTGTCTCCTCAGCATGTAAGTCAAAAGAAATTAGCAATAATGATGATGATAATGACAGTTATCAGCATGTAAAGATAAAGCCCACATTATCTATATTAAGACATAATTTACTCTATGATTGTCTTTAGGGAGCTGTAGCTGCCTGCCAGAATCAATAAGGGGAACTCTTGGCCAAATGATGGACTTCTCACTTATGAAGAACCCAATCTTCCTCTTAATTGGTGTGGCTAATCTCTTCGGCATGCTGGGTTTCTATACACCATTTGTCTATCTGCCTGCTGCAGCTATTGAGAAGGTAAACTTGTTATAGAACAATCAAATTATGCATTAAATATTTATAAAAATGATTTAGCTGGAAAAAATCATCAGAAAAGATGGGATGTTCGTTGACAAGCTGCTAGCTTGTCTAATGGAACCATCAAGACCATTACAAAATAGTGGCTCAGGTAAATCCAGGTTAACTGTGTTTGGAAAAATGGTAGATGCTATTGATAAAGAAAAGGACTTCAACACCTTGAGGGCCATATTGTATGCATGATTATGCTGCACTGCTCAAATGTAGTTCTCCTGTGCACGTACTAACTTCTTTTCCTTCTGAAGTGAATACATTTTAAAGTACTATGCCATATAACACCATGGGTTACTCAGGGTAATATTATGTGTAATATAATAAATTATACATTTTTTAATTAAAGCATTCTGCAAACTTGTTTATTTTTGAATATTTACATAACACATAATTAGGCTGCATTTAAATATATGTTGTAAAGTAAATTCTAACTTGATAACTAAAAAATTATTTAATATGTATTATTGTATACACTGTTGCTATGATATCTAATATCCATGAAACATGCTCTCCAGGGTGACAAAGAACAGTTTTGTTCATCCCAAGCTGGAGAAGGAACTGAGGCATAATACTCAAGTGTTTTCCTCTTGTGCTAATGCCAGCTAACTACACATATATATACACCATTGTGGTTTAACATTTCCATCTAAATAAATGGTACTTTAGTAAAGTCTTGAAACCTCACCTACCAAACTTTCATGATTTTCTGGGATGCATTTTGTTTTTAGCACTAAGGGCTTTTTAGTTCTTTGTTATGTCCTTGTTGCCTGTGGTTGGAGTTTCAGAGGGTTGCCCAAGTTGTTTGCTTCTCTTCTTTAGGAGGTAGTAGTGGGCTTCTGTTCCACTAGTCCAATGTTCCAATGTTGTGCTGACAGGTCATCATGGTTCATATCTTAGATTCAGCTTGGTCCATGTCCCTTTTGTCCCCTTCATTTTCACCTTTCTCATTTCCCAAGGATGCTGTGCCTTTGGTTGTTTTGTCTGCAGCAATGACTTTTCAACCACTTGGTTGTTTGTTTTTGAAGTTTTTGGGGCAGGCCCTTGCCGGTTGTCGATTGAGGTAGGCTTCTGGTTGAGTTGAATTCCCAAGCCATTGCCTTTACTCTGGCTTTCATTCCTGGTAGGCATTGCTCTTTCACATTGCAGAGGGATGTATCGGTTCATGTTTTTTTGCAATGGCCCCCTTTGTGGTTCTCCCCTTTAATAGTTTAATGGGAGGGCCATCTAGCCCATTTTGCCAATTCTAGGTCCTATGATGCATGGGCATTTCGGGTAGTGTCCAAAGTTAGAAATCTACCCACTGTGTCAGTCATTGCGGCATGGTCGAGTTAACTCCAGCTCTGTAGTTGGTTCTCTTGTTATTTACACTCCCCAAACAGGACTCGCCTGCTCCTTGCACCTCTTTAGAGGGTGGGGGGGGGGCCAGGTTTTGGCCTCTTGTAACCGGTAGGCTTGTGGGACTTGGCAGGTAGCAAGCACCAAGAAGCCACGGTTGACCCTCCAGTAAGAGGTGTTTTATTTTACATGAATTTTACCTAAATTATCTGAATTTACCTGAGTGCCACATTACATTCATTATTGTTTTCTTTTCAAAATATAAAACTTTTGAATTATTATTTCTTTACAAAATGTCATTGATGATACCTTTTCCTTTCTTGCAGGGTATTGAACCAGAGTATGCAACATTTTTGATCTCCATTATTGGCATCACCAACACTGTTGGCCGGGTCCTTTCAGGATTTATTGCTGACTTGCCGTGGGTCAGCCCCCTATGGATCAACAACATATGCATTATACTTTCTGGTGTGTGCGTCTTTCTCACACCTTTTGCCAGTTCCTACGGGTCATTCGTTGCACTCTCATTATTCTTTGGATTCTTTGTGTGTAAGTATACTGATTTATTTAATGTTAAAATCTTAACAAAATTCTTTCTTTTCATAAGTGCACTACTTTTGTACCTGTATTTATGTTAATCCTATAGTTAGTTTATCAGAATTTTGGTTATACACTTCATCATCTCTGCATTAACCCTTTACCTGTATAATTAGATTTCAGAAGTGTGTATCATTTTGAGAAGTGAACTTTGAACACGGGAAACGGGAAGTGAAAGAAGCTTGTAATTTTATGGAGAAAAGCTCAGATGTCATCAGTTGTGAGTCAAGTGTTACGATCAATTCATAACTGTGGGAATGACATTAGTGTGGAATTGATTTTGGCCTTTTGTTTTGAAGACAGGGTGTAAACAGCACAACTCCCAATCACTGTTTACCATTGTCTAAATATTAATGAAAGAAAAGCAGGTTGCAAAGTGTCTCCAGTCAGTTTCTGTTCACACTGATGCTTGACTTTCAGCACGAGACATATGGTCAGACTCGTTGCGGCATAACTCATGACTTGGAAGCATTTTTATTTCTTAATTTTGTGTACAGTTTTGAGTTATTATTGAGTGACAAAAATACTTGTGTTATACAGTAGTGTGTCGTATTTCTGGGGGGAGCCCCGTCGGCTCCCCGGAGCTTTACCGGCTGATATGCTAATGTCAGACTTTGGCATCAGTCATGTGTATGGAGTTCTAGGGCCTACCGGGGACCACGAGCCAGAACCTGGCCCCCTCAGAGAGGCAAGGGGAGCAATGGCCTATAGAAACCCCCGTGTGGTTGGAAGCATTCTATGTCTGCCATCGACCGGGTCAAGCATCCAGAAAGGTAAGCATTCCAAAACAAACCCCTATTCTGGTGAAAATTGCTACCTAAGCCGAACTAGTGAATAGAACTCTTCAACAGAAAACACGGAAACTAGTATGACGTCATACGTCACCGCGCCGCTGTCTGCGCAGCTCCCCCCTCCCCGGGAGGGGGAAGGGGGAGCCCCAGACCTCCCACGCCGGCTATCCACCCATCAGTTCTTCGGCTGATGCTATAGGCAATGGTTATGTGCTCCGGCTCCAGTGGTTGTTTCAGCACTGTACCTAGAGTGTGGTGTCTGTTTTCTAGGTGGTGCGTGAGCCGGGTGTGATTCTTCAGTACTCGGGCTGCATGCGCCTAGGGTTCCCTTCCCTAGGTGCCCTGTAAGTACTGCCCTTGGGGCTTGGGGCCACCTTCCACAAGTTCTTTGGGTCCTGCCCCTGCTTGGCCGTTTACCGCTTGGTTTTCGGCCGCTCTTTGTGTGCTCGGGTGTTCTGTCTCCCTTGTTCGCCTTAGAGTAAGGGGCAGTGTTTGCACTGGTGGGGCGCGGGGTACTGTGCAGCTTGTCTTTACCAATCATAGCGGCCGGCTCTGTTCCGCTTGGGTACGCTGTCCTCTTGCGGGGTTTTCTTTTTCTTTTGTTTATATACCTGGTGGGGGGGTCTGCCTTCGTTCTTGCCCCTTGTGTCCCTTGTGTTCTGAGTATTTCTGGTGGTACCCCCTGCTAGGTCCCCGTGAGTGTACACGTCCCGGGGGTTCAGCTCTTAGAAAGTTGTTTGGTAGCTTGGGTGCCGGTTAGCAGTACCCTGCCTGGGATTACCTGAGCGCGAGTCCTCTTAAAGTAAACGCTCGGGACCCTGGGAAACCCCTGGGGGCGCGCGGGTCCGATGGATGTGACCCCAGAGCCCCCCCCTCGCTTCCAGCGAGTTTGAGGGTTGCTCTCACCTTTTGTCTCTGGGTGACTCTCTGTTTTGCCTCCGTCTGCTGCCTGTGGGGTCGGTGACACCTTCGACCCGGTGTCCTGCGAGTTTGGTTGCTCGTTGTGGCTCGGTTCCCCAGTTGTGCTAACAAAGCGGGTGCGGGCAGCAGGGGCGTTGCACTTGAGCCTTGGTGGTGGCAACGTTCTCGTGGTTTCCTCCCCGGGAGCCCCGGGGCTGCCCCGTTGTATTTCGTTTTTCCCCTGGTTCACCCTTCCTGCCTGCATCCGGTTCCTTACCGTCTGTAGGTTCAGGGCGGGGTGTTTGGTGGTGTTGAGACTCGGGCAGTCTCGGGGAATTCCCCTTCCGGGGTAGTGACGGGGGCATTTGGGCCTGTTCCTCCAGCCGTGTTGTATGAGTCTGCCAGTGGGCTCCCTTCCTTAGTGTTTTCACGGCTGCCCCGGTTTTCTGGTACGGCCGGGGCTTTGGGGGAACGGCTCGGCCCCGGGGCCTGTCGTGTAGGTTCCCGGGGCTGGGGAGGGGCTGACTTGGGGGGCCTTGGCCCCGTTAGACCCCGTGGGGGGTTTTATCCCCCTCTAGGCGGGGCTTGTGGTTACGCGGAGTGGGGTTTTTCCTCCCCACTCGCCGTACGTGCTGTTGGACGTCGGCCCCTCCCCGGGCTCGGTTCCTTGGCCTTTGAGTCGGTTGGTTCCGTCCTGTGGGTGGATGTTTCCTCCCCCGCTTTTTGGGACGGTGTTTTTGTCATGTTTCCCCGTTCGATGGGGTTCTGCGTGACTTTTGATCTCGGGTGCGCCTGCGCCTTCGTGTGCCTTCGGGACTAGTGTTGGCTTCTGTGTTCTCGAGGGTACGGGAAGGTTTTTCGCTACTTCCCGCATTATTGGAACGTCTGTCGGCTCCTAGTACTTGTCGCCCTGTTGGGCTACTTGTCGCCCTGTTGGGCTACTTGTCGCCCTGTTGGGCTACTTGTCGCCCTGTTGGGCTACTTGTCGCCCTGTTGGGCTACTTGTCGCCCGGTTGGGCTACTTGTCGCCCGGTTGGGCTACTTGTCGGCCGTTTGGGCTACTTGTCGCCCGTTTGGGCTACTTGTCGCCCGTTTGGGTTCCCTTTTTTTGGGCTCTTTGCTTCTTTGGCCGGTTTTCTTGTTCCTGCTTCCTCTTTTGGCTCTTTTTCTCGTGCAATAGTCCTGGCTGGCGCCTTCCCGCAGGGAGGGTGTGCGGTTCGGCCAGCGTGTTATGCGCATGCGCCGTGGAGTTTGTTTTGGTCTGGGCGATGGTTCAGTGCTGGGGTTTTGCGCCCTTTTTTGCTACAGTGCTTCGCCTCTCGTTCTTCTCCCTGGCTGCGGTATGTGCCCCTTTGCGCCAGGGGTGTCCTGGTTCCCAGTTGTGGGGAGGACACCGCGGTTTTCTGTGTCATGGGTGTGGACCGCCTCCTTCGCCTCTCCCTGTTCTCCTGCGGGTCCGGCTCTGGCGTCTTCACCTGGCGGTGCTCCCAAGTTCTTCTGGGCACGGTTGAGTCGTGTCAAGTTCGAGCCACCATTCGCCAGGTGAGTTTCTGCGGTCTGGCGTCTTTTGGCCGGGCGCTGGATGCGGCGGTGTTCATATACCTGTCTTTATTTAGGTATAATTTTGTACGACTGAGACCGTTCGCACACCAGTGACTGTCCCTTTATCACCCCTTCCTGTCCCCCTCCTGTGCATGTCCAACCCATGCTACAGTCGTTCAGGGGACCCTCCTTTTTTAATGTTGTGAGGTGTGGGGGTTGTAGGGTTGGTTCTGTACTCACCTGGTGAGGCTCCTGGCTGTGCTTGCAGGATTTGAGCTCTGGCTCTTGGGTCCCGCCTATCTGGTAGAACTTGCGGGATAGTACCAGTGGAGTGCAGTGGTGCTATTGGCACTTTTGGGGAACACTGTATTACCATCAGTGGTCTGTGCTTGTTACACGACCTACTTGCGAGCATAAGCCTTCTTGCTGGTTCGTCCGTGGACTTCCAGGGCGCACTGGCCTGTTTTCGTATGGCAGTTCCGGCCCGTCCTGGTTGTGGGGGTATGTGGGCCGGTGGACTGCTCCTAGCAGCTGCCTGGTGGGCCATCCTCTGGCCGGTCTGGCCTGTCCTTGGGCCGGGCTTGAGGTGTAAAAGAGCTCCCAGTACCTCATCCAGCAGGTATCGAGCGGGGTTTCTCCGCCGTCGGTCGCCTGGTGCAGGTTTCTGGGCCTGCAGGGTTTTGTCGTGTCTCCGTTGGCCCTGTCTGGGGTCTGCCTGCTCCGTTCTCTGCCTTTGCAGAGGGGAGTTGCTATTTACATGTTGCATGTTGCAGTGGTGCCTGTTGCTGCTGCTGCTGCACGTGAGCATTGGTACCGTGTTTCACGGTGGCGTGTCCTTGTTCCTGTGTCCGGTTGTGGAGTGGCGCTTTGCTGCCGTTTTGTGCCTGGGGATTGCGTGGGGTTTTTGTCCCTGCCTGATTGTCCACCCCTGGTTGTTCTCCTGGTTTTTTTTTTTTTGTGCTTCTGCTCTTTCTTCCTGCCTCTTCTGCAGCAGGAATGTTCTGCGTGTGTTCTTAGGCGTTGGTCAGCCTGTGTCCTGTGATGTGCTTCTTTGTTTCGGTCTGTTGCAGTTGTTCGGGCCCCTTGGTTCGGGTCCTGTTCTGGCGGCGACCCTTCCGCCTTCTTTGGTTTTCCTAGCTTGCCCTGCCGGTTGTTGTTGTTGTTTTATTTTTTTTGGGGGGGTTCTTGCGATGTCTCGCGTCGGACCCGTCGTTTCTGAACTCCTGGCGGGCTTGCATGCTTCGGAGTTTTTCTGTTCGGCAGACGTTCCATCTCCTTGTGCCGCCTGGGTTTCGGTGGTCGCGCCCGAGATCTTCTCGCGGCTCCGCCTTTTTCCTGGGCTCGGGGGGGCCTTGTCGGGGCTGCTTATGTTCTGCCTCGTGGTCTCGCCTCCGGTTGGTGGTCGGGTGGCTTCGTGGTAGGTGTCCCACCTGCGTGCTTCTTGGCGGCAGTATGGGGTATTTTGGCGGTCCTTCCTTTTCCTGTCCCTTCTTCGGTGGGTCCTTCTTGTTGGCTTGGTTTACTCTCGGCTTGGTTTTCTAGTGGGGGTTGGGGGCCGTCGTCTTGCCACATACTGTCGCCTCTTTTCGTGCGGCGCAGGCGGAGCCGCTTCAGCTTGCTTTCGGTCTTGGTGTTGCTTCTGCACCGTTAGTCAGCTGTCTTGTGCGTCATTTCACCTCCGGCCTGTTCGTGCGCCGCTTGCACCATCCTGGTCTCTGGTCAGCGTGCTCTGTCTTCTCCTCGGTTGGTAGTGCCCCTTCGGTTCCGGTGTGTTTTTTCGTCGGCTCTTTCCTTTGGGCCTTTGCCTCTGGGGGTCGGTTCGCTGTGTTTTCTTGCTCCTTCGGTTTTAGCGTTTTGGTTGTTTGATGGCAGCAGTCTCCATCTTTTCTGGCGCGGGGTGGGGCTGCTGCATTCTGGAGGGGTCCAGGGTTTGTTGGTGCTTTGTTGGTCGGGCCGGGGGTGTGTCGTTTTTGTGTTCAGTGGCGGCCCTCTGCTGTTGTTTGCGTGCCACGGCGTTTGGGTCCGGAGCGCGTTTTGCGTTGATCCGGTTCTGTTCTTCCCGGTTCGCGGGTGATGGTGTCCCGGGTGGTCAGCCGTGTTCTTGTGGCTAAGCTGCCTGTGTTCTTCCCTTATGCCTGTGGCGTTCGTGGCTTCGCTGCTCTCGCTGCCGTCTGGGCGACGTGGCCTTGCAGTCTTTCGGGCATGGATTTTTGGTGTTCGTGCAGGGGCCTTGCTGCTCGTGGTTCTCGTGTTGTTCCCGGGATTTTCGGGGCTGTGGCGCCTTGGGTTGGCGTTTGCTGCCGGTTGTCTCGCCTCCTTGGGGGGTGCGTGGTGTCCGCCTCCCGGTTTTGTCCCTTTGACCTTCCTCTGTGGGTAGTTAGCTCCGGGGAGCCGACGGGGCTCCCCCCAGAAAACCAGCGTTGAATGTAATGAAACGCCATTTTCTGGGTGAGACCCGGAGGCTCCCCGGCAACCCTCCCTCCCTCCGGTCGGCGTTTTTCGCGTGTTTTGACATCCAGCCTCAGAACTGATGGGTGGATAGCCGGCGTGGGAGGTCTGGGGCTCCCCCTTCCCCCTCCCGGGGAGGGGGGAGCTGCGCAGACAGCGGCGCGGTGACGTATGACGTCATACTAGTTTCCGTGTTTTCTGTTGAAGAGTTCTATTCACTAGTTCGGCTTAGGTAGCAATTTTCACCAGAATAGGGGTTTGTTTTGGAATGCTTACCTTTCTGGATGCTTGACCCGGTCGATGGCAGACATAGAATGCTTCCAACCACACGGGGGTTTCTATAGGCCATTGCTCCCCTTGCCTCTCTGAGGGGGCCAGGTTCTGGCTCGTGGTCCCCGGTAGGCCCTAGAACTCCATACACATGACTGATGCCAAAGTCTGACATTAGCATATCAGCCGGTAAAGCTCCGGGGAGCCTCCGGGTCTCACCCAGAAAATGGCGTTTCATTACATTCAACGCTGGTTTTTTGTTAGTTTTTACATATTTTATTAAATATTTGACCATTAATAACATGTTGTAACATAATATAATACTAGAACATTTGTTAAGATCGAGCAATAACAATAATTCTTTCTTTGTATTATCATGGTTGTTCTTTTATTATTCAAATATTTATTATTGACTCAACTCAAAAAAAGACAAACTGACCAAATCATTTACATAAAATTGTACACGCAGCTTGACTAAACATTACTAATGCTCAGCGCACCGCACTGTATAGAACTCGTAATTAATGACATTTAACATTTTGTGTTATAAATACTTTTAACATTTTGTGTTATAAATACTGTAGGTACCAGTATTATGTTGGTCACCTAAAATATACCATGAAATTACTGTATTACCTAAATGGCTAAAATGTTAGATTAATCAACTTGAGGTTGAGATGTACTAAGAACAGTATGGGAAATTAGTTCAATGGTGACTGCTTAATATTGTTGACACATCTCTCAGATTTCAGAGAACCTGAGTCATCTGTATAGTGTTAATGGAGAGAAGGGCAGTGAAGGGTAGAGCAAACCATATATTATCCACCTGGGTGTATTGCTCAGTCATCTAACTTAAAAATGCCAAAATAATATATTCATTAAATTTGAGAAATACTGTACTGTAAATTAATATTGTATATTAGAAGTGTATCTGGTCGTCCACCTTGTCTGCATGTGTTCCCCCCTTGCTTGTGGCACCTTCAGGCATGCCACCCATGAAAGTCTATTATAAGTGGGATAAATCTTTTTGTGGGTTCTTCTCTACATTTGGCATGATTATTTTTGTGAAATGAACCTTGAATTCAAATTGTATTTTAATACATTACAGCTTTTTTCTATATATTCTATTTCTTCTCCTGTAATGAAACAGTAATGTGTAACATGTGACTGGGCCCAGTTTTGTGGTTGCCCTCCAACCCTCATATTTGTGGTATTCCGCCAGCTCCGTTCATCGCCCTCACCTCCATCATCATTGTGGACCTGCTGAGTCTCAGACAGCTCACCAATGCCTTTGGTCTTCTGTGTATCTTCCGTGGCGTGGCTGGGATCTTGGGCCCACCAGTGTCAGGTACCTTGGCCACACACACTGCCCTTCTCCTTGACTGGCCTACCAACAAGATTAGTGATTACTGGTGGTGCTGGTGGTACTGGTGGTGCTGGTGATGTTGGTGGTGTAGAGATGTTGTTGCTGGTCCATCCTGTTTGTACCCTCCTCTATTCACTGTTCCTTCTGCTTTGTGTTATTGACTCAACTCAAAAAAAGACAAACTGACCAAATCATTCACGTAAAATTGTACCCGCAGCTTGACTAAACATACTAATGCACAGCACACAGCACAGTATAGAATTCATAATTGATGACATTAAAATTTTTAATATATTTTATAACACTGTCAAATGCATGGTTCCATATATCTCCACACATCAAATGGAAGCACTTGAAGTAATGAAGAGCGACATTTCAATTTTGTGAGCACATTCATATTGAATGGCACAGTTCATTTCCAAAACAGAGAATGCTCTCTTATGTAAACTATAAGGAGTAATTGCATTTGTTAGTACTGAATTTTATATCATAATTGACTGTCCATTGTAGTACTGTTTTACTGTCCCTGGAATATTTTTATTTGTCAGATGTGGGGAATTTTCTGTATGAAATGTAGTTACACCTTCACCAAATTTGTACTGTAATATAGATTATAAGTAGTTTAATGTTTTAAGTATTAAGTTTATGTAGTTTCCTTTTACAACATATTATGTTGTAAAAAAAATTATTGCTTATATCAGTCCCGTACAGAGCAACATGCTGATGTACAGTACATTGTTCCTTCATAAATTATATACCTCATTATCAGGTAAGCATATTAAGCTCTTCATAACTTTGGCATAGTTTTGTGTAACACTGACATTTGACAAACGGACGATATACTACACTGTGACATTGACAGTTACCCTCTGCACAACGTTTAGTATGGCTCGCCAGTATTCCTAATCATTATCATACCAACGTTGTGAGCTTTGGTCTGGTGTGCTGCTTTAAAAGGCCATTGCATTTTTTTTTAGCTTATAAATGCTAAATGGCACCCTCAACAAGGATCTTACTAAGTCTTTGCTCACAGAATAACTGAATGAATCAGAGATAATATATATTCCAAGTAACAGAATGTTGAAGCACCCTCGTTTAGCACCTTAGGTTCAGTAGTATTGGACACTGCACCTAAGGGTAACACTCTAATTTTTAGCAGCTTTTTCAGATGCACTCTTCTTGCCATAAGAGGCTAATGGCTGAAGTAACTTCCACCATACTGTAACAGTATTGGTAATGTAAGCAAAGAATGAGGTAAAATATAGATAGTAATAGTAGTACTAACTTGAGAAGGGCTTTATTACAGCTGCCTACATCTCCCTCTCATCCATCATCTTGGTACAACTTCTTGGCCTGGCGCATCTCACCAATGCCTTTGGGCTGCTCATCCTCTTCCGTGGTTCTGCTTCCATGGTGGGCGCACCCATCTCTGGTAAGTCTTTTCACTGTGGTTTAACTCGTCAGCGAACTTGTGTTCCTGATCCACGTATTTGCAGGAAATCTAATAAACTACAGTTTTAAATGCCAGAGATGTGAATCTCTACTGGAAAATATATGATTATAATTATAATTTCATTTATTGCATAGATAAGTTTAGATTTATGTAAGCACTCGATTTAAGCAAAAGCGATTGCTCAGGAAAGGTCTACAGCACGAATTTTCACCCCCTTGGTAAATGTACATAGAGTACTTACTTCCTGTGTATATAATGTGCATACAGGTAATCACATATGTATGTATGTATGTATGTATATATATATATATATATATATATATATATATATATATATATATATATATATATATATATATATATATATATATATATATATATATATATATATACATATATATATACATATATATATACATATATATATACATAGATGGTTCCTGTCTGGAAGTGGAGGAGCTCCAAGAGATCCATAACCTTACAGCCCTCATTGTTTTAACCAATGTTCATCTTGTAACCTTTAAATTTCTAATAAACCCCAACAAAACAAAAGGAAGGGGGGGGGTGGTAGGAGAAAAGCACATAGAAACTGTATTGGAGGGGACCTTAACATCCCCCCTAATGCGTTATGTGTGATTTCCTCCGAGGCTAAGGCACCCCTTTTTTCCAGCTGTATTTTGAATTAATGCATTAACTTTGTATTTATGACTGACTACTTTGAGATTCCAAGGGTTTACTAACCTGTGGATGAGAAAACACCTCCTGTTGTCAGTCTTATAATGTGACTGATAATCTTATAATCTTCAAGCTTGTTAAGCTTGAAGTTGTTGACCCTTATGTGAGTTATGCTGGACCTTTAAAAGAAGTGCTAAGCCTGGCTTAATATCTTCTAATTTATTTATTATTTTGAAAGTTTTGAGATAAGCCTTGTCATGTCTTGTTTATAAAGTGTTTAGTCCAGAGGCCATATTAACAAATCTGTACTGTTATGTACAGTACGAAATAAATTTATTAAAAGATTTGTGATTTTGCCCATGTGCATACAAGTGCTCAATACACGTGTTTACAAGGTTGTGTAACATATACATATTATGGCAATCGGTTAAAAAAAATAGAAAAATCTGTCAAATATCTGCAAATGTGATATATTTTATCTTTAGTAGGTTTTACATTGATTTAAGGAATATAATGTATAGATTTGTAATACACAAGACAAGATTTGCTTTACATACTACTGTACTGTAAATATTTCCTGTACACAATAATATAAAGATTTGCTATTCACAAGATGAAACATTTGCTATATACAGTATAAGATTAAATATTTGCTGTACATAAGATTTAAGATTTTCTATCAACAAGATTGAAGAGTTGTTCAACAGAAATAAAGAGTTGCTCTACTTTTCATGTGCTTAAAAATGTTCTGTACACAAGACTGCAAAGATTTACTGTACATACGACTGTAATGTTTTGCTAAACCTGGGACTTAACAATTTACTATACACTACTAGACTATAAAATATATGCCTTCTAAGTAAGCAGAAACATTACATGTTAATTATGTATAATAATTGTTCCATGTCAGTTGCATAATAATGCAAAATGAATTCTAATAATCAAGGCCTAAATTTGACTGAAAGATTCCCACAGTCATCATATAACACTAGGTCAGTATATTATCCATTCATCAAGTGTATAAGACATGTGTTAGTTGTCTCTTACTCACTGGACTCCTGGAGTCAAAGACAAATGTGGCTAGAGGTAAGTTATATGAATCTTGTATTTAACAAATTTTAGGCTTTAGTTTTCTTATCGCAGCTGCAGCTTAAACTGTGTACACTTGGCACCCCACACATCATGAAACATTGTTCCACTGTTTGTAACTCTGTTTCCTGACTGACAAGCAATACTATTGCTCACTATTCATCACATTTTCTCATTAATGCATATTATACAGGAAGACACTGAACCTTTTATGTGTTCTACTACAAATGCTGTATTTTGACATCTGACTTTATGAGCCCCTTTTGTTTGTTTGCTCTTTTCCCTGTTTATTTTTCTGTCTGAGTACTTGCCTAGTTGTGCTTGCAGGGTTGAGCATCATCTATTAGACCCACTTCTAATTTTTTTTGGCTTACTGCAATGACTGTTCACTCTTTGTGTGTGTATGTAACTACCTAAGTGTAATTACTCTAAAAGTAATTACTAAATGTAATTACATAAGTGTAATTACCTAAATGTATTTACCTAAGTGTAATTATCTAAGTTTAGCTACATTAAGAGTTATTCTCATGATGTTCCATTTTCCCTTAATATTTATTTATTTATTTATTTATTTATGCATATACAAGAATGTACATAAGGAATGTGAGGATACAATTATGGTAATTACAGTCTTGTAAAGCCACTAGCACGCGCAGCGTTTCGGGCAGGTCCTTAATCTAAGAAAATTTTAAGGAGGTAAATACTTGCAAAATTTATAGACAAAAAAATGATAACAGATTACATGGAATGAAAAAAAAAAAGATGAGAGAAAATTATAGGTACAGTATATTAAAGCACATAGGTAGCTATGATTGATTGCAATGACAGCTTAAAATGGTAGTTGACAACAAATTGATAGGCACAATACAGCAGAAACAATATAAGATTGATTGCAATGACAGCTTGCAATATTCATCATAGAACACTGAAACTACTCTGTCTGTCTGTCTGTCTATGTGTGTGTGTGTGTACTCACCTAGTTGTGCTTGCGGGAGTTGAGCTTTGGCTCTTTGGTCACTGGCACCGGGCATGTGTGTGTGTGCAGTGTGTGTAATTACCTAAGTGTAGTTACGGGATGTGAGCTACGCTCGTGGTGTGCGTGTGTGTGTGTGTGTGTGTGTGCGTGTGTGTGTGTGCTTAGTTGTGCTTGCGTGGGTTGAGCTCTGGCTCTTTGGTCCCACCTCTCAACTGTCAATCAGCTAATGTACAGGTTCCTGAGCCTACTGGGCTCTTATCATATCTACACTTGAAGCTGTGTATGGAGTCAGCCACTGCCACATCACTTCCTAATGCATGCTTCCTAATGTGTACTCACCTAGTTGTGCTTGCGGGGGTTGAGCTCTGGCTCTTTGGGTATTTGTGTGTGTGTGTGTGTATGTGTGTGCACGAGTATGTATGTATACTCACCTAGTTGTGCTTGCGGGGATTGAGCTTTGGCACTTTAGTCTCAAAGGGTGTGTGTGTGGGCATGTGGGTCTGGGTGTGTGTGTGTACATGTTTTGTAAGTCTCTGACTGCCTGTGTTGTTTGAAATCTCCCTCTTGAGAGAAGGCTGATAATCATGTCATTAAATTGTTTACTCTCTTATGTGTAATATGTATCTGATACAGATACAGATTACATCAACATCTAACAGATTATCTAACAGATTAATCTGTTAGATACACCTACACACATAAATTCAATTCAATATTTGATTTTGTAAATAAGCAAATATAAGCTGATATAACTGAAATCACTAATGTTACATACTTTTGTCATGCTTTTTCATTATTTAATGCCTTTATATATTCTTACTTTCACAGGAAGTATATATGATGCCACAAAGAGCTATGATATCTCCTTCTACTCGGCGGGTGGACTGTTATTTGTGTGTGCAGCTCTCCACTGTGTTGTCCCACTTGTCCAACGATGCTATGAAAATGATATGCCGGTAACATACTTTTATACTGTATCTAAGGGCATAATTCCCTGTACTAAAGAAGGTCTCTATTTTTTTTTTAATTTAAAGATAGAGGAAAGACAAAAATGGGTTTAGTAAAAAAAAAGGGCATTTAGACATAACATATTTAAGGATTTAAGTAAAGATTTTGCAGGCTGTCTAAGAGTTAGAGCTCATTATAGTTCTAATTATTGATTTGTGTTGAATAATTATTAGTGTGAGCTAGTTATGGGTCATAGAACCCCAGGAATAAATACTGTGAGATTTGGAAGGATGACTAAATAATATAATGTGCCGAGAACATTACAGAGTATGACTACAGTTTAAGATAATTTTATATGTAAAGTGAAATTTAATTTGTTACCTCTATAGACCTATGAATTTTCCCTCTATTTTGCTCTCAATTTCGTTTTGCTTAATATCACAGTAGATCTATTTGGCTGATAGTTTTACCTGCAAATGCTACAATATGTAGACTGTCTTACTAATATTGAGGGGTGAGCTTGTTGGTTGTTTGCCATACTTAGATTTTTGGGGAGCTAATTTTTTATTTTACAAACATAACATTTGAGGAACTGGTTGAGGGTAGATATACAAAATTTGGATAGTTGTCAGTAACAGGGTACTTTAAGTTGTTTGGTTGAGTTATCTTCTAACCGTGTTTCTCCATGATTAGATTGAGTTGTTAATACATTATCAGCAAGGTTTGCTCTATACTGTAGTATTTGCTGTTTTAGTAATTATGGTGTTGATTGTCATAAATGCTTGTTATTTAATAAATATCTTAAAAATTTCTTGTGTACTGCAGGTACGGTACACGACAAATGAAGAATATCTAGCAGCTGTGCCTGAAGAAGGCGAGAGTGAAGCTGGTGTATCTCCAGATACAGGCGAGGGTGTTGGCATCATCTTAGACATCAAACCTAAAGATTCTACAATTATACACCAAGAATCTGGAGAAAATAAAATTATGCTTGATGCAACTCAAAATGAAAAAGAGAAAGAGAATGTCTCATCTCTGTGAGTCTGGAAAATACAGGTGCTTCAACAGTGTATAGTTCAATTAAATACACTTGACATTTGAGAAATATTTTATTTCAAAAATTTGTTGTAAAAATAATCTCACTAAGAACAGAAGAATAATGAGTGTGGACATGTTTATACTCAAATTCTGGTGTGTATGAAAATGGTTGCAATCAGATATAAGATTAAAATAATTTTTTATGGTCTATTGTGATTTATTAATGTTGGTCTTTCATTGTTAAAATATTTAAAGTGCTTGCAGAAATCTCTGTGATTTTTAAATACCTGCAAAAAAAAGAGTTAATGCCATTGCATTAGCAAAAAGACACAAGTATTATTTTATTTTAACATTTGATGCATCTTGTGAACTCTGGATTTTGTCAATCACAGATATTAAGTTAGTTATGTAAAACACCTATTAGTTTCTAACAGTCATTCTCAAAGGTAGTAGTGGATTCATTTATTCTGATAATTCTTAGTTATTATTGACCACAAATAAAAATATAAAATTGAACCTTACTACTGTACAACCTTTTCAGATGAAGTTTAAAAACATTCCTCGAGTATATTCCTAATGAATATTATAAGCTCTGACAGAACTCCCAGCCATGGCTACCTAACCTTCCAGATATTTTTATATATTTCTTTGTTTATCACATCTGACTTCAGATTGACTTTATATTTCTTATTAGTTTGACTTCCTTTTAAAATGTAATGCAAACGAACCTATTTATGTAGCTACCGTATGCTGTGATGTAGTGCAAAGTATGTAATTAAAATCCCCCCAAATTAAAATCTTTGCATCCAGTGTTATGTCTTGTATACATTTATCAGCAGCCTAGGAAGTGAAGACTATTAGCACTAGTATGCACACTTGAAGGTACTGCGTGAAGCACAATTTAAACATTTTATCAGATACTGCACAAAACACACACAACCCCTCAGACAGTCCCATCCAGACTTGGTCGTTTCGTTGAACAGGAAGAGCCTTGATGTACATCTGTAGTGGCACTGATGGTCACCAAAAGAAAAAAGAAAAAATGTCTGGTTCAAAAGATATAAATTCCAAAATACTTAGGGGTTAACACTTTAAATGGAGCGAAAAGTTAGAATTGCTTCCTCAGGACTGCACCAGGGAAAGTTTGAGTGTGCCTACTAGGTTTGTCTAGGATAGCTCAAGTAGTTAGCATGCACAGAGCAAAATTAGGGCAAGTTACAAAATAAGTATATAGCTTGACAAACAAAATGGCTAATGTATAGTAACACTTTTTAAGTAATTGAGAATAATTAATTATATGATTGTTTAGCTACCAAACTTTTCTTTCTTGATATTTTTAATAATGTATCAATCTGCTATTCTTTTATATAGAAAACTATTTGTTGTGTTGCTAATACTGTACTGTAATAGTTAATCTCTAGTTCCGTGTAATGTATTAGTATACTGAGAGTTTATAGTACAATACTTATATAATAGCCAGTTTTTTTTATATAAGTGAAGTGTTTTATCACAAAGTTTTAGGGTAAACTCATAAGGGATCTCTTTCCAGGCAATAATTTACTGAAAGTTAAAGTATGAATACAAAGCAGATACAGAAACCCTACCCTACTATAATATTAAAATTTACCCACAATATTAAATGCCTGTATTTTTTGTACTGTTTAATATAATTCATAGTAATGTAGAAAATGGAAAAAATTGTGATTTTTTTCAATATAAATAAATTTTTGAATTATGTCTGTGATGAGAATTGCTGATTTTGCATTACATCAGATTAGTCATACAGTAATATCACTTTGACATTATATTACCATTAATTAGCATGTCAATTTTTTCAATTGTTTATGCATTAATGAACAAAATTAAGTTATAAATAATATAATTTAATTTTGTGCACTAAGCTGCAATAATGTCACATTTCAAGGAAAATGGCATGGATAGTACAGATAATATTTTAATGTATCATTTGTTTCCAATTTTAAGAAATCCTTTAGTGATGTCAGTGTTGTTTTGTGTTGCAGAACATTATATTTATGAGTAATGAGAATAAAATATAAAGTACAATGTACAGCTTTAAGAAATCCTTACTCAGTATTGAATGAATGTATAAAATAATGTATCATATTCAACAATTATGTTAGTCTGGTGTAAAATTCTGAGGCCAATTTCAGACAAAGTAGCTTGTGGCTCTTGCTGTGCTTCATTGTTACAAATGCCACAGGTTCAGTTATGGAACTTGTTGATCTTCAGATGTGTATAGTTATTCTCAAACTTCAGGTAGTTCCATTCTACAACTGTCATGTCTACGAAGGTTTGTATAAGGCAGCATCTTACTCTGCTTATTCCAAAGTGGAAGAAATGCTTGAAGCTACAAGTGCTGGCTGGAACCACATCAGAAGTAAAAACAAGAACATGTTTCTTTCAGCCCATCAACTAGCAGTTATTTCACCCAGTACTAGTTCTGCCTCTGTTACATTGGCAGTACATGTCTTCCCTACACATGGAGCTGTAAAATCATTTCTTATATCTTATAATCCTCTACCCATTAATACTGCCACTTCTCCTTAGCAACCTGTATCATCTCCCCAGTTATGAAATCTATTCAGTACTTCCTTCTTATCCAATCCAATCAACCCTCTTACCTTCAGATTTCCTCATCCACTAAAATCATCAGTGTCTCTAAACTCCTCCACTCAATGTGTAACTTTAAAATGCCTCTCCACCCATATTTATGAATTTATTATGGGCAAATCTTAAAAACTGACATGGGATTTTCATAATGAATTTCATTATAGTGCAAAATTTAATACCCATAAGATGTAAATTAATTCTGTATGATAAAATTGATGGGGTACCCATCTGTACCCAGTACTTTCTTGCCCTATTCCCCTCCCTCCCTCTCTTCCCTTATTCCTGCTTCCCCATCTCTCACCACTCTTTTTCCTATTCCCCTCTCCTCTCTAACCTTTCTCCACATCCCCATTTCCCCCTTCTCCCAATATACCCCTTCACTCCATTCTCTCACCTCTCTTCCCTTATTACAGGGAATATATATTTCCCTTATTCCCTTTCATGTTCTCTTTTGCCACTCCCCTCATCTCTCTCTCCCCCCTCTCCTCTCCACCCCTAACATTCCTCCACCTCTCAGATAACAAACAGGTTAAAAGGGCTGAAAAAAAACCTACAGAAAACAAATCCCTGATTCCATACATGATAATTGCAGGAATTGCTGTAAGAGCAGATATTTCAGATATTTAGCAGATATTAAAGGGTGGCATTGTCACATTAATGGCACTAATTATGTGAGCAGTAATTCATTGTGCACCCCATACAGCAGAGAGTTGCTCAAGACTCAAAGTGCAATTACCAGGCAATAGTTTATATGGACTACACTATTCCTGTGATCAGTAGTTTATTGTGCATCCCATATTAATCCTGTGAGCAGTTTATTGAGTACCCCCATACTCATGCTGTGAGTGGTAGATTATTGTCTACCCCATATTCATCCTGTGAGCGGTAGTTTATTGAACACTTTTTTTTTTACTTCATACTCATCCTGTGAGTGGTAATGCAAAAGGAATACAGAGGACACAAAAGGTGTTTTAATTACAATGATGGCTAACAACAGAACACTTCATAACCTTTAACCACTAAGTAAAATCATTTAATATTAAATAATAGATTTGACATTTTTGTGATACTTTATAGTTTTCAAAAAAGATATTACAAGATAATAGAAGTGATACCATTTGGTTTTAGGCCTCACAGCTTATACATTTATCACGCCTTATTCTTAGAGACACGCCTTAGAGACAAAATTTGCATTAATAAATTTATTTATTGTATTTATTTATTTATATATATACAAGAGTTCTTACATTCTTGTACAGCCACTAACATGTAAAACGTAAATAAAAATTTACGGTTATATGTATAAATAAAAATTAACATTGCAAGAAAGGATCAAGGGGCTCCTGCTGCGTCTTTATACACCCGAATCTTCATCTTCCTGTTGCAACATGGTGTCTATACCTCTTCCTGCTTATCCTGGGCAAGCTGGGTGGCTCGCCCGATGCGGAAAGAGGAGTGTATAGAGCAGACGGCCGGAGGAGGAAGTGCCAGGAGGTGCGTGACCAGGTGGGTGCCTCGCCAACCATGGCCAGGAAGGCAGAGCATTGGCCGGTTTGCCTCGTTAACGTGTGTCTGAGTAGAGCTGAAACACACGAGGGGAGGAGAACTGTTTGGTGCCCGCCATTACCGCCTCTGCTTTGTATGCAAGTGTCAACTGTGAAAGGTGACAAGGAAAAAGACCAGAAAGAGGACAATGATGAAGGACATAGTTCTGTAGTACTGTAGCTCCGTACAATACCTCAAACCTCATAGAATTAGGAAAATAACGAAGGAATTAAACATATTTTCTTAGTATAATTTTGGTAATAAATTTAGAGCACGAATAAATTATATTTTACTCGGAAATAAGCTAATTTTATCACGAAAAATAAGTGATGGGTGAAGCTAAAGGAACTCGACGATCTAAACGCATAGTAGACTTCCATTCTATGCACCCCCCCCCCCCCCCCCAACAAAGACGATGTCGATGAAGGGGCCGAAGACGTGCAGGACACGTGCAGGAGGGCCCGAATGACCATATAAGTATTGTGGATCCCGGATTTTAACAGCTTGGCGATGAAACTACAAGTAGAGGGGTTCGATGACGATGTTAATCGACAGACTAAGGCGCCGACACTTGAAGTAAGACCAGCGGGTTCGGGAGGAAATTCGCCACGTTGCGCTTACCTGTATATAGCCGTTTATACCTGATGCGCTAATTACCTCTCTGAACATTAACACTTTCATTATATTTACTTTTAAAGTCTTCCAAATTGTTACGTTTCTTTATCCTTATGGGATATTTTTATCCCTTGTGGGATATTAACCCGTGGAACAGCCTACCCGCCAAAGCCGTAATCTCCAAAAACCCTGCTGGGTTTTAAAATACAGCTGGAAATAGGGGGGAACCTTTGATGACAAGCCACCGGCATCCTGTCTTCCTCGAGGCCACTAGTATTTGTGACCCTCGGGTAAATTTTATCCAATTTCATCTTGTTAGTAATTATCAATCGTTAATTCTCACTCCTCATTGTTAGTTATCATGAACATTTATTCTTGTATTATACTGTATATTGTGATACAGTAGTGAATAATATCATCATGTAATAAGTGCAGCGTATTTTAGGGAGTTAGCTCACAATAAACTATTGAGTTATATGTTAAAAATTTGTAGCTAGCTAAGATCAATATGATATACCTTGCTTAGCTAAAGAAATATTGATCTGGATTCTGTTCCTGAATCCAGCACGTGTTTAAGTATTGCTTCTGTAATCTTTCCACCACGGCTCACAGGAAGTGTATGGGGTTGCATAATAAATCAACTAAAAATTACAAAAAATACCCATGCAGAATGTCAATGGAATGTGTCTGAATATGTGTGAGTTTGGCTTTGATACGGTTGTTTTAAGTCCATGTGGCCAACAGTCTGTCGCAAACTTTGATTGAATAGTTCTACTTCAAATACTAGTGAAGAGTTATAAATAACAAAGGAGGTTCGTATGCCGGCCCAAGGGCACTATAACCATTCAACAAATGGTTGTGTTGGGTGGTTGGTGTGCGCAGTTGTGGGCTCCTCTGTGGCCTTCAGCGGCACCTTCACCTGAAGTTGCCCCACACATCCCTCCAACTGTTTATTTGTTCTCTTCTGTCTGACAAATCCAGAGTTAGTTAGAAAACTCTAATAGTCAGAAAACGTTAGAGAAAGAAAGTGCTTGTGCATAGGCTATATATAGCCTAATATAATACAAACTACGCTTCAAAATGCTGAAGTGTTTTGCAGTTGGTGTTTAGTGGTCAGTGGCAAGTATGCAACTTCAGGGCTGATACGCGGCTGGCGGTGGCTTACACTCCTCCAATATTTCTGTAATTATCCAGGGAACCAGCTGAAGACATCAGCGGCCACCACCACTACACATCAGTAAGACTAACTAGTTACCTGCTTGTTCATATTTTAGTGTGGCAGCTTTTGTTGTTAGCGCACAGTTCTTGTTGGTGTGTGTACAGGACATGACGTGGGAGTGTCCACGGAAGCCTCCCAAGTTATTAATTATCTGTAATTGCTATTATTGTGCAATATATATACCCACCTTCTGAGCCGTTTATTGTGTACCTTATACTCATTCTCTGGGCGGTAGTTTATTTACTCACCACAAATACTCATCCTGCAAGTGGAAATTTATCGTGCAGTCTCCCATACTCATCCTGTATATGAGCGTCTCACTACTTGACACCCCATATACTGCTGGTGGCACTGTATGGTGTATCCCATACTCATCCCGTGAGTGACAGCTTATTCAACACTCAGTCCCTGAGCCCATTATGTGCCTCTGTAACCCTTTCCACTACCGCCCACAAGATGGGTATGGGGTGCATAATAAATCAACTAAACTAACTAACTCCCATATACTGAGCCTGTTAGCGACAGTTTATCGTATTCACCACACTCATCCCAGCTGTGCGCACCAGTTTATTATGCACCCTATACTCATCCTGCAAGCTTTTTGTTAGTGTAATTCATTCATTCACCCAATACCTATCCCGTTGACGTTGTGGAAAAGATTAGAGGCGCATATACGGGCTCAGGTACTGAACCTCACTAGTACAATTAATTTGGCTAAGCAAATTAAAGTCTTATTTGGATTTTGTGGAGAGTTAGTTATACATAATTTGCACCCCCCCCCCCACACCCATCCAATGAGCGCCGCCTGTGAGTATTAATTAATTGTACACTCAATACTCACCCTGTGAGTAAATCATGGTGATATCATGATGATATCACACCATGGTGATATCCTCATTATATATATATATATATATATATATATATATATATATATATATATATATATATATATATATATATATATATATATATATTACTGAATTTATACTGTATTTTGTAACTAGCTCATCAAGATTGTAACTTGCTTAGTTAAATGAAGTGTGGGGTTCAGTCCCTGAGCCCATTCAAGTTCAAGTATGTTTATTAAGACAAGAAAAAAGATACATCTCAAAGGGATAGAGTAGTTTAGGCTATTTCTACCCCCCTCCATTTCAAGTCCCTCAAGGGGCGCACAAATTCATTGAGTACAGATACACAAATCACAATACAACATTTAACATTGCAGATTAATATAGTAAGCACAGCATATAAGTGTTCTTAGCTCTTAAGTATTCTGTCTATCATATCATCACACATTCAAACAATTTGATGTGGTACACTACGTATTTCCTTATTTCTATAGTTATCAATAAGTTGTCACTCTAATACATAATGTTCTTTCAAGTTCAAGTATGTTTATTGAGACAAGTTAAAAAAAATCTCAAAAAGTAGCTTAGGCTATTTCTACCTCTCCCCATACTTCAAGTCCCTCAAGGGGCGCACAAATTCAGTGAGTACAAATACAAGAATCCCATTTAACATATCAGGTTAATATAGTACTATCTAAAAGTATAATAGTGTATATCCACCGCACTAGATTTTAACCCATTAACGCTCCAAGATAATATTCTCACTCTACTTTCATCCATGATTAATAATAAAACTACTTTTGCCCTGTCCGTCACATTCCATGAGATACGAGTTTCTCAGACAGACTCTCCCAACACTAATATTTTTGCTTTCTCACTTGCACAACATCTCCTATCATCAAAGGTAATATTATTCATATCTATTTTTTTTAATTCTGTATACCGTTTTACTTTAACCTTTGTTTCAACATTTGTCACTACAGAAGGTTGAACACCGCTAACACTACTAGAAAGTTCATTTTCCTGACTATCCTCTATCATCAATACGTCATGTTCTTCCTTACTTTCTTCTACGCACGTTTCACTTTCCATTTCATGTCCTGTTTTACCACCATCTTCACCCCGTCTACCCTCCATAGCTAATTTTTCTAATGCCTCAATCCTCTTGTCTAGTTTTTTTTTAGATATTCCAATATTTGAGAACCAACCTCCGAGTTCATTATATTGTCCTGAATCTTGTTTCCACAAGGTTTTGTAATTTTTAGCTTTTAAAGGTTATAAATATATATTTTAAGAATTATGGCCTTATTAAACTTATATGTTCATCATCATAGCTATACAGTTTCAATTGAAGTGTTATGCACTCTTAGCATTATGTATCAATTTAGGAAGCTGTATGGTATGTCATTAGCTTAACTTATTTCTTGATTATTATTTACAATAATATATTTTAACTTGCTTATCTTAGTATTAAGTACAATACTAAAATTTATTACTGCATTTACAAAAAATTTATAAATATCCGTTCACTTTTTACCTCTGATCACAAATCCCTGTATATTTTGCCCTGATATTTTTTAATTTGTTATTAAAATATTTTTACTATATTATATTAAAATATTATTACTATATTATTATTAATATATATTATTATTAGTAGAAGTAGTAGCAATATTATATTTAAACTATTTAGATATCGAATGAGAATGATAATAGATATTTTTAAATTGTACTGCAATGATCACATATCACGCCTCATAGAAAAAAACTCATATAAGTTACACGTACACACCACGAGCGGAGTATAACTACACTCCCTACGCTCCTAGTTACATCCTAGTTACATCCTGTAACTACACTTAGGTAATTACACACACACACAGGATAAGGATATTAGGATAACGACAGCAGCGTACTCTACACTGGCAAAAGTTAGAACATCATTCAGAAACCTAAGTAAAGAGGTAGCCTAAGTAAAATACTCTGGGGGATTGACAGAGTGGAAATAGACTTAATGTTTACAGTGGATACTAACAGAACGAGGGTACATGGGTAGAAGACGGAAACTCACGGAATCACTGAGATGTTAGGAAGTTTTTGTTTAGCGTTAGAGTAATTGAAAAATATCCCAAAGAAAATGACATGAATGACATAAAATGGCATAAAAATGACATAAAAGTGACATATATATTACACCAGTGGTGGTACCCCTAATATATATAATTGTATTGGCAATGTATTTCTTTAATAACGAATGTTTTTCTGTTTGATTTTTCTCTAGGAAACCAAATGAAGTAAATTCCGGGTCAAGTGTATGAGTCAAGAGAAAGAGTTGAACTTACAAAATGAATAGAAACAGCAGAGGTAGTGCAAACTCCAAAAGAAGTACTAATTCCCAGAATAAACAGCAGAAGACAAATGCGCACCCCAAAAGGAATGAACACTCCACAAAGAAAGAACACCATACAAAGAATGAGCATTCCACAAAGAATGAACACTTCAAGAAGAATGCACATTCTACAAGGAATGAACATTCAACAAGGAATGAACATGCCAGGAGGTCAGAACATCCAAGGAAGAATGAACACCCGTCGAAGATTGAACATCCATTCAGAACTGAACTTCCCGTGAAAAAGGAACACTCCACAAAGAAGGAACACTCTCATAAAAGTGATCACTACAATAAGCAAGAAAATGTCAGACTGCCCTACAATCCTCATTTCCTAAACCTAGGTACTGGAGGACCACGCTTTCCCTTCCGCCAAAGTCAACAGGTTGGAGGGCATTGTCCTGCATTTGCTGGTCAACCTTTCCCCACTCACTATCGTCCCACAAATAAAGAAAATGTCACGAAGAAGGAACATCATAAGAGAAGAGAACACTCTACAAACAAAGAGCATTTAACTAAGAAAGAGCATTCAACTAAGAAAGAACATTCAACTAAGAAGGAACATTCAACCAAGAAAGAACACTCTCCAAAGAAAGAACATTCAAAGAAAGAACACTCTTCAAACAGAGAGCATGTCACCTCGAAGGAACATTCCCTACATAAAGATCATTCTTCAAAGAAAGAACACTCCACGAAGAAAGAACACTCCACGAAGAGAGAACACTCCACGAAGAAAGAACACTCCACGAAGAAAGAACACTCCATAAAGAAAGAACACTCCACAAAGAAAGAACACTCCATAAAGAAAGAACACTCCAAGAAAGAACACTCCAAGAAGAAAGAACACTCCACAAAGAAAGAACACTCTAATAAAAGTGATCCTTGCAATAAGCAAGAAAATGTCAGAATGCCCTACAATCCTCATTTCCTGAACCTCGGTACTGGAGGGCCAAGATTTCCCTTCCGCCAAAGTCAACAGGTTGGAGGGCATTGTCCTACATTTGCTGGTCAACCTTTCCCCACTCGCTGTCATGTTCAGGGCATTCCGAACACCATATATTACAGTGACAGCCCCCCACCATATAACTCGCTGTCTTATAATAGCTCTGTGAATATGATGAACCAAGTTGGCTTTGAGCAAAATAGAAAATCACATTACAAAAAGATTTACCCTGCGTGCAGTATGCCTCTACAGTCAACACTAGGTGAAGATGCAATGGCTCCATCAAAATTAAGTCCAGAAAAACTAGTGAAAGCTCTTGCTCTCTTTGGTGGCCGATGGAGCCAAGCTGACGCTCTTAGTAGGCTAGCTCAGTGTCGTGTCGAGGAAGTTGCCGAAGTTGCAAGATCTCGAGAAGATATATTCTCCGTTATCAAAGAGGACACTGGGATGGTAATTGAGCTTGCTCCTAAAGTGATCTTGTGTACAGATTACTTGTCTGAAAAAGGTTGTCTTTCTCCTGATTCATGCAATAATCTTCATTTTTGCAAAGTTTATATGACAGGATTTTGTGAGATGGGTTCATGTTGCGAGTATGGGCATCGACTAGATACTCAGCACAACAGATCTGTTCTTTCCAAGTTCTGCTTGCAATTTATTGACAAAAGTGTCTCAATGAAAGTGATTAAAAAAGTATGCAGAGGAAGTGCATCACCACAAATATGTGGCTTCTATAATAGCAGCAGAGGATGCAGGGAAAATGACAAATGTAGCAGTTTTCACATTTGTAGAGATTATGTTATGGGTAATGGAGAATGTTTATTACCAGCTTGTTCCTTCAACCATAACATCTTAACTGACCACTGTACAAGACTTCTCAACCGCTGTCAAATATCCACAACTGAAACTCCTCACAACATTGTGTCCAACTTAAAGCTGTCCATTCAGAATCAAGACGACGGAGATTCCTTACCTGAAGGAACAGCATCAGATGCTAGCAGCACTGATGAAAGCAGTGAGGAAGATTCTTCAACAGGATCTGAATCTTCAGATGCGAGTGACAGTGAAGAAGACTCTTCAACAGGATCTGAATCTTCAAATGCCAGTGACAGTGAAGAAGACTCTTCAACAGGATCTGAATCCTCAGATGTCAGTGACAGTGAAGATACTGAAGAGGAGTGTTCAATGGAACCCCGAACATCAGATGCCAGTAATAGCCTAGCTGAAAATACTGTGGAAAGGTACTCACCTATATATGCACCGTGCCTTAGCACGGATCAGTGTTCTCTTCCATCGCACTGGGTTTCAATGGGACCTAATGAGACCCATTCTCTTCACCTTGTGCCCCCTGAAAGCAAAGAATACAAAGAGGTTTCGAGTCGCCTGCTGCTCTCTCTGCCCAAAGTCGTAATACACAAAATTCAAAGACTTCAGAATCCATATTTATGGTATCTCTTGAAAAATAAAATAGAAGACTTTTCTCGCAGGTAATATATTTTTAAAGTATTTGTTCATGTTATTCATTTAATAGCAAGAAGAACCTTTTAGCTTACACAGGAATATAGATTTTATAAATATACTTGCTTATTTGTTAATAGATACTGTGATCATATTTTTATTATGAGTTCTTGAGCTTCTCTACCTGTCTCAGTCGATATGATATATATTACATATAACGATAACATCGTTATCTTGGTTCTCACATTGTATCATGATGTGTAAAATGCACATCACATATTAGTTACTTGTTATTAAATTATACCATATAACGATTTTTCTCCCTGGGTAGTAAGTGCTATTTCCTAATTGTTTTTGCCTCCAAAATATAGAAACTAGCTATTATTCCTCTTTGACATTTGTCTTAAACAGTTCAGTTTCTGCCCGAAACGCTATGCTTGCTAGTGGCTTTACAAGACTGTAAAACTTCAAGTCTCTGTACTCTCATAAACCCAATGTACCTTCTTGTATATAAATAAATAAATAAATTTAGGGAAAATGTCTTGAAGGTATTTGAAGGCTACCGAGTCCTTAGCTAGAGCTGTGACATTTGCCTATTTTGCAGGCTTAAGCGATTAGAAAATAACACTGCCTAGAGACGAAAAAAACCCTGTTACATTGAGCTATATAATAATTTGGCTTATTTATGGTGACTGATGATGGCTGGCTGCTCAACCAGTTTAGGAAGTTTACGGTAAAAAAAATATATATATAGGAACCTGTTCCTTCATAGGCTCTCAACTGCTTCTCATTTCTGCGCTGTCACTACACTGACACTGTACTGTCACTGTATACTGTCACTGTACACTCACTGTAGACTGCACTGTCACCGTCACTGTACACTGTCACTACACTAACTGTACACTTAGTGGCATCATGGCGTATTGTTTGTCTATAAAAGAATATCCTATTATAAAAAAGTGTAATGGAAGACTTCTATGATACAATGAATCCTGATGACTTTATTGAGGATGATCTTGTGCTTCTAACTCACCTATAGTACTCTACAATCTAGATACGTAACTTCATCAGAATATTTACTGTTATCACTACTTTATGCCGATATAGTAATTATGTGAATTCAAATTTTGTGACTATGTACCTATAATTTTGTATTCAATATTGACTATTCCTTCTCTTTTTTTTAGTTTCGTGGTAAATTATTTGTTTAGCTTTAAGACCTGCCCGAAACGTTATGGGGTTAGTGACTGTCAGAAAGTACCACTTAGCCTTTCCTGGAGGCCTGGTCGAAGACCGGGCCGAAGGGACGTTGAGCCCCGAAATCATCGCAAGGAAGTCACCAACATCTGTTTTTTCACAGCCCATTGTACCGTCTAATATGTATATAAATATATAAATTATTTAATAATAAGAAGGAACAAGGGAAGACATTTTTGTAAATTATTAAGTTTAAAAAGATAATGAAGTCATTATGAATGTAAGTCCTAATGCAAATTTATGTTCATTTGGGGCAGATATGATGTAAACCAGCTGAACATTCAAAAGCTGTTTCATGGAGTAGACCCATCGAAAATTGACACCATATGCAAAGAAAACATTGAGTGGCGACAGAGTTGTGTTGGAGAAGAAGACCTTGGAAACGGTGCCTACTTTTCTAACAGGTAAGCCACGGGCGGTGGTTAAGTCCTGTGTTGATACGTAAGGAAGAGATAAATTAGTGAACAATATTGTGTGAGAAGACTAGAATGAAAGAAGACAAAATAATTCTATTTCTGTAATATCTACACTGTTTTGGATACTTTTTGGGTATGTCTTATATGTGAGAGTTGAAGTTAAGCTTGTTGTAAATGTGTAGGTATAGGATTTTTTTTATTTTAGATTTTGAACTATTATATTGTTTATTGTTATAGGTGAACTAGTGTTTGCTCTATGAGGGTTTGACTTTGTGGCATGAGGGTTTATTTGAAGTGCTTAGTGCGAGACTGTTCCCTGATGTACTCACCTAGTTGTGCTTGCGGGTGTTGAGCTCTGGCTCTTTGGTCCCGCCTCTCAACCGTCAATCAACTGGTGTACAGGTTCCTGAGCCTACTGGGCACTATCATATCTACATTTGAAACTGTGTATGGAGTCAGCCTCCACCACATCACTGCCTAATGCATTCCATCTGTTAACTACTCTGACATGTGTATGAGTGTCTGTGTTTTAGTTTTCATTGTCTGCTGTATCATCTAGGATGTGTGGGGCTGGAATTAGAGATGAGATGAAAACGATGAGATTACCCAGGTTATAAATGATGATAAAAAGATAGCCAACACTGAACGAATGCTTTACAAATAACTACAATCTAAATTGACAGAGTTAATGGCAGCAGTATCATTAATGACAACATAGTATGTTGGTGATAATACTATCAAACAACATAATATGTTGGAGATAACACTATCATTTCTGGCAATAAAGCGTATTAGTGGCAGCAGTATACGTTCATGACATCATAGTGTGTTAGTGAGCATGAAACAGTCACACAGTGAATGATGTGTCTATCGCACAGTCCGTCAGGTTAAGGAGTGATGGGTCGTTGTTCTTGTTTTAGATTCAGCCACTCTGAACAAGCTTTCCATGTAGCACGGGCCATAATCAGCCGGCGGATATAGATGCACAATGTTTACTAGTATATCCCATTCTTCAACTGTTTTTCTAACCATTGTAGTCACTGTGGATTTGCATTTAATGTAGCTGCTCTTAGTGATGGGTCTTACCAGTACGTTAATGACTGACAACGATGACTTTTTTATATTTGTACCGAAGGGGGTCTGAGTACAGAGGTTGATTTTTGCCAATGATTTGTGTTATATACATTTGTATATAAATATATTTACATGAGGAGTGAACTAATACAGTAATTACAATGTTTCAGTGCTGCTGTTGCTCGCCGTCAATGTGCCTACGATGCAAATAGAAACTGCTTCCTAATATTGGCAGATGTCATTATTGGGAGCATAGTTGAAGGAAGAGCAGACCTCACGCCTGCACCTAGTAGCATGGGTGCTAGTCTTACTTACGTCAATGATGCGAATGCCCCAACCATCTTTGTAAAGCACAGTAAAGAAGAATACTACCCACAGTATATTCTAGAATTTTGTTAAAATGCAAAAAAATACATTTTATTAAAGTCTTTTATGCATAATAATAATAATAATAATAATAATAATAATAATAATAATAATAACAAATATTATTATTATTTTATTATTTACCTTCTTTTAAAAAAACCTTTTCATGCCTATCAGTCTTCCCTTGTTACCATTGAACGATGCAAGAACCAACTTAGCTTTCTTAAAGGCTTGTTTGCACTCGCTAGAGGCTGTCCTACACTAGATCAATGGACAACCATTGAACAACTGTATGTTCGAAGTCGAATTCATCTGGATTTTGATTACTGGTGTAATCAACATATCCAGAGGGAAGATGGCGAACAACTAGAAGCCGGAGTCAGGCAACAAGCACCTCACCCTATCCTTCGGTGCTCCCTGCAAGGACTGCAAGGGTCCAATATTGTGAAATAATTAAGATATTGTACCCCTACAAAGATCACCTTACCCTATCCTTCAGTGCTCTTTGTAGGGGTCCAATATCATTATTATTTCCCACTGCCATATATCTTTAGATCATCTACAAATTTGATGATGTAGCTTGTAATATTTTCATCTATGTCATTGATGTAAATGACAAAAAGAGTTGGCTCCAAAATAGATCCCTAAGGTACCCCACTCACCACATTTCTCCAGTCAGATCCGGACGCATTTACCGCGACCCTTTGTTTTCTTTGTTTCAACCATTGTTTTATCCATTCTAGTATTCTACCATTTAATAATAATAATAATAATAATAATAATATTTATTCGGTAAAAGTATATACATATAAAATGAGTTACAAACAGAATGTTAGATTTATAGCTAGTATATACTATGCAAACCATATAAAAGGCTTTAGCAAAATCCATGTATACATAATAAAAGTACTAAATACAAAACTTCTTGTTGTTATTTCTTGGCTGTTATACATTTTCATTGTTCAGAAGTTTATTATTTTATTGTCTGAATAAACGTGCTTGAACTTGAGTGGCGTCATACCCAACGTCTCAGGTCAGCTGTAAGCCGGTGCGGTGCAGTCAGCAGGAGCCCGGACGCCCGCACTCACCCACAGTTGCTGCTAATCTCCAGTGCTGAAAGTAGTGTGTCTAAATCAGCGTGTTACTGAGATCTGTACAGGATACAAAATATCGTAGTCCATCATGTAAGTCCTCCAGGCTGTAATATGTCATATCGGTGGTAGATATTTGTGGATAGGGGGAAGTAAACAAGGTGACAGACGAGGCAGACGGGATTGTGGTAACAGTGGAGATAGTGGCAAACAATGGTATAGTAGTGAGGGTGGTGGAAGATGGGAGAAGCCAGGCGGGATAGTGGCAGACTAGGGACGGATGTCCGGGGGTGGCACTCTAGGTGCCAAGTTTACACGCGAGGTTCACCTTATGCTCACTCAAGGGCACCATCAGCTGGTCCTTGATAAACAAACTAAATTTAACCGAGTTTTAAATTTAGCGACTTAGCTTATCCAACTTGAAAAGAAGGTAAGCTTATGTGAAGTAATCTAACACACAAAAGTTTGTTATGAGTTAAGGAGTACAAATGTGTTCGGTGTTTTATCAATGAAGAATGTAGTGTAGAGAACATAGCCGTCCTCGTGCAGTGTTGTGTTGCGTGAGGAAGGAGTGAGGAGTGGGATCAGAGCGGGCGTGCGAGGCGGCTGAGCAGGTTCCGGGGCCACACGCGCCATCCAACACCACCATGAGCCACCATCGATCCTACTCTTGTCATAAATATGGGTTGGCCGTAGTGGGAATGGACAATTCTCCCTTAAACCAGGTGAGTGTAACTGTAATATCTGTCCTGCCATTATGAGCACGTTCCTGAAGAGGGAGAAAGGCCCGATTCACTGAGGGTTTACAGACAGACCTCGAGTTGCGTGCGGTAATATATTAAGGAGAGATATAATAAGAGTTGCATCTGTAGCAATATTGCATTTACTGGAAGAGCTGCATGTTGTCATCTGGTGCCAACGTGTGGCCACTTCTGGTAGATGTAAGTCGTCATTCACCTTTATCCAAGGCCGCCTGGATAAGCCGCATACATGTTACACAGTATATATGATTGATTTCAATTAATTTGTCAAGTCCTTGTAATAATGCATTTTCAAGGCCTTTGTAGGCACAACATTAGACTAAAGTTGGTCGAGATAGGAATGACTGTGTAATTTGAAGTATATTTAAAAGAAGTCATAATTAACATAGTAAATACTTATGGCATCGAGTTTTGCAGCAAAAACTTTGATCAAAGCATCACGTAACTGACTTGTTCTTTGTTTTATTCTGCACTTTTGTAATGTTTTAGATACATCTTATATCTTATTGTATCCAAGCAGGTCTCCATGCTTGGGTACAATATTCCAAGTTAAGACCAGAGACTTTTATACAGTACTTGAATAACTATCTTATTTTCCTTAAAGTCAAAGGTACGCTTGATTATTCCTAGAGTTAAGCTATCTTTTTTTTCCCCTGCTGCTCCTACCTGTTGGAGCAGCAGTAAAAAAAAAAAAAAAAAAAAAAAAAGTGCCCAACCACTTGGGCTGGATTGTATAGTGACGGTCTCGCTTCATGCAGTTCGTTGTTCAATCCCCGACCGCCCAAGTGGTTGTTCACAATTCCCTTCCACCGTCCAATCCCTAATCCTTATTCTGATCCTATCCAAGTGCTATGTATTGGTAATGACTTAGTGTTTTCTCCTGATAGTAGTTGGTCCAGGCTGGGGGACCACTATATTTTGGACAGTAATCTGAATTTAATTGGGTGTAAAATGAATGAAATAAGAAAGAGGAGCAGGTGTATAAGGACCTTGACAGGTAAATTTTTTCCTTAAAATGGCCACTCGTACAGAATGACTTAAGCTGACCTAAATCTAACAGAGGTTCAATCTAAATGTCCATGAGATATGTTAACCCTCAGGTGAATACCTTCTTGCTTCTGTGATTTTCATCTGTAAGAGGTTGTTTCTAAAGGTAAAGAGGTACTTCAGATAAGGACATATTATGGTAATTTATTAAAGTTTGTGATTGTATTTCATCACTTACAGTATTCATGTACTACTGTATAAATAGTTGTTATTCATTAATCAGGCCCACCGAGAGCAGCGTCGTGCTGAGTCATGCCAGCGTGGTGGAAGATTGGAAGAAGCAGCTGAGTATCATGGTCAGGCAGCAAAGCTGCTTACTAAAGCTCTCGCTCTAACAGTTACTCCATTGGCTCGGCAGAGTATAACATTACAACACGGCTATCATATACGCCAACAAGAGCTACTCAGGTGAATTCCATCTTTCTATATAGCCGAGTAGCTTTACTGTAACTTTGTTTTATAAAAATGCATAAATATATATTTTTTAAGTTTGAATAAAAACACAATTTTATTAAAATATATAAAGTCCATCGCATTCAAATATTGCTAGTCTTAGGATTTCGGCGGTTCGAAAACCTCTATTTTCTGCATCGTTCGGTAAAATGCTTAAATAATCACTGGTGCATCGGCATATATCCCACAAGTAGTGCAGTGGTCTTGTATACCTATGTAGTGCAGTGGTCAGGGAAGCTGGTTCATAATCAAAGGTCTCGGGTTTAATTTCAGAGACAGGAAAGAGACTCGAGTATGGTTTCCTTACACCCGATGCCTATATTCACCTTGCATTGAACGGGTTTCTGTTTCTGAGTTGGGTAACTGTAGTGGGTTGCGTCTTGACTATACTAAAGTTAGTAGTTAGTCTAGGAGTGGACCATAGTAAGTAGAATGGGCTTTGTGTCCCCAATTATGGTAAACCACAAGATGAACCAAGGGCCAGATTTGTGCCTGCAGGCCACAATTGAATAACCCTGCTGTAAACAGAAATGCACTTGAATCTAGAGATTGGGGAACTTTACCCTAGTGGAAAAGAACTATTGCACTTCAGATAATCTGCATCACTGAATATAACATATGAAGTCTGGTACAATTTAATCTGGATACAGTAATTGAAAATCCACTGTATCCTACAGCACTTATCATCCATGTTCTTTAACCAGTATGAGTATTGTTTTATTAACATGTCCTGTTTATGTTCATAAACATGAAAAATCTGAATAAATCTGATCCTTCATTTTTTGAGTTTGGCTCCTCTTTTTTTTTTTTCTCCTTACTGGGTGCATTATGAGGAGCCAGAGTCTTCTTGGCTGGTAGACTGCCCTTTCTTTTTGTTGAGGATGTGGCATGCATTCTGTCAGACCCACGCGTTTGACTGGCGGGAGTTGACTATGGTCATTCAGGTTTACCTAGGGGGCGAGTTGGAGGAAGGGGGGGGGGGGGAGTCTTCCTGGCTGGCACTGGGGGTGGGGGCGAGTTGGAGCACCTCAATGCATGCGTTTTCGCCCCTGTGCTTCCTCACGATGTCGGCCAGGTGCAGATATACGTGTAGATTCCTTCCCTTTTGGCATTCCTGGTAGCTGAGGATTTGCATGCCTGTGGGCATTTGGCTTTGGTCTTGCACTTCTTTTCCCTGCTGGAGCTGTCTTTGGACTGGCTCGAGGAAGATGTGGAGGAGCTGGGTTCCAGGTCAGCGTCCGGTGCGGTTGCCTTGCACTGGATGAGGTGCACTTGTGCTCACACCTCGCACCAGAAAGAGTTCGGCAGAAAAACTTTAAGGAAAGGAAGGTAGTCATACATATGTATAAATCTATGGTGTGCTCCCACTTGGGTTATTGTATCCAAGCATGGAGACCACATGAAAGGCATATCAGACATATCTGCTTATGAGAAAGTTCAGCACCATGCAACAAAAATCTTTTGACCATGTCATGGTGCAGTCGACTAGAGTACACCTGGGAACACCAATGCATAGGTTCGAACCCTTATCAAGGCCCTTGTAGATTTGTATAAAAATCATTCTTGAAATAAGTCAGTTCTAGGAACCATTGAGAGCCACAGGGATATCAACAATGCAAACCAAACATAACAGGGCAGATCTGATCAAAACTTTTAAAATAGTGAACAATTGGAGGATATCTTCTAAATGTTAGATGTAACATGGACAAGAAGCTACGGTTTCAATCTCGAGCTACAATACAGGACAGAAAACAGGAGATGCTTTTTCACCCCTAGGGGTTATAAACCTTTGGAACTGCCTACCTGCTGAAGCCATAACTGCCAAAACACTGCTGTAATTTAAGATCCAAATAGATCAAATTATGATTACGTCATGCTAGAATAAAAAGAACTTCTGTACCCCCCACACCTTCCTTCACAGCTGATATATACGTGTACTCCAACTAGACGGAACTGATCTTGTGATATGACCCCCATGTAAAACACCACAAAATACTAATCAACTACCCATCTAAAACAGTTGGCTCGATTACTGCTTGTGGCATCTTTTAGTTTGCCATCAATCTTGACATGTTTACTATGAATATAACTGCAGTATAGAGACTGTAGAGTTCTGTATTTAGTTCTCATTTAAATGATTTTCTTATATTGTTAATTTTCAAGGGGGTCTTAACCGTATAAAATTTTGCCTGCTTTAAGGTTCCGTAGCAAACAACTCGAGAAATATGTCAAGGCAATGGAGAACCATCGATTAAAAATGGGTAGTGCCAGTGGCAATACTGGAGGAGGGTTTGTCTCTGGAAATCGGGAATTTGCTTCTGCCTATCAGCATGTGGGCAAGAAGACTCAAACCCTATTGGTGGAGATGACAAAGTAAGTGAAAACTATACTTTTGGTTAGTACTGTACAGTACTGTAATTGTGTTTTGCTTGATGAAGTTCTAATTTCTTTTCTTTCACAGTTCAGAGAGCTTGTTTCACACCCCTTCACATTGTGAATGTAAATGAAGTACTGTACTGTACTGACAGAACTGAGTTACTGTACTGTGTTTTGTTTGTTTGATTTTGGTGTCTTTTTTTTGTTATTAAATCTTTAATTATAGCTCTACTGTTCCATAACTTCCATTGCCCTTTTGTCATAACCTTGTAAGTTAGAGTATTTATAGGCTACCTAAATATATTTAGACAGAGGCTGCCCTTTCTATTATGATATTAGCTGTCATGTTGTATGTCATACTCCTGTCTAGACCGTCTGTCATTTATTATTAGGTTATATATATATATTTTTTAATTATCGGAGGAAAGTGCCAAGCCATTACGACTATATAGCACTTGGAAGGGGTCAGGATAAGGATTTTGGATGGGACGGGAGTAAGGAATAGTGCCCAACCACTTGAACGGTTGGGGATTGTACTCCGATCTGCATGAAGCGAGACCGTCGCTCTACCGTCCAGCCCAAGTGCCTGGGAGGTTATATATGAATGACTACTACTAATGTTTTTGGTTCTCCCGTTGTCATGGTGCCTGTAATGTAGTCTCTGAACCTTTTGCAGCCTGGGTTATCCATTTCCTCAGAATTTCAGTCAGCCAACCAGTGGGAGCCGGTCGGCCGAGCGGACAGCACACTGGACTTGTGATCCTGGGTTCGATCCCAGGCGCCGGCGAGAAACAATGGGCAGAGTTTCTTTGACCCTATGCCCCTGTTACCTAGCAGTAAATAGGTACCTGGGAGTTAGTCAGCTGTCACGGGCTGCTTCCTGGGGGTGGAGGCCTGGTCGAAGACCGGGCCGCGGGGACACTAAAGCCCCGAAATCATCTCAAGATAACCTCAAGATAACCTAACCATGGCTGAGAAGAACCTGGGATTTTTTCTTTATCTCTGTTGGCTTATGCTTAATGTCTTGTTTTAATCATATACTTTGTTTTAGCTCGCCTAATGAATTCTTGCTTGTATATTTACTTACCTATACTGATTTAGAATGAGGTGTCAAGACAGTAGAAACATAATATCTGTTCTTCAAATTTTGGTGCAAATTTTTTTTTTTTACAGAATTAATAATAATAAGCCTTCATTATTTCAGGAATACTGAAAAATTTGATTCACTTCTCAGTCTCTTGTTACCTGAAGAAAATGACACTAGCGGAGGTGGTCAAACTGAAAGTAAATGCAAGCAAAGTCCACAAGAAAAGGAAGGGGAGTTAGCATGTGACATGAAAGAAACATTAAATGCTCGAGAGATAACAGTGAAAACTCTAGACGTGAGAGGCACAAAATGTTCAGAAAAAGTAACGCAAACTGAAACAGCAAAGCGTGGAGAATCTAGTATTGGTATAAAAAAAGAGAAGGATGTGCTGGTTATTGTTGAAGAACTACGGACATTACGCGATCACCAGGCTGACCTAATCTCTCAGCTAATGACAGAACTTTCATTCAGGGAAAAAGAGAACACACTTTTAAAGAACCAAGTAGGTACAGCTGTGCTTTATTATTTGTAGAGGTAAATGTTTTTTTTTTCTGTAGTAGTATGGTTCAAACAATTTTTTTATAAAAGTTTAGGTTGATATGCCCTTTAACTGAAATTGAATTTAAATCGCAGGCTACTATCCATATTAATCCAGTTCAACCCCTCAGTGTTGTTGCCTTGTATAATCGTGGTATGCTAATATGCTGTGCAGGATAGTTGTACATGCTGGCATAGCTATTATGTTTTAATGATTACTAGCCTCCTCATGATTGATCAAGGCAGATATATACTTTTAATACTATATTCGGTAAATTAATACAGTTTATATTACTACAGTTTCAGGAAGATTTTTAATAGTTTGGTTTTTAATGTATTGTTTGTATAATTATTTGTTTACCTTCATATTTTATGTGCTTTCAAATCTAAATCCTGTGTAAAAATATTAGAGGATGTTATTATATATTATAATAACATTATATGTATTGTTGTGAAAGAAAATGTGTACTGGTGCATTAATGATGGCTTTGTTTTATTGAATTTATTTTGTTCCTTCACCCATTGAAAGTTTTAGAAATTACTTCATTGTTAACTGACTGGTCTTACAGGTTTGCGAACTGCAGACTAAGTGTGAGCAGTATGAGAGCGAGCGGCGGCGGATGAGGGCGATGGCTGACTCAAGCTGCTCACCTTTTGTCTTCTCTCCATTGAGCGAGCTCTCTCCAGACCCTCCTGGTGTTCCAGATCTCGCACCTCTTGAAATGCCTCCACTTGATTTCATGGAAAATTTTGAACAAGATTCTTAATAATAGATTGTGCTCAAAATTAATAATGTATTTTATACTAGAGAATGTGCAACATAATTTTTGTGGTAGAAATTAATACATGGTCATTTAGTTTGTTTTAACATGCATATACAGTATAATACTATAATTATACATTATGGTTTGTTTTTCTTAATAGAAAGACCAAATATAACTTTGTTACAGTATTTTATTATGAGAATTTATTTTGTATTGATTGCTAAAATTAGTACAGAAGCCCTCTTAAAACATTTAGTAACGGTATTCAACATCAAGATAATTATTAAGAGAATTTGTTGAAAGGTGAACAAGATGTCTAGTAACAAATGCTAAATGTAATACTTTATTAGTAATAAGAGTGATGGAGTATGTAGGACATGAAGGTGACTAAGAACCAAATGGTTCAAGCAAGAAATAACCTGGGTAGTGGTGCAGGTAATATAATAAAATGGTGAATTTTGAGCAAGGCCTAAGTACAAGGGCAGGAACATACAAAATTTCTGAGTAAATACTGTACCTGTGCGGAGATAAACATTTTAAGAGGATGTTTTGTTTAACTCGGCATTATAAATGTTCACAATGCACTTTGCTGACAATTTCTGCTCTTCCCATTTGTTTTAGTAATATCTGGTATTATTCAGAAATATCCGGTATTGGGATTTGGACGTAGACATAAATTGATTATGCTTACTATATATTAACTGTACTCTCCTTACCACTATCAACTGCCTCAACTAAGCTGGAGTAAAAAGATAGAAAATTTGTTAAACATGAACGACCATTTGTAAAACCATGTTGCGAGTACTGGTTCGATAAAAGAGTTGATGATTTGGTTGGAATCGATAAGTGCAAATACAATTCGTCTTCATCTTAAGAAACATAAATTAATAATTGAAAAACCAGTTGAAAAATACATTGTGTAGCTTGGCTCTTGGGTTAATTAGTCTCGTATCTCTTGGGTGCACAGTAACGGTACAATTGCTCTCGCTGGTGCTGTTAAAACGTACTAACTCCATTATACTCGCTCTTTATCTTTTCTGCTTCCCTTACTGCTGATTGTCATGATGTATTATGAGCACTTACAGAGATCTCATGAGACAAATTATGCCTCTACACTTAATTTTAAATACAGTTCATAACATGGTGATCCAGCTCTTCATACATAGCATGAGCTTTGATTAAAACATATTGCTTTTAGATAGTACAGCAATTAGAACATTTTTAAGAGAACCTTTTATAACTTCTGATTCTAACATTTTTCTAAACTCGATCAAGAGTTTTTTGAATGTATTAGTAATTTTATGGAAGTCTACTATTCAACATTTGTTAGTATAAACAGACATTTGCTTTTAGTTACTTCCCGGTTTGGTGCCTTCTTTTGGTAATTAATTACTTGCTTTTAGTGCATTTTCCTATTTTTTGCCTGCTGGAAATGGTTTTTGGATATAACTTGCCTTTATATTAAGCATGCCAAAATTGGAGACATATTGCTTCATGTATTTCATAGGCAGTGCAGTGACATCTTGACTTTATGATCAGTATGACAATGATTATAAGCTGAACCTGTCCTCTTTCCATGTGTGAACCTCAAAAATTACATTTGGCAGAAAAAGAATTGTTGTCTTGACATATAAAATGTTTAATATCCTCTTAATGGATTCTCTTCATAGAAACTAAAAAACTTTTATTTAACATTAAAAATGGTTCCTCCTCTTTGCTATATCCTAAATTTGGCTTTCAGTTGCCATATATTTACACCACTTTCTAGAAACTTGTAACAAAATTTTGAATGTACAGTATTATATATTTTCTTTGCTAGCACCTATTATTGACATTTCTTGAATTTTTACCTGAGAAATTACCAGAAAAATTCAGTTACTGTATTTGATTGTATTTCCCTCCAGTTAGTAAAGCAAACTTTGAATATGAATCTCCAAAATTCTTGTGGGGAGCAACAGGGTAGTTAGAGGACTATTCTTTAAGAGCTTGTTGTTCAGACAATATATTTTCAGTTGAAAATTCACTAGTTTTCTCTCTTACTGTTTGAAGGTGGTAAATTTTCAGCTTGTGAAGTTTGTACAATTCATGCTTTGTGTGGCTATAGTGTACAATATTTTATTTGCTATTTTTGCAAGAGAACTTTCAGAACCCTTTACTGTATACAGTGACTGAGTATCCATAAACTATATATTGTAGTTCTTTCTGACAAATAGGAAAAAACTAAACAACAGTTTCCTTCCAATCGATGGGAAAGCATTTTCTTTTTGCAGAAATTTTCTCTTTCCAGAAGTGTGTGTGAACACCACAACTTTGACCCTTACCGATGAATTTTCATGATAAAATAATTGTTTTGCCCTAAAGTACTTTCTGCCTTTTGACCAAGATTTCATTATTTGTGGAATCATACATAATGTATGGGAATAGTGCTATAATACTTTCAAGCTAGTAAAAGTAATTTTATTTTAGGAAGAGAGAGTTAATGTCATATTGCATAATTAGCATATTATATTCACTGTTTATAATTGATGGCATCTCCATATCATCCATTCTCTTGTGTTAATAATTATATGTGCTGAAAATATTTATGAAAAAATTGGTAAGGAGGATCATTATATTTGTATGCCATCATGTCATGATTTTATCTAAAAACTGTGTGTAACTGTGTGTAAAAGGGAGTGTGCAAATATTAGGTTGTGTATAGGGTAATAAAGGCTTGGTTGTAAGAGGTGATTAAGTTATACTGTATATCATATTAACAATAGCTTATATACACATAGAAATCACAATAAGGTGATATCAAATGAACAAATCCACAAGGGCCTTGATGAGGGTTCAAACCAACGCACAGGATGTTCCCAGATGCGCCTTGGTCAACTATCACGACATGGTCAAAGAATTGCAACCTGGAGTGCTACTGTCCTCACTAGGATCCCGAAACTTCGCCGAAGCCTAACCGGGGTTTCACACAATTTCTCCATGTATTCGGGCTTCGTCAACCAGATATTCTGCCTTTATGCCCCTACATCAATACACACACAAATCACAATACACAACACAGTGTGGATTTGTTCATTTAATAGCTTATATGTTCATATTTATTACTTACAGATATTCAGTATATTTTCATCTGATCAAAGATATTAAGTCAGCAGTCTGTCAATCATTGAATAACTGGTACCGTATATATTCTTGATATTAAGTTTCAATTTTAGAATAAATAATTTTTAATTTACTTTAAAATTTGTCAGTTTCAAGCATTGTTTAGAATCATCATTGCCAAAACACTACTGTAATTATAAATTATGATTATACAAAAAATCTATAAACATCTTGAAATCACTGTTATTTCATAATGATTGTTAACTTTTATGCTTTGCTGTATTTCCATAAAATAGTAATAATTTAACCGTATACAGTATAGCTCGACCTGTCCTCTTACAAACTACGTCTGAATTTGGCTGTTTACCCGTATGGCCGAAAATGGATGTAATTTGAAAGTGAAAATATTTGAAAAGAATTTGGGATTTTTTTTTTTTTTTTCCAAAACAGTAAGTTAAGGGTTCTCTGGTAGGTTGGGTGGGCAGGAAATTCTCCTACAGTTGCAAAAGTCATGAAAAATGTTAATTGAAAGTTAACTCTCATAACCTTTGCAAGCAAGCCGGAGGACTCAAACAGAAAATGGGACACTACATCACTTTTGTGGGCAGATTTCGCTTCAAATTACGTCCAATTTTGGCCATAGCGTGCATACAAGCGAAAAGTGACATTATTTTTAAGAGGATGGGTTGTATAGCAAGCTTACAACTGTTTGATCATAATTACTATCTATTACCTAGCATAGATAGTGGCCAGCAGGTCAGTAACAAGGTATGCTGCAGTAATGGTGTTTCTTGCAGTATACCACAGGCTCTCCCAAATAATCAGCATTCTGTTATGTGTACATGAATTATGATTTGTTTTTTTTTTGTAATAAGGAGATTTCCTTTGTTGTTCATATTTAATGACCCTCAAATAGTTGTTAAATAAATTTTCAGATTCATAATTTTATCGTAATATTAACATTTGGTGAAATCTACAATGTGTTATGGTCTTGAAGATATCAGGTATTCTAAATACAGTAGTCTAGATAGTAACAGGAAGATAGTAATCGCTTACTAAGCCCGTTTACTACCCAACTTGTTAGACTACCGTTTGACTATATATATGTCCATTTTTTTCGTTCATTCATTGAGCAATTGTTTTAAGAGGATGCAAAAGATTTACTTATTTATTTTTAATTTCTAGAAAAGGATTTAGGCATGCTGAATGTGGCTGATGTGTCGCAGTACGATTAGCATTTGTAACTCGTTTACATGAACGGTTTGTGAACAAAGAACCATTTCTAAGGATTTTGCCATTGGTAGCAATTAACATATATGATGAATATTTAATATTGAAGTTGAATATTTGTTTCTTCACTCTATTACAAAGTGAAGCTAAAGATAAAGATGAGTGCATTTTATAGTGTTGTTAGAGCTTTGCCTTTAGCTAGATTCCAGTTATCACTGCCAAGGGTTTACTTCACTGAAATAATGTGCTCAGAATTTGAAGTTTGTGTGAAAATGGTTACACTGTCATACATTAGGTATATAATTTCCTTTATTTTTGTATATTTTGTATTCAAGCTTGATTTTACAGCTTAATATCTAGTGTATAAGTAGAAATATTAAGACAAATTATTCAAAGTGCTAACAAATACATCAGAGATTTTTGTATTATTGTTTTCTCATTAGTACTGTATAACTCAGTAATTATTATGGAGCAGTGTTTTCAGCTCAAGTATTTGGTAAAGTCTTGCCAAAAGCCATGTACATAATTGTTATATATATATATATATATATATATATATATATATATATATATATATATATATATATATATATATATATATTATATACTTATTATATATATATATATATATATATATATATATATATATATATATATATATATATTACTAGAACATGCTAGTCAATGCATTATTACTCACTGACAAACTTTTGACACTGGTTCTACATTGCAGTCATTATCACTGACAACATTTGTGTCGAGATATTTATTATTGTAGTCATGACTTTGTTTCAGTAAAATGCAATGTTATAGTATTTGTTTTAAAAGGCCTCTGAGTTTTTGACTGGTTATTTACATCAATATTACATTCAATCTGGTTATGAGGCCAATTTTGTTTTTAGTGGAGGGGAATAAATACGAGAGAATATTCCCTGTCCACTTCCCACTTCCATTCTTTTTATTACACATAATATGGGCAATTAGCACCACTAAGAGTGGGGTGGTGAATTCACCCCCCCCCCCCCTGTGTGTGTCATTCAAAACATTTGAAAAGTTTTTTTTTTTTTTTTTTTACTTTATTTAACCTAACTTTCAAATATTTTTAATTTCTTAAAGGTGTTTGGCTATTTAGCTAAATATTTTATAACATTGCATTATTTTGTAATTCTTGCTGTTCACGTCAAGGGCATTTTTATGGCAATTAGTGAATATAATAAAATTCATTGGTATCCATGTATTTATTTGTTCTTCAGGTTATTTGCCATTGTGAAATAGCTAATGTTTGATATATTAATCCTATAAGAAAATATTTGTAAATTTTAATTGAACAGTATTTTATTAAGTACTGCGAGTTGTAGAAATTATCCAAATGATATTTTGATGGTTTAAAAATAAAAGACATGGAATGGTGCATTTTCAAGGAAGCTTCAGATTACTTGGCTGTCAAGAACCTGTCTTTATCTAATAAATTGACAATGTAGTTGCATGGAAATGACTGTTAGCATAAATTAATCGAAAATACAGTACTAATGAACATGACTTAAATATTTTTTGTTTATCTAAGATAGAAATGATAACATTAAACATGGTGCTGCATATTATTAAAATTCACAGTAATTATAATGTTAGTTTGGTATTTGGGTTAAATCCGGTTTTCATGCAATAAAGGTGCATTAACTAAATGCATTTCACTTTTTTTTTAAATTTAGTATACAAATCACAGTTGATTACAAAGAGCATCTAAGTACTGTACATTTAGATTTCTCAATTCATTTTTATTTGAAATTTGGAAAAGTGTGTTGACATGAAGAAATGATCTTTAATGTATTTTGCAACTTATATTGAGTACAGGCAGGAACATGTCTAATTTGTATTTAAAATTATTATTATTGATTTTTAAAAATTGATACTATAGTGTTAAATTTAATATGGACACTTCAACAGGAATACACAAGTAGATACTGTATATGTAAATACATGAAGCAGGCCTAGAAAAATAAAAATGAAAAGAAATGGTAAAGTTTAATGAAATGAAACATCCTTTGGTAGAGTGGTGTTTCAAAACAAGTCTCAAACCAACTTGATTTTTTTTTATTTCTAGAATATAGGCAATTTGTGCATTAGTGCTTCCAGTGGTGGTAATTATAATTATCTGAGTTGTCACTTGTTGAAACCTGTAGCCATTATTAATGAGAGCATTAATGTCTGTAACCCACCAACAAGTTACCTGTACCCTGGTAGCAACTGTAGTGTAATTGTGTATGCTCTGTTACAAATTATTTTCGATAATATCATTTTTACTTTGTTTTAGACATGAATGTGTGTTTGATAGCGCTTAATTAAAATTCAAGAATATATTGAGACATTGCTTTTGTCTCCAATTGAAAATAATGTTAAGTACTTTAGTGTATTTAAAGAGTATTTTTTATGCTTAATAAGTTGGAAATTGTGTGTATTGTGATATAGTGTACAGGGGACCACCCAAGATGCAAGTGGAAAAAACTAATATTTTTCTTTAATATGTACTTCTTTGTAATGATTTGCATGTACACTGCAACATAACCAGTTTATTTTATTAGTGTATATATATATTCTTTATTTTATATGCGTTAGAATGTGGTGTGTATATGACGTGTAGCCAATAACACATTAAGACTTATGCACTGAGAAAAGCAGTTGTGGTGTGCTACTTCAGAGTGCACAGCTTGTATATTATAATAGAATTAAAGAAATATTGTTACTTTTATACTTCCATGTGTGACCAATTCTCTATACAGTATTAAAATGTGAATAGATTAATTATCTTTGATTTATCTTTGTATTTACCCTGCTGTATTTTAAATGAAAATGTTCATATACAGTCTAGTGTATTTAGCTTACACATGTAGGCACAGGAAATATTGTGCAGGCTGAGAGCTTTCCCCTGCTCATAGCTCATAGTAAAGAAATACTTTCATTCCCCCAATCCACCAGTGGATTGACAGTTGAGAGGCGGGACCAAAGAGCTAAAGCTCAACCCCCACAAACACAACTAGGTGAGTAGTAAGCCATACCCACTAATTTCCCTGGAATAATACCCACCAATCGGTTAACATCCAGGGGCCAGATTCACGAAGCAGTTACGTAAGTACGTACTCTGTCGCATTCTCGATTGTGCGTCGAGAACGAACCCGACTAATACTGAATCCCTCTAATTACGACGTTTCACTAGCTGCAGTGTATATACATAAATGTGCGCACTATCTGTACACGTAAATACAGTATATTATACCTGTATACATTGTAAAGCAGTTTAAGGGGCAGTGTGGGACAAGCGTGCGTGACCTGGGCTGACCATTAGGAAAGCCGGTGCGCGCGCAGCTATACACGCTAGTCTCTAGTCCCTATATATCACCCATATCCGTCCGATGATTTTTTTCTTGCTAGCTACAGCTAGCTTCAAGTCTACACTAATCCTTCATACATAATATAAGGTAGCAGCACGTTGCTGCGTATAACTTGTATGTATAACTATTGTATGTACTAGCTTTATCTATAAATCCAACATTGTTTTCTACTCTCATAACCCAATGTACCTTCTTGTATAGAAATAAATAAATAAAACAAATTATTATATATAAAAACCATTATTATTATTTTTGTCATAAATGTAGGCTTCAACTAACATACTTATACGTAACATACGTATATGTTTTGGGATAAAATCATTGCTTATATGGATGTTAGCTGTTAAATTATTAAATAACATAAAATAACCTAATAATCTAAGCCTATGTTAACCAGACCACACACTAGAAGGTGAAGGGACGACGACGTTTCGGTCCGTCCTGGACCATTTTCAAGTCGATTGAGAATTTTCTAAGCCTATGTTTGCATGGTATTTATCTAAGCAATTGCAAATCTAAGCCTATGTTTGCATGGTATTTTTTTTATTTGTTTTGTTGAGAGTTGCATGAGGCGCCTCAGTGACCATCTTGGTAACATTGTACAAACCTCAGTGTTGCCAGAGGCTCTTCGCCTAACTCAATAACTTCACTCTATATTACAACCACCTACAGCCAATTTTAACGCTCTAATATTTTTTATATTAAATATCATTAAAGTTAGATTAATGTTGGATGTAAGGAAGAGCGTGTGAGGGTGAAATAGTGTGAGTTATGGGCGAGAGTTGCGCTTGACGCTGCTCGGCTCTCTTGGTGTTGTGGCGACGGCGCGCGCTGTTACCAAGACAACATGGCCGACAATTATCACCAAGATGACTTCCAAGATGTTAAACCCAACTTGGGCTACTGGTTCAGCGTGGAGGAAGCCCTGGAACAAGTTGTCTTGCACGAGGAAAAAACGGGTACCAGATACAGCTTCCTGAGGGCCGATGCCAACTTTGGTCGGGCAAGTGAGTCTCAGCTATAATACTTTAAGGGGGGAGATATATATGAGGAGGCGCTCCAGGGGTGAATATCTCTGGTAGGAAGGCGTCTTGGGACACGGGTAGCTGTGGCAGGGGTTAAGGAGGCGAGGCAGAGAGGTAAAGAAGGCTCGTTGGTGAGTGACAAGGTTGTGAGGCGGGAGATGAGTGGTGGTGAGGGTGGGAGTGAGAGGTGTGTCGCGTGAGGTGGGAGGCGGCAACACTGCTCCCTCCCAGGTATATGGTCCTCACTCCTCTCTTACCTCAACCACTTGGGCTAGACGGTAGAGCTATGGTCTCGCTTCATGCGGGTCGGTGTTCAATCCCCGACCGTCCAAGTGGTTGGGCACCATTCCTTCCCCCCGTCCCATCCCAAATCCTTATCCTGACCCCTTCCCAGGGCTATGTAGTCGTGGTGGCATGGCGCTTTCCCTGATAGTTCCCTTCCTTCCTGTCACACGGTGGAAGACGTAATACGTCACTAACGTACCATGAGTCTTCGTGAGTAAGCTGACCTGACGTGGGTCCTTCAGCCATCATCAACACCAAGTTGATGGTTGAAGTGATGGCTCTCAAATCCCTCATTTAACAAAATCATTGTTAACCCTCGGTTACCAATAAAGTTACCTTTAGACTACACAACAAGCCTTCAGTAGGGAACCTTATAAAAGCACTTGACAATATAACCTGGAAATCTAAATTCAACAATACACGGGATATAAATTCATTAGCAGACATCTTTCTCTCCAAAGCTAAGCCTCTAAAAAATAAAAAAAAAATAAAATGTTTATTCAGGTAAGGTACATACATACAAGAGATTTTACATAAATTGATTGATTTATAGATGGAGCTAGCACATACAATGCCTAAAGCCACTATTACGCAAAGCGTTTCGGGCAGGAAAAACATTAATGACTAAAAACTTAATACTATTGAGTATAAAGAATAAAATGTGTTGAGAACAAATAAAAATAAAGATAAAAAAGGGGGAAACATGGCTGAAAATGTAGCACAAATACAATTAGGTTGACAAACAGCGTTATTTAAGAACTACAACACACACTGTCCTCTCCTCACTAAGCAAGTTACTGCCAAAAGATTAAACAACCCCTGGCTCTCAAGTGGCAAACTTAAAAGCAATTAACAAGAAATACGAATATGAAAAAAATAGGATTAGACTAATTACAAAAGGAGAACTTAAGAGATACTCATCAATGCTTACCAATATAATACGAAGAGCCAGAGCTTCCTTTTATGAGAATAGATTTAAAGAAACGCGTCTACCAACATCTGTACTGGTGCAGTCATCGGGAGGACAAACCCTTCATGCAAACTGCACCTACTAACAAAAAGAAGAAAAGAAGAAGCAAAAGGAAATATGAAAAGTACATGGAAAGCCATCCCTAACATCCTAGGGTCTAAACAATAATCACATAACAAGCCGATAAAACTCTCCAAAGATGGTTACACACTTGCAACAGACTAAGATATTGTAACTGAATTCAATAGCTTCTTTTCATCGATTGGTGCAAACCTTGCCAGAAAAATCCCCGAGATCCAGACAATGTTACTGCTGTACATTATCTCGCCGGCAGCTATCCTAACACTACTCCTTTTACCAGTCAGCCCGACAAACCTTATATCCATAATTCAATCACTTAAAACGAAAGCTGGGAACATTAATGAAATACTGTACCATCTTTGATATATAAGAGTGCTGCCCCCTGCTCTTGCACAACCCATAGCTCTGCTATTCAACAAATCTCTAGAGTGTCATACTTTAACCGGTATCCTTAAAAATGAAAGTGACGGCAGTTTATAAAGGAGGCAGGGTGGAAATCAGTAGTTATACAAGTTGGTCAACAAACAACATTCTTGGAAAATGCAGTAGCAAGACATGGGTTGACATTTAGGGAGTAAGGTAGGTTACATGGAGTTTAATAGGTAGTACTGTTCCTAGTTTTTCTAAGTTGAGAGTTGGTGGTTGAGAGAGGTACAGCCTTTGAAGTGATTAGGAAGCTCATTCCATATTCTGGGTCCCTTGATTTGCAGAGCATTTCTAGTTTGGTTAAGTCACACTCTTGGAATATCAAATAGTATTTGTTTCTGGTGTGGTGCCCATGGGTTCTGTTAAAACCTTCTAGTCCTTGTAGGACATTGTAGAGCAGGTAGCATAGTAGTGCTCCTGGGCGCAGAGGCTGTATCTCTGTGCTGGCCTGGTGCACTTCCTGGTGTAGTGGGAGTACTGGTAGCACTTGAAGCACTGCCGGAGCTCCTTGAAGTGTTCCTTGATCACTTAGGTGGTTGGTATGGTGATTCCTGCACACATAAGTCCATAGTCCATGGTATGGGTCGCTGCAATGGCCGTGGTGAAGGTCACCTTCAGTGTTCATCTGCAATTAGACCTCGGCATTGGAGATGGTTTTTGACCGCTACCGCTGTCAGCGTCAGGGTTTTGGTCGTTAATGCTGGCGAGGATGTTGTCGTCGTCGCAGTCGGTGATCCAGGTTCTGATATTCCTGCTGAAAATGGTCCTGTCTGCCAGGTAGCATCATGGTGTTGTGAGGGCGAGGCCGGCTTCTTGCAGAGTAGTGATGGCGGTGGTGGTGAATATCTGCTCAAGGTCCGAATCGCTGGAGAAGAGCAGGTGAATACCTTCTCTTGTCTCCAGGATGTAGGCCGGAGAGACGTCCATTCCCTGTATGAATCGTAGTGAGTGGGGTGTCATGCTTAACACAGTGAGAGAAGTGAACTGATGATGGCATGTTTTTTTTTTACTTCATCGATGCATGTCACTGTAATATAATTGAATTTATAACTTATATTTTTATATGTAATGCATATACTGTACTATATTTATATGAATCAAAGAGTGAATTTATTCAGAGTCTGCAATCTACCTTCTTTAATATATGTATTCTACAAAATCTAGATGATGTACTACACCATGAATACTGTACTGGCTTGACCATGCTTAGTTGATTTCCAGCTTGGAATAATGAAGACTGCCGCATACAGTGGGAAGAGAGTGAAAAATACCCTGAAGGAGAACGGCTGACCTTTGATGGAGTCCCTTTCGTTGTTCTTGGAACCAAACATCTGGGTTGTCAGTTTGGTGTACGGAATCCTTGCAAGAAGGACAAATATTTAGAATGGAGAAAGGTTAGCAGAATATAGTTACACCAGAAATGTAACTGTTTTGCATTTGGCTGTTATATACTGTAGATCAAAAGGAAGTAAATACAGTAGCTGGCCAAATTTCTTGGGGTTGAGTTTATATTGCAAATAGGAAATGGAAACTATTCATGTCTTATACAAATACTGTACAGTACTGTATTACAAATACTGTATCTTAGTTGTTAATATCTTGTTATAACATTAAAAGTAACTCTAGATGTTCATAAAGTAATTTATAAACATTAAATGAATGTACAGAAGAAACTATCCTTGGAAAAAATGGATTCTTATAATACTGTACGGTATATGGATAATGTGTAATATGGATCTTGCATATATAAGAAGAATACTTTAGTACTAATATAGTGGATATATATTTAAAAGTATTTGTGCATAACTCGGTTGTATTTGGTTATTCCACCAACAGGACCAGTGTGAACAAATAAGTCCACCCAGGAGAGGCAGCTGCCCAGCTAAGGTTGTACTGAAGGAAGTTATCAAATTTCCAGATTATAGAGTACGTGTGTATGTTGTGTTTGGTGTAATGTAATAATGTGTAGTATTCAACAGGTAAAAATAGAATGAAGAATAATTGGTCATGAGTAATGTACTGAATTGTTTGTTGTACCTAATATCCAGAACTGCACTACGAGCTCTAAAAAGTCTAGTGTTCTTATGTTCTTATAACAAGTTTGTAGAGAAACGTCTGCTCTGGCTATCTTCTCATTATGGGAAGCTCCTGGGGAGAGAGTAAAATATTGATCAATTAAAATATACTATAATATATAATCTTTTTCTAATATCTAATTTTGTTAATGTATTTTGATTGCAGATTGACAGCAACACCAATTATGAAAGAAAGAAGTGGTCTAAAATGATACGTGATGATTTGTTATTAGGCAATGCTCGTCCCCAGCAAAGAATATATGTTCAGCTTCCCAACAGTGATGCTCATGTTCACACTGTCTTAGTAAAGGTACAACAATTTTCTTTAATGTACATTATTTCCTAAAACTTTTAAGTCTGGTATTTTTTAGTTTTGTTTTAATATTAAGCAATATCTATTAGCAGGTTCATGATATAGTAATTATCTTCATCATCATCATTCCATTTTGCAAAATTATGGGGTGGGGGAGGCACTTTTGTAGGAAGGATGAATCCCTCATATTAAAAATGATTTTGTAATAATTTTTCACGTCATATGCTAATTATATGCATTCTGTAAACACATTTTACACAAATACATTATTTATAAATTCTGAAGAAATTAGTTTTTTATATTTCTTTATATACAGGTTTTAAGAAATTCTGTAATTTTGTTCGTTTTATTGTATAGTTAGTTAGTTTAATTATTATGCACCTCATACTCATCCTGTAGGTAGTAGTGGAAAGGTTATTCAACTACATAATGGGCTCAGGAGTAGAGCTCAGAATATTTATGTAGCTAAACACATAACATTGATGAACTAGTTAGCGTTTAACTTTTCAGTGTTCCAGTGACAATAAAATGCACCATCCGTACTTTGACAGTAAACATTCCAACCATCTTGAAATTCCAGAAAATGGTTATTTTTTCTGAGCACAGTGTGGGCATAGCTTATCAGGGCACTAAGCAAAGAATCAGGGGAACCATCAAAAGATCGCCTCAGCCATCTCCCTATCACACAAGATGATAATTGCTCTGCTTGTGAGTATTTTCACAATGACTTTCAAATTACCTGCTGGAAAAGTGTAAACATCAATTTTTTTTCAGTGATATAGACTGATCATGTGCAAACTTCTCTATTTTTTATTTTTATTTATAATAAAATAAGTACAGTAGTGGGGGAAATGGGAGGGAATGGATCAAAGGGGTAAACAGAGGATAATGTGGTGAAGGTGTGTGGGCTACAACCACTCATTTTCCTTGTATACAAATTGAGATGTTGTTTTTATCTTGTTATCGGTACATAATTGTATCATCTAAATTATAATTGGTCTGATGAACAAATCCACAAGGGCCGTGATGAGTGTTCGAACTTACGCCCGGGATGATCTGGGCATAATATAATTGGTCTATTCTGTGAGTGCCCTTCACTCTCTTACACGTGAACTCAAGTTGTAAAAACACAATACTTGCATCTAAAGGCATTTGTAGAACACAGTTAATGGTCGACATATTTATTTCCCAAAATGTATGGCTTCACTAAATCATCAAAGATGCTATTATGAGTCGAGTCACTGATAAGCAATATAATTACTGTACGACTGACTTCCCCTGACATGTTCCTAACATTTAAAAGAAATCATAGGATACTACCACTCTTAAAACTCACCAAGGTCTGAAATAGCTAGTTGGTTGGGATAGTCTGGTCTAGGCCACACATGGCCTGTAAAGCCCTCAGTCTAGAGGTTCTCAATGTCTGAATCTGAATCAGAATTCTGAATCTTGAATCCTGAATGTCTTTCCTTAAACTTGCTCTGCTATTTTGGGGGGGGGGGGAGCTACTGAGCCAAGCTTCACTCGTTAACGAATCCTAAGGCAACTTCACTATCAAACAATGACAAAGCAGCTGCTGTTTGTTGAAAAACCTGAAAGCACACCAAAATGTGATCCAGCACAATTAAGATTAGTAGATTCCAATATCTGCCTTGTCATTAAGTGTGGACCGCAAGTCCTGACTTCTTGGTAAAGGTGCAACTTTACAATCTGTAGGTGTGACCATGCATTGTCTTGCAACACTTCCTGTCACTGACAATCTCCTCTTGTCATACTAGACTCAACTCCTCATGCTGTATTTATCTAACAGTGCTCTACATGATCTTACAATGTTGAAAAATATATAAGGAATGTTAAAATGTTCATAAATATTCATTTATGAACATATACTGTACCACATAATTTTTGGTCTCAAAAAACATTTTGACACCAAATTTATTGTTATAACTCCAAAGTTAACAGAGAAAATTTGAAAAGAGTACAGTATGAACATTTTGGGTGTCACTGAATGGGACCTTGAGATGCCCAGAATGTTTACAGTTGGTTATATGCCGATGGATTGAAGCATTAAACTATTAATATATACATCAACAGTCTCTTGGTAGTTTTGGTTAGTTTAGCTTAACAGGTTACATAGTTGTATAAAAGGTTCAGTAACTGGATTACACTGTTTATAGTGTAAGCAAGTTACATTGGTGGTTACCAATGCAGTATTTAATATGCCTCATATTTGTAATTAAATTTACATGGGTAGTGATATATATATACAGTATTGTGGTACATGGTTACCCAGACACATTAGTACACACCGATAGGTAGTTTTGTAAAAAAAAAAAAATCACTTCCTCAATTCAGAAAAAACTTATAATTTAAACAATTATGCAAATACTGCACTCACCACGATGGTGATCTATGTAATAAGTAATAACATGTATTCTATGTAATAAGACTTTAGACATTGTTGTACAGTTTCTATACAGTACTTACAAAATACATTAGATTTTTGCTTGAACAAAGCAATTTATTCTAAACCTTCCCATTGCATCCAGTTTTGGATGTTTTTCTGTGAAGACGTCCGGGGCTAGGAGGGAAAGAATGGCATTTTAGTTTAGAGCAAAACAGTTTGCTTAGGTAGGGACACTACTAACAGGACAGCTTTATCTAGACAAGTCACAAAATTGATAAGGTAATTGGTCTGAGAAAGTGGCATTCAAATACCTTTTCATCTGTTTGTACATAAGGTTTCCTGTAATAATGTTATGATGTAACACAGAATAACAATGAGGTTTTGAGGCAAATGTTATAGAAAAGTATTGTTTATACAAATGTATTTATATCATTGCAGAGAGTAAATGAAGACACAGTCAGCAAACCCAACCCACCCCACTGTTTAATCTGCAATGCTAAACTTTCAGCATCGACCAGATCTGCTATTGCTATATTTTCTGGGCAGGTGAGAATTTTATTGGTATGCTTCATTGTTGCACATTCATGTAAATAAAGAACTAGGTACATATTTGTTGACCAAACCACACACTAGAAATGGAAATGACGACGACGTTTCGTTGTCTCTTCTATTTCATTGTCCCATTATCAAGTCACACAATCGACTTGATAATGGTCCAGACGGACCGAAACGTCGTCATCGTCTTCTATTTCTAGTGTGTGTGTGGGTTGGTCAACAGTTTTCAGCCACGTTATTGTGACTTTTCATCTGCATAGGTACATATTTGCTAGTCATATCCTGGAAAGACTCCTTAGCCCTTAATTTTCTAAATTGTGTTTTTGGCAATCACAAACATTTAAATGAATAGAAAAAGCTTGAATAGATACTAAAGGTCTTGTATAGTTTATTTATACATACTATACAGTACTTGAAAATTTATAATTTTCCCAGTAATTGTCATGTTTGTACTGTACATACTACAAATCGATCACAAAGATTGCACTAAATTATCTGAACCTAACCTAACCGAGGACCCACGAATAGAAAATATGACAGCCTATCAATTTTGTGAGCTGCTATGATTTAATGTTTTGGCTGTTGGGGATTTATACATCATAATACGATGTGCTATTCGAGAGGACAGGTTGGTTATGCAGTGCTTTTATTAATATTCCCGGGATGAACATTGTATTCTAATTGGTTTGCATGAAACTAAAGGTAATAGGTCCATTATATAATATAGAGATGTTCATCTATGTTTTTGTGTGTGTGTGAGATTGTTAAAGGAAGAAACTTGATAGCACATATAAATTCTTTTCCAGGTCCGTACTTCACATCGAAATTTGGAGTTGCACTCTATCCTGGGAGAAATTATCAACCAAACTTTGGAGGAAAATTTGCTACATTCCACTATCATTTGCAGCAAGTGTTTCAACCTCATTGATGATATTGACTCTATTGAAGAACAGTTAATTAATAAGAAACAAGTAGGTTGCATTGACCAAGTATGGCACTAGTCAGTTGTGTGAATATAGTACTTTTTTTTTTCCTCTGGAGAGCCCCTCCAGCACCTCGGAGCTATACCGGGCTGATGTGTATATATTAGACCGTGGCAACCTAGAACTGCGTCAATCGATGGAGTTCTAGGCCTACTGGGGACCACGAGCCAGAACCTGGCCCCCTCAGAGAGGCACGAGGAGCAATGGCCTATAGATACCCCCATATACTGTAGTTGGAAGCAGTCTATGTCTGCTATCTACCAGGCCAGGACCCAGAAAGATAGGAATCCCAAACCAAACTACAGATGGTTAAACATTGCAAACCGAAAGCCGAACGAGCAAGCAGAACTCCGCAGTCAGAAAACGAGCAAAGAAGCATGACGTCACCATGCCTTGCACGTCACGATTCATCCGGGGTTCAGGGACTGGCTCGGTTTTGTTGTGGGGCAGCATGCTTACCACTTTTGATGCTTGAATCTGGTGCCTCGCACTTTTACACGCCTTACTCGGGTCATGGTGACCCGTTTGCTTCTGTATTAGGGGTTCGGGTTTTGGCTTTCCTTGATGACTGGCTGGTCTGGGCTTCCAATCAGTCTGCATGTCTGCTCGCCAGGGATTTGATTCTTTCTCAGCTCGCTGGGTTTGGGTTCTTGGTGAACTGGAGGAAGCAGTTCAAACTTACTTAGGAGGGGAACCATTTGGTTCCCCTCTTATGTTTGAACTTGGCTGGGTCTTGTGCGAGACTCTCGGACCTCTTCCTTGTCTCTCCCTCCAGCGGTGTTGCTGCAGCTGTGGTCTCGCCTTTGGCTGTCTTTGGAGGGCAACCAGGTCACTTGTTGGTTGCTCGTGCAACTGTGCGGGAGTCTGAATTTCGCTGTGCTGATCTACCCGTCATGTTGGATCTGACTTCGGCGACTATTCTGGTTCCATCGGGGACGTCCCTTCCGCCGCTGTTGCGATCGCTGGGTTCGGACCCTGGGGGCCTTACGTTGGTTACTGTATCGCCAGCTTCCTCTTCTGGTTTTTCGAGTTCAGTGGCGTGGCGCCTACCCAAGCCCTCACTCGATGTGTTCACGGATACCTCGTCTCTTGGCTGGGGCTTTGTGACCAGTGCTCATCAGGCTGGACATAGTCGGTGGGGTCCGTCTTTCCGTCGGACTTGCAGCACAGTGCAGGAGTTCATGGTGGTGTGGCTTTTGCATCAGAGGGTTCGTGTTGCTAGAGGATTGACAATTCGGCTTCATTTGGACTGCTTCCCGGTGGTTCATTGCCTGAACCGTGGAGTGGGGGCGTTCGATGCAGTCCTTGGCTCTTGGGGGCTAATCACTTCGGATGACTCGTCTGCTGAGTTCTTGGGGTTTGACTTTCCCGGTGGTTCATTTCCAGGGGGTGACCAACGTTCAGATGGACGCCCTGTCCCGTTTCATTCCCCTCTCAACGGAATGGATGGTTACGACGCCTCGTTCCTTTGGTTCTGCTGAATGTTCCGCATCCAAAGGTGGACCTCTTCGCATCATCGTGGTCAAGGCATCTCCTGGTTTATGTGGCGGCCTTCCCCGACTGCAAGGCCGTTGGGGTCGATGTCTTTCGACTGGACTGGTCGAGGTGGGGCTACCTGTACCTCTTCTCCCCAGTTTGGTTGTTGCCCCAGGTCCTGGCTCGCTTGGAGACTTACCAGGGGAGAGTAGTCCTGTTGACCCCTTGGTGGCCAGCCCAACCTTGGTTTCAGGCGCTGCTTCCTCAATGTCCAAACTCGAGGGTCTTGCGTTCCGCCTCTTTCAGCAGATTGGTTCGGTCCAGTGCGTGGCTGGTTCCATCTTCTCCGATCTTCACGTCTGGTCTTTTTTGACGTGAGTTTACTACCACTTGTATGGTGATCAGGTGGCTTCATTGATGGTGTACCATCTGCGAGTCTCATCTTGGCGACAGTTTGAAGTTTCCTGGTGGTCCTGTCGGCATTTCTTAATTATTTGTAGGTTGTCTCCAATTTCTGATCAGGTTGTTTTGTCCTTTCTCTTTAGGTTGTTTCAGGACTGTGATCTTATGCCAAATACTGTCACCTCGTATCGTGTGGAGCTGGTGGAGCCGCTTCAGCTTACGTTTAAGGTGGATGTCACTTCTGCTCCGTTCCGCAAACTTTCTAGGGCGTTGTTTCACCTCCGGCCTGCTCATGCTCCGCCTGAGCCGTCCTAGTCGTTGGACCGGGTGTTCTTTTTTTTTTTCTCTCTCCTCCTCGGTTTGTGGTGGCTCAGGGGGCATGCTAGGATGGTTTTTCTAAGGCTCTTTTTCTTGTTAGCATTGGCAAACAAGGGGGTCGGGTTGGGGAGCTTCATGCTGTCCTTCGGCGCAAGGGTTTCTGCTCTTTCGGTCCTGGTGGTCATTTTGTTCGTTTACTGCCATTTCTTTTTCTGGCGAAGAATGAGACTGCTGCTTTCCAGAGGGGTCCTTAGGCTGTTGATGCTTGGTTGGTTCGGCCGGGGTGCATCATGATTTGTATCCGGTTGTGGCTCTTCGCCGTTACTTGTGTGCCACAGTCTCCGTGGCAGGGGAGGCGTTTTGGGTTGACCCGGTTTCCCTTCTTCTCTGTTCCAGGGTGCGTGTCTCCCAGGTCATCCGCAGGATTATTCAGTCCAGGCAGCCTGCGGTCTATTCCTGTGCCCATGACGTTCGTATGTTCGCATGGTAAACACGATTATATCCACATAGAACTATTATATCCTTCTTTGCATTATATATGTAAAATCCAGGTAATAATGGCTTAAATTGTCATATGATGATAAGCTAATTGCCCCGTGAATAAACATATGATGATAACTGCTGTCTAAGGGTTAAGATTTGAATTTGAGGGAAGACGTTTTTGTATGTGTGGCCACCCTGCTCTTGGGAATGTCTTTGGAAGGACCAAGAAAAAAATATATATATTTTAGTCTTGACAAACTGTCTTAACATTTGTCTTGAGGGAGCAAGATCAAGAACTCTATATGGGAGTAAATATGCATCATTAGTTGCAATATGGAGCTTAGGTGAATGAGACCATGTGTTTGTATCGTTTGGGTATATAATCAAAACATCTAACCCCCACAACTCAAGTTAAGGAAGGGGATGATGCTTCAGTCCATCCTGAACCATTATCAAGTTGTGTCAAGAGTATACACAGTGCATATTCCTAACACAAATTATAATGAAGTATTTATATGAAAGCATTTTGTAATTTTTGTATACAATTGTTATTGTTATATCTCTGCTTCCAGTTAGTTGTCAACAGATATAAGAGAACAGTGGCTGAAATCCAAGGGCGTCCCGAGTCTCCAAATAGCTTTATGCTGGAGGACGATGAATATGATGAGGTGTCATATGGTGAGAAAATGTCATTTTATTTTTTTTTTTATCGCCTTTCTATATCTGTTGTCATTCTTGAGTTTAATTTACATGGAATTCTTCATTTGTGCTCAAACTTCTCATTTCCCAGCTGTTAAGGGAATACTCTATTGCAGTTGCTCACTTCTGCATATAAGTCAGTTGTCACAGCAACCATCATTCTCTCTTTGAAGCTTCTTGTGCATTCATTTAGTACAATATTATCATTTTTGAAGTGTCTTAATTTGCTTATTTTCCCAATTCCAAGGAACATAAGTCTACATAAATTGTGTATATTCCTGTTTTACTTTCTCTGTCTAAAGTTATGGAATTTATACCCATGTTTTTCTGGTAATGCCCAGTTTTTAAAAGATTGTTGCAAAATAAAAAGCAACATTATGCCCATCATTTGAACTCCCAATTAATCTTACTCTTTAGCCTTCCTTTTCTTCTAGTTCTCTCAATACCACATTAGATGGGAAGTTTGCATATGTGTTTTAAAGACCGAATGATAGAATTGGAATTAAAGAATGCTCAACACAATCTTTTTTGACATAGGTATTGTTTTAAGATATATTAGCTGAAAATTGAAATTTATTGAATAAGAATACTAGTGTATGGTATATCTGTTATTTTTTTTTTTTAAAGTGTCTAATGAAAAGTGTTTCTTAGGGAAAAAACGCGGTCGGGGACGAGGTCGAGGAAGACCACCAGGTCGAGTCCGTGGAAGAGGGAGAGGACGTCCCCGTGGAAGACCAAGAGGCAGCAGTCCCAAGAAGTCTCTAGGAGAATGCATAGTGAAACTGGAATTGGAGCAAGCTGATGATGAACTTACAAATGTTACTTTCTTTTCAGCCTTAAAGTCCCCTCATTCTCTGAAGACTATTAAGAAGGAAGATATAATGGTGAGTAAAAAACATCTTACATCTTAAGATTACTTTTAAAGCAAAAAAGAAAGCTTAATTAGAAGTTTGTTATTGTTACCTGCATTGAGGATGCCTTACTCTACACTACAGTGTAGAGCAGATGCCTTACAGTTTGTGTAGAATCAGTCACATAATAAAATAAGCAAAATCCTGAAAGGTAAGGGTAATTAACAAGTTAAAATGCTAAGCTAGTATGACTAGCACATGGAAAGGATATGAGGACAAGGATCTTGGATAGGATGGAGGTAAGGAATGGTGCCCAACCATTTGGACCGTGGTGTGCCTGACCATTCCCTCAACTTGAAGCATCGTGATCCTACCCCTGCCCCCAAGACAAGACTCCAGGTCCACTGTCTTTCCTGTTTTTCTGGTATGACTTGTGCTTGTGTGTTGAGTCCCACTCCACACTTCTTCCTCTTCTAAGTTCCACAACTGCTTCCAGTCTTTAAACTCTAACACCTCCACCAGCTCCACGTCTTCCACTTCTCTACAATCTGATCCGAGGGCGATCCTCTGGTATCACCGACCAGCATTTTCACCCTTATTTCTCGGGCTTCCCCTACCTGCTGTATACAAGATACAAGATTCTTATTTTAGTGTACAGTATACTGTACACCTCACCTGGCGAGGTGATTCGATGAAATATGTCCCAAAAATTGACCACTGAGTGCTGTTGGGGGTTGGGTTAAGGGTCTGACACCTGCCAATCCTTATGACAGTCATTGTGGTCTAGTGGGTAAAGTACTGGATACGTTAAGGTGCATAGAGCTCTGGCTGTCTGGGGGTCGAATCCTTCAAGGGGTAATGAGTTTTCGGTTATAATGTTAATATATATATATATATATATATTAATATATAGTATATATTATATATTATATATTATATATTACAGGGAATGGAGTACCACCTTTGACTGGAAGAAGGGGGACCCATAGCCTAGGAGGAAACCACGCATAACGCATTAGAGGGAATGTTTGGATCCCCTCCAATACAGTTTCTGTGTGCTTTTCTCCTACCACCCCCTTCCCTTTTTTGTGCTTTATTATGTATTTGATGGTTACAAGATATATATATATTTATATATTTATTTATTTATTTTACACACAACTGCATAAGATACATAATTGAACGGATAAATTGCATGTCACATGAAATCTTAGTTGTATTTGGATTTTTTATCTAAAACTTTATTAAATTAATTTTACATGGGGTTTGGTGCCTTCTTTTGATAATTACCTTACCTTACCTTAATTTTACATGATTGTTGATTAACACTGATAAGTTATCTTTTCCAGAATGACCTAGAATCAACTGATCAGAAGCCAAATAATGAAAATATAGAGATTTCTGAAGTGAATGGAGATGATTTGACTGAGGATGATGTTGGAGAAGCAGACATGCCAATAGTTGATGGGGATGTTGCCATGGAAATCCAGGGTGATGTTTTAGAAGTTGTAGAAGAAGTTTTGGAAGAGGAAGTTAAACAAGGCAAAAGATTTTCTTGCTCTGAATGTGAAAAGCAATTTCTGACCAAAGCTGCAGTTAGGAACCACATCAAAGTTCACGATAGACTCGATTCATATGACTGTGATGAGTGTGAAAAGTCATTTGCAACTAAGTATCGCCTTAAAGCTCACTTAAAAACTCATGTGGACAGGGACAGGCCTTACAATTGTAGAGTTTGTAACAAGGCATTTTACACACGTTATCATTTAAATACACACATGAGATCCCATGAAGGAGTAAGGAATTTTGTTTGCCAGTTGTGTGGCAAGGCTTTGTCAACACAGAAGACACTAGAAATTCATGCTCTGACACATACAGGGGAAAAACCATTCCAATGTGAAATTTGTGGTTCTACTTTTAGGCAAAGAAGTAATCTACTAACTCACATAAAAGCAACACATTTACAACAAAAAAATTATCATTGCCAAATGTGTCAAAAATCATTTGTAAGAAAGAGGCTTTTGGTATATCATATAAATAGTGTTCACACAGGCCAAAGGCCATATAAATGTGAGCTGTGTAATGCTTGTTTTGTATATCCACATTATTACAAAAGGCATTTGCGGAAGCATACGGGTGTTAAACCACACAAATGCCATGTTTGTGGTAAAACTTTTGCATCGAGAGAGAACCGTAATGCGCACATGTTTATCCATTCGGATAAAAAGCCTTATGAATGCAAACTTTGTGGTGCAGGTTTCATGCGTAAGCCACTGTGTGCAAACCACTTGGCAAATCATGGCCACACTGAAAATGCTGAGGCCTATATTATTTTTAATTCTCCAAGCCTTCTGGTTGGTGGTCAGGAAGAATTAATGGTAGCCGAGGACGAAGAAGCAGCCCGTGCTGTTCATGCTGTAAGGATGGCTGAAGAAGCTAGTCCACAGGAAACTATAGAAGAACCAGCACAGGTAATGCGTGATACTAAAGTAATGAAAGTAATGTCAAGACCTTTGCATATTATTGAAACGGATGATGCTACTCGTTATGTTATTCACTCGGGAGACCGCGTTAGAGATGAAAATATGGAGCACTTTTTTGCTGCGTTACAGGGGCAAGTTGTAGAAGTACGTTCAGAAGATTTCTAATGCTGTACTTACCTTTTTGCTCATTTTCCTTAGACGAAATGTGTTAATTTCACATTACTATTACTTATTTAAAACTATATAAATTTATTTGTTAATTTGTTTTCTATATATAGACCCATTGTATGTGATGTCATGCAACCACATGGATTTTATTGTATGGGATAAACTACTAGAAGAAAGTTTAGCATTAAATGAGTGTGGAAAAATCTCTATATACAGTGAAGCCTCAGTACTCAAACTTGATTGTTTTGTACCTGGATTGTACCTGGATGAGGCTCTAGGAGTTCTACTTCTGAAGCCAGGCTTGATGCCAGGCTTGACTTCCTGAAGACCTTTAAGTGCCAATCTGTTCAAGTACCAAACCATTTTTTTCCATAAGGAATAATGTAAATTGGATTAATCCATTCCAGACCACACAAAATACATATATGAATACAATAAATACATGAAATAAATGCAAATACTGTATATTCTCACTTTAACTGCACTTTGGAGAGTTGATGGCATATGTGGAAGGTGGTGAGGCAGAGGAGGAAAGATGATGATGTTTGGTAGTAAGTCCTCTAACATAATAACTACAGGTAATTGGTAATTATACTTCTGGAGTTCTTTCTCTTTTTCTTTTTTTTTCTTTTTCTGTTTCCTTTTTGAGACACTCTGGATGTTTTTCTTACAAGAAACTTGTCCAATGGTGATTGCTTTTGCATGCATTTTAAAATGTTTCTAAAGTGGTACATAGCATTGTCATTCAAGAGGTTTATAAAACAGTTTGTCACAGCTTTGTCACGGTGATATTTTTCAAGTAAACGTACTACTTTCCTTCCCCTCAATTTTGCACAAATCTCTCTTATTAGAGAACTAGGGACATCCTACCCTCATTCTCTGAAGAAAACTCAGCTGCCATATGTTGTTGCTCCCTCTGAAGATCCTGCAGTTCTTTCATGGTGAGCTTTGCTCTGTCCTCCACATTATCAGCACTAACCCCCAAGCCCCAATGACTTGCCTAGACACACACTATCCCCCACAATAATCTCAAAGCCTTCAAAGTCATTTTCTGCTACAACATTTGACAGAAGTTACAAGATGACTTAAACAAATTGAAGGAATGGTCCAACAAGTGGCTACTAAAATTCAACTGGAGTAAATATAAACTAATGAAGCTAAGTGGAGGGAACAAGAGGCTAGACATGGTACCGAATCGGAGACAAAGTCCTTCGCGAAACAGAGAGAAAGATCTGAGAGTTTAGTGGCATATGCAAGGTTGGCTAACATTAGAACTGCTGTTAGAAATTTTGCGTAAGGAATCGTTTAGAACCTTCTATACTACATACGTAAGATCAGTCCTAGAGTATGCAGCTCCAGCATGGAGTTCATACCTAGTCAAGCATAAGATGAAACTGGAGAAGGTTCAGTTGTGCCACTAGACTAGTTCTAGAACTAAGAGGTATGAGTTACAAGGAAAGGCTGCATGAATTGCACCTCATGTCTGGACAGCAGAAGAGTTTGGGGTGACATGATTACCACATACAAAATTCTCAAGGTGAATAAAGACATAACAGTATTTAACACAGGTGGTACTCGTACAAGGGAACATTGATGGAAACTGAATACCCAAGTGAGCCAGAGACATTAGAAAAAGCTTATTTAGTGTTAGAGTAGTTAATAAATGGAATGCATTAGGAAGCAAAGTGGTGGCAGACTCCATACACAGTTTCAAATGTAGATATAATAGAGCCCAGTAGGCTCAGGCACATACACCAGGTTCTTAATGTTGATGGGCATCTTAAGAAGCACATCAACAAACTGGAAAAGGTGCATAGACATGCCACTAAGTGTCCTAGAATTGAAGGACAAGAGCTACGAGGAGAGGTAAGAGGCATAAATATGTCAAAACTAGAAGGTAGAAGAAAGAGAGGCGATATGATCACCACGTACAAAATCAGGAATCTAAACTTGATTCCCGAGACCTGGAACTTCAAGAACAAGAGGTCATAGATTTAAACTAACTAAACAAAGCTGCCAAAGAAATGTAAGAAAATTCACTTTCACAAACAGTGGTAGACGGTTGGAACTAAGTTAGGTGAGGTGGTGGTGGAGGCAAAACCGTAAGTAATTTCAAAGCGTTATATGACAGAGTGCTGGAAAGACTGGACACCACTAGCGTAGCTCTCATCCTGTAACTATACTTAGGTAATTACCAATTGATTGACAGTTGAGAGGCAGGACCAAAGTGCCAAAGCTTAACCCCCTGCAAGCACAACTAGGTGGGTACAGTGCATACATAAACACATTGTGTTCATATATTTTGATTGAATATACTGTAGTTATATGAATGCAAAAGTGGATGTATAAATGTACATTTCATATGATGTGTTGTTTTAAAACTTGAAACACAATTATACCGACTTCTGAGTGACTTATAGTTCTATGGTTTTCTCGACAAATAGAAAAAGCTTTTGAAGAGTTGTCTCCCATTCCTGTTGTATCTTTTTTTAACCATTTGCCTTTATTAAAAAGATCGTCAACCTGTAAAAAACATTTAAAATGTCATCGGTGGTGGACATTTGTGGGTTAAAAGGAAAAAAATTATGGTTGTCAAGTTGACAATCATCAGCACTGGTGTGACCAACTTAAGCATGTTTGTTCATGTGAAACATGCATTTATACATCACTTTTTGTGCATACAATTACATACAATAAGAATACTGTATATGATTACAAGCATTACATCATTATTACCCTGTTTACCACTTTCATTGTTGGTGAGTTAAAAGTAAAAGGTTATAGATATTAAATAATAAATCACGAACAAAAAGTTACTCATCCATTCATTATCATTCCAATACAGCATCATGGATAAACAAGTGCTACCCGATACCAGCATTTATCCACAGAAGCAACTTTTCGCTTGACAAGACTAGACGTACAGTGCTCCTTGTAAATTGTCATTTTCATTGTTTACTATTACACTTAAAAGAATGAGAAATTTTATATTTATTTAAGATTTTAAATATATTTTATAAATATATTTAAGACACAAATTTATCAAAGTACATTTGTGTACACATTTCTAAGTTTTGTCACCCACATCTGCAGGAGTTGACATAAAACAGCTGTTCGTATGACATCAATGCAAGGGCTCTATACAATCTTGCACTATGTTGTAGATAAACTTATTTAAAGTTTGCTTTTTACAGTGGGTTATCATAAGGGATTTCATATAAATACCTTATCTCCTTTGCTTCACACAAGCACACTTGCCTGTCCTTCAGTTTTCATGACACATCTATACCAGTTAACCTTCATCTTTATATTTTGCTTAATTTTTTAGTTTACTCTTTCGTATTTCATGACTTGCTCTTTGAACATGTTTACTGTGTATCCTGTTTATAGAGTATTCATAACATATTCAGTGCAACCTAGAAAATCAAGACTACTGTATATTGTTCAGGAATGTTAAAGTACTGTACAGACATTTATTACTTTTTGCTATATTTATTTTTGATCGCAAATAATGTACCACACTCGCATATTTACACACAAAATACAGTACTGTATATAAATATTGATTTTTTATTATAATATTAAAAATTTAATAAAATCAAAATGTTTTATTTACCTTTTTGTTGGGTAGCCATATCCTTGTTACCCAATGCCAGCAAAGTTTGATTTGGTCTACAATTTAAATGGTAAAAATTTGCACATGATCTTGCCTGCCTTACTCCCCAATAGGAAGAAAACCCGCTGGGTTGTTCATCCTGTCACTTGTACCCAGACACAGCTGGGACTTGCTTAACTGTCTCAAGTGAACAGCTCCTCAAACATGAAGATTAACATCTATCAACCCCTAAAAGCTTGTACGATGTGGACCGGTTAGTGTCACTTATTCAGTTAAATTATTGGCCACACTCAACTTTATTAAGCAACATGCAGAGACTACAAGCATTTTACCTGTGGGCCGGCTATTAGTTTCAACTCTAAATAAATATATATTTGTTTTTTGAATTTGCCGCCGAAAAGTGCAGAATCTAAAGTCAAAATGTTTATGCTGTATTTATAATGGTTTACAAGACAGAAATTTTGATATTTATCATTTGTTATACTATTTCAAGCAGATGTATATTATTCCAGGAGGTAGGTGATAGTGAGTGAGAATAGTTTGTGATATGATTGTTTACGTGGTGTGAGGATCAATGTGGCGGCGACACGCAGCTGCTCCCTGCTGACACTTGCCGCTCTGCACACACTCCACCTCCACCACGCCACTCACATCACAGTTGCAACATTCCAGTAAAATGATGGATACATTCATGGGGTTTTCAGTTCACATGGTAAGTAAAGCCACAGCTAATGGGAGGAAGTTGAGCAGCTGTGGATGTTTGTGGCCCCCTAAGGCTGCACTTGACATATGTTGTTAGCTCAACACTTTACTCATAATTCATGTCGGCCTTCGCAACGAGATTCATTAGACTTTAGCCCAACCACTTTGGCTGGACGGTAGAGCGACGATCTCGCTTCATGCAGGTTGCGTTCAATCCCCGACTGTCCAAATGGTTGGGCACCATTCCTTCCCTACCCCAAATCCTTATCTTGATTCCTTCCAAGTGCTGTATAATCGTAATGGCTTGGCGATTTCCCCTGATGTTTTAATTAATTAAATTAGACTTTAGCTTTTAGCGTGGAGGATGTCTGCTTAACTCTTCAGTCGAGTTAAGCGCAGTTGGATCTAGTCAATGATTGTTTATTGTGTGTGTGGGGGGGGGGAAGGGCAGCCAGTGCATATGGTCGAACACCTTGTGAGAATCTGACCAGATTGTCAATTGGGTTAACCCATGTGTTGTTTCCACAATGGTCGCCCAAGTTAAAATCGGTGAAAGCCAAAAGAATATTGTTGAAAACATCTTGATAACTTATTCAACCAAAAGTCCTAGTTTTTTAACATTAGGTCAGGTCAGTGTTTTACCACTGTGCCATGGGGACTTCATATCTATGGGAAAATTTTGAATGCTAAAACCGGCATTTGCCTATTTTAACTTGAGCGACCATTGTGGAAACGCATCACATGGGTTGACCCAATTGCTACTTGGGTCAGATTTCATTATTGTTTGGAACAACCCATGGAACCCACCTACCCACCAAAGACATTACTGCAGTTCAAAATAAAATTAGAAAAAATCCACAGGAAAATTTTTACCTGAATTTATTTAATGTCCAACATCTCTAGTGGCCTTAATGGGGACAGGATGCCATCAGCTTGTGAAAGGTCCACCCCCAAGTTTTCCTGATTTTATCCAGCTTGACTTTTAACTGCAGCAATGTCTTGGCATAACAACCTGACCTTGGAAGTAGGTACCCTGGAGGTAATCACTTCAAAACCTCTACATAATTATTGCTATTATCTACTTCCTATCCCTAGTTAGGTTAGGTTACAGTATATTAAAATAGTGTATTATTCTCAAATGTAGAATGTAACACTAAAAAAACTATTTGAGTGTCCCCCCCCTCTACCATTTCATTTACAGAAAACTAAAGTCATCACCGTTACAAAGAAAACAAGTTAAGCATAGACTTTTTATACTTTTGACATTATAATACAATAAAGTTTCAACTTTAGAATATCCTCTGTTTAAGACAAAGGTTAACTTGCCAGTTTACAAGTAGATTATTTTTAAAACTATAATATGCTTTCAGACCATCGCACATATCTAGGTGTTTAACTAGGGCAGTTGGCTGGTCATTAGAATCACTTTGCCCTGAGAACAGCTTGCATTTATAGCTTCGGCAAGTACCATAGAAGCTCACTAATCCAGACTGTGGAAAGGACCCCCAGCCTGATTAGCACTACTCCAGATTAACGTACTTTTTCACCAGGAAGTCCAAAAGTAGCCATTTCCAACAATTTTGATACCACAAACAACAATTTGAATTGCTGAACCTTTCTTTCCTGCTGGGTGGGTGGTTAGCTGCCTGGCTGGTAGGCGGGCAGATATGTGGGTGAGTGGGCAGGTAGGTCAGACACCCACCCCCACCACCCACCACACTCATACTCCTGACATGCACACACCCACTTCAGCCTCCCAGCTTGCCAGAACCCTGCCTGATTCCCTCCTTTCCTGGTGGTAGTGTACAATGAGTGTTGGGCCCAGCATTTCACTTGTTTCTCTCTTGGTGGTAAAGGTTCAGATGTTATATTCTGAGGCAAGTCGACCCTTGGTTTTGGAGGTATTTTTAGGCTTGAAACACTCTATCAGTATACACTGATCTGGCCAGATATCCGATGGCCCGGCTTCTATAGACATTTTGGCTGGATAGGAAGGTAACTTAATCCGGCCATGATTTTTGCCAGATTAGGGGGTTTTCCGGATAGAGAGATCCCGGATTAGCGAGCTTCAACAGTATGCAGTTCTGAGGGTTTATAACCCTATGGGTGAAAATTAATCTCCAGTTTTCTGTCTTAAAAAAACAACAACATTATTTTAAATGTTTAGAAAACATAAATGATGTGCACACACACACATACACAGGAAAATATCTATATGCTGTCATCAAAAAGTGAAGTGCATCAAGAGGTGTAGTGGAAGCCACCTTCATCAAAAGCATATATGACAGTGAATTAGAACACAAATTTCATAGCTCAAGGTACAACTGGGTAGATCTTGGTCTCATTACAGATAGGTAAATATACAGTATTCTGTATATTTTATAAAATTATTTTTAATTTTGAGATTTTAATAAATGTAACTTCTTGAAACTTGAATATTACTTAATTTTTAATATAATGTCTTACTCTTGCAGGACTTCGAAGGACAGAAATTGGCAGAGAGACTGTTTCAGATAATTGTAGTTGCATTTGGAGTAAGTAGCATTACTACTTTATTACGGTTGTATTTGGTGAATTATAGAGTACAGGACTGTAAAGCATACAAATTTTTCTATGGGAAGACTAGGTTTACAATTGGTAAAGTATATTTTATGGGTATAAAGTTAGGAAACATATGAAACAATTCAACCAAAGAGAAAATACTGTAGCTCTGAAATGAATGCAAATACAGTATATACAAATGAATGCAAATACAATTCATGGAAGAAATAAAGCATGCAGAATACAATATTGTTTATTGCAGATAAGTTTGCAATAAGACTTAATGATGATAAGATAACATGGCTGAAGAGTTGACACCAAACCCGCCACATCTGAAAATGAAGACCGACACTGTTTCGGTCCTTCTTCGACCATTATCAGGTCGTGTAATTCATGAAATTCATGACTCAAAAATTTATTTGAGGGCCACTAACACACTAATGGCCTCGACAAGGACAGGAAGCTGATGGCTTGTCAAAGGTTTCCCCATTTGTCCTGATTTTTTATGGCTGTATTTGAAAATTCAACAGTTTTGGTATTTACTGCATCTATGGGTAGGTGATTCCATGGGTCTATAACCCTGTGGGTAAAAAAATCATCTGTTTTTAGTCCTGCATTGTGGCTTGTTCACTCACACACACCGGTGAGGGGAGCCGGTGGCCGAGTGGACAGCACGCTGGACACGTGATCCTGTGGTCCCGGGTTCGATCCTTGGGGCCGACGAGAAACGAGGGGCAGAGTTTCTTTCACCCTATGCCCCTGTTACCTAGCAGTTAATAGGTACCTGGGAGTTAGCTGTCACGGGCTGCTTCCTGGGGAAGGGGGGGGGGGGTAAAAAAATAGTAGTAGCAGAAACAGTTGATTGACAGTTGAGAGGCGGGCCGAAAGAGCAGAGCTCAACCCCTGCAAGCACAAATAGGTGAATACAACTAGGTGAATACACACTCGCATTCAATCCAACGACACTCGTGGATCCATTTGGGTACAATTTTTCATCAAATTTTGCACCAGAATTGCATGTGCATGCATTGCATACTGCACGGGCCGTGCTGAGTTTTTACAAATGTTAGAAAGCTGCAGGAACACGCAAGCCATAGATCACTAAGAACTCTAGTTGACCCGGCCAGGATTCAAACCCATGCCATCCAGGATCACCCCTAAACGTACACAGTACCGTGACCACTGCACTAATGATCAATGCACCAATGATCAATGCACCAATGATTCTTAGTGATCTATGGCTTGCGTGTTCTTGCAGCTTTCTAACATTTGTAAAAATGCAGCGTGGCTCATGCATGTCCCAGAATTTGATGGAAAAACTGTACCCAAATGGATCCATGAGTGTAGTCAGAGGTGGATCAGTCGTGGAGCTTAGTAAGCACCAGGACTGACCAATCCTTATAGATGATCATTGGTGCAGTGGTCATGGTACTGTGTACGTTTAGGGGTGATCCTGGACGGCATAGGTTCGAATCCTGGCTGGGTCAATTAGAGTTCTTAGATAGCTACTGATATTATGAAGCTTTGTACCTCTAGTCCCCAATTATTTTTATTGATAAAATTGTGTGGATTGATTGAATTGTGAGAGCTGTGAGGAATAGTCAGTGGTGGCAATTTCAGCAACATGGGTTTATTTGGCTGGCAGCCTAGTCCCTGGAAAAATCTTGGGATCAGTCATTAACAGAAATTGCCAAATGTCAATTATGGAGTCTTATTTAATAACATAATGTATTCTATCATGAACATTATTAAAGATGAGAACTTGTATTAATATTTGGTTAGGTTATGAGAAACCTCTTGATGTATTTTTAGTCTGTCCACATTGAATCATTCTGAATTCTTGAGGCTCCAATAATTGAGTAATACTAGTGTATTAATACTGTATCACTCATTCTGTGGTGTGGTTTTGTTCTAAATACTGTATATAGGGTGAAATATTGGAGCATGTAAACAGATTGACTGTGTTATTATTTTCAGGCAGGTGGTTGGCTGTATGGATACTATGTACAAGACTTCTTCATCACTGTTCTTACCCTTGGTGCTGGCTTTGTTCTGGCTTGTTTGGTTAGTAATGCATTTTTTTTTATTAATCTTTTATTGTACAGCAACAATGAGAACAGGTGATAGGTATTATAAAATTGGTTTGTGCATATTATATAAGGCTAACTTTAATTCTTGAAATTTGGTGACATAAAATTAGACAAGAGATTCTTTATAAATGGGTCATTACTAGTGTTCAGGGATATTGGGACAAGGTTTCCACTCATTAACCTTATCACTAAGGGTTAGGTTGGTAACTACAGTTACTATGATGTTATGCTCCTTGTTGCAGGAGTTTTTGTATAATCTGTTGGGTATTTTCTTACCAGATACAAATACAGCAATAGACTGGATAAAAATTGTCTTTGAAATTCTGTAGTTTTACTTGTGCTGCTTCTAGCAATTACTTAAAAGATAAACAAATTATTTAAAATTTCAAGTACTGTATTGTGCATAGACAAGGTCTATACTATTGTGTTAGGGTGTACAGAAACTAACAGATTTTGTGATTGTATTGGACTTCAGAACTGAAGTTAAAACTTAAATTTACCCTGAGAAAAATTTTGATGAATGTGCCAATTTAAACTATTGGAATTTGTATGGGGATTGTTTCATAAGAATAGAGTATTGTAAAAAAGCCAAGCACTATTTTTGTGAATATTTTCTTTAGGTAACACTGCCTCCCTGGCCAATCTACCGACGTTACCCCCTCAAGTGGGCTCCCTCTCAAGAGGCGGCAGCTTCAAACTCTGCTACTGAAAATGCATCGGGCAAAAAAAAGAAGAAATAGAAGTCTGTTTTGTCAAGAGTGATTAAAGTTCTATAACTAAAATTCAAATTTTCATACATATTCAGTTTTTCTTTTGTTGAATTCAAGAAATTTTTATAAAAATTTAGTACATTTTCATACTTGATGGTTTTGTTTAGTTTTAGGGTCACACTAAACATAAATTACTTGTTCCTGTAAGCATCTGTTAAGATTTATTCCTTATTGTAGCTAGTTAAAGTAATGTTACATGACACGGCAAAATGTACAAACTGGTTAACATACTGCTTAGCTCAAATATACTGTTCTAACCTTATTGACATATACTGTGTAATGGATTGTGACCCTTGGTTTTACTGGTACAGTAATGGGTACTAGAGCTGAAAGGGTTTCGTACTAAAATGACGAAAAGACATTTGTTTTACGTTTCCTACTTTAAAAATGTAAAAATGTGAATTTTGCACCAGTTGCCTTCCCTCAAGACCGATGCCTTGATGTGATGTGGGTTCTTTAATCTGAAGGGCATTTGAAGAGGGACCATGATGTTCCTCTTCTAGCTTAAGGTAATATAATAGGTGTGAGGTATAGTAGGTATATGTATAATAGGCATATGTATAATAGGCAATAGGTACTCACCTATTTGTGCTTGCAGGGGTTGAGTTCTAGCTCTTTGGTCCCATCTCTCGACCATCAGTCAACAGTGAGAGGTAACCGAGGCTACTATATAACCTGTGTGTTTTCTTAGAGATCTGTATATTTCCCATGTCTTTATTTGAGCTCGAGTCTGTCCAAGAGTTGTAGCTTCAAGGGTCCAACCACTTTGACTGGTTGGTATAGTGGCGGCCTTGCTTCTTACAGGTCTGTGTTTAATCCCTGATGTTCCAAGTGATTGGGCACCATTTATTTCCATTTTATTTTAGTTCATTGTCAATGTGTCCCTTTCAAGTGGTGTGAAGTCATACTGGCTTGGTGCTTTTTCATAATTACCTTGCCTCCAGGGGCAACATTCTAGTCACTGATCAGTACTGGTATTTAAGACTTGAGTATCAAAGATAACTGAGGGGGGTGTATGTGCTTAGGGTAGATTTTAATTCCAACTACCAGTTTGGATCACTAATGGAAGCTCTCTTCAATTTCAATAATTGCCGAGAGTTTAACCAGTCTGAAATTTCAAAATAATTGCGATATATTGAGTACAGTGGTACCTCGGAATGCGATTGTCCCTGTATGCGAGGTTTTCGGAAGGCGAGCAGTATTTACTCCAAAAATTTGTCTCAGAAGGCGAGGGTTACTTCGGGACGCGAGTTTGTTGATACGCGTACAGGCCGACCTAGCGCGTGGTGGTTCGGCGATCGTCGCCCCTCCGCCCCTCAGTTTACCATTGTCTCGCGCTCAGTGACTACCCCCACATCAATTCTTCTCGCGGATTTTCAGTGTTTTGTTGGATTTTTGGTGATTTGTCTATACAATTTGTTATTATATATCTCACCATGGGTCCCAAGAAAGCCAGTGGTAAAGATAAAGGCCAGAAAGCCCATGTGAGGATGACAATAGAGGAGAAACAAGAGATCATTCGGAAGCATGAGAACGGTACACGTGTTGTTGAACTTTGTAGGCAGTACAACAAAGCCACATCAACAATATGCACTATACTTAAGAAGAAAAATAAGATTATGGGTGCTAAAGTGGCAAAAGGAGTAAGAACATTAACGGCACAAAGACCACAAATACTTGAAGAAGTGGAAAAGTTGTTATTAATTTGGATACACGACAAGGAGTTGAGGGGTGATAGTGTTTCGGAGGCCATTATTTGTGAGAAAGCCAGGGTGTTGCACGAAGACCTTCTAAAGAATACCCCTGCAACGAGTGATGCAGATAAGAAAGAGTTTAAGGCAAGCAGGGGCTGGTTTGAAAAATTTAGAAAGAGAAGTGGTATCCATAGTGTTACAAGGCATGGGGTTATGTGATGTGATTATGGAAGGGGACTCCCCTTCCAAACAGTAACTCCTCTCCTCCTCCCCACCATCTTCTATACGCCTACAGCACTCGACAGCAAGGTAAGTAATAACTGGAACACAGTTTTGTAGGTTTATTTAGATGAATTAGGTAAATTAGGTATAAAAATTTAGTTTGATGTGGGTTTTTTGGGGTAGTCAGGAACGGATTAATTCATTTCCCTTTATTTCTTATGGGGAAATTAACTTCGGAATGCGAGTTTTCGGAAGGCGAGGCGTCTCCAGGAACGGATTAAACTCGTATTCTGAGGTATGCCTGTACTAGACTCAAATCCCATGGATATTGTTGCTTTAGTGGGCATAATTCACTTTAAACTCAATCAGTTCCTCTTAAAACTGAACCATAACGATGGCAGATGCTTGATAATTCAAGGTTTGATATTTCAAACCTAATTCCCTAGGTTTGTATTCTAAGGGCAGAAACTCGAACATGATTCATAGCTCAAAATCTGTGAACCTCTTAAAAATATGCCCTCAGCTTTGCTAAATAGCTCTGCACAGTCCATTTTTTATTCAATTATCAGGTGGATCATGTACAGTATTTGAATGGCCCTTTCTTAAGACAAATGGTCATCTCCAAGTGACTTACGAAAATTGGAAACAGGACTAGTGCAAGACACTCCCTCATGGGTGCTGCCTTATTTTTGCAATCCCCTTAATGGATGTTGCCTTGTCCTGTGAAAGGGCCTCTAATGTGTTACCCTCGTACTAGTGTAATTAGCTTCAACCCCCTTCTCTGCCTGTTAGGACCCCATTTAGTTCATCAAACCACCTGCCATAAGATGGCTTAGGTTGTCCAGGCTGAGGTGCAAGGGAAAATGGGGTTTCATCTACCTAATCCCTCGGTTCAGTTGATGCTCTGGGTCTTTTCCAGTAGAATTGTACTCGAGCAGGCTGATCCTCCTGGCTCTGGTGGCCGGCTCGACCTAGGTTTCCTGTTCTTCTGGCACTGGTCAAACCCTGGCATTTTTCTGCAGCTCCACCTCTTCTCAGCATATTAGCCCAGCAATGTACCTTGTTGGTTTGATCTCTGCTCTACATCTGGAATTTCTAACCATACAAATGGTTTATCACAATTTGTGTAGTCAGAATTGGCCTCAACAATCTTTTCCTTTAGTGCATTCCACCTGCCAACCATCTGTGCAGGGAACGAGAATTTCCTTTTATCTCTTCGTCTCAATTGCATGTCCAGCTTCCACCTATGTTAGGGGTGCCATAGGCACAATCAGAGAACACTGTATAGACATAAGAGGTTCACGGTTGTTCAACATCCTCCCAGCGAGCACAAATATTGCTGGAACAAATGTGGACATCTTAAAGGGAAAACTATATAGTTTTCTTCAAGGAGTGCTGGACCAACCGGGCTGTGGTGGATACATGGACCTGTGGGCTGCTCTAAGCAACAGCCTGGTGGACCAAACTCACAAGTCAGGCCTGGCCTTGGGCCGGGGTTGTGGAGAACTACTACTCCCAGAATCCCATCAAGCAGGTATGTCCTCTTATCTTACTTCTCTTTAATTTAAATTGGCTTCCCTTATCTACTTTATTCCCTGTCAAGATCTTGTGTTTTGGCATTGGTACCATTTTGCAAGTTCTCTCATCACCGTCTGCAGACTTAGACCCATTGGTGAAGATGGAAATGGAGTGGGAGTGTGAAGAAAAGTGTTCAAGGAAAAGGCATTTCAGAACTGTAGGAGGGAATAAAATCTTTAGTGATGCAGGTTAGGGATTTACAAAATGTAGGAAGGGGGACCCTCCACGTGGACAAGGACGGAACAACACGAGAAATATTGGTAATACGAACCGAAACAGAATCTTGCAGGCAAAACAACCAGACAGAAAGAGGGATGTGGTGAAGAACAGGAACTACAGGAGGGGTAAAAGTCAAAGCACAACAGAGGTGAGTGAGGGTGTTGTAAGGACCCACGCAAGGTAGAAGACCGTAGTGATCACAGCGGTCCTGGAGAGATAGGGAGCCAATGTCAACATAGAAGCTGGGGTAGGAGTTGAACGAAAGGCACCAGAGCCGAGGCACAACCCAGTATGCTGCAAGGCATCAAGATGGCGAAGAGTAGAAGAAGCAGATGAGTAAGCAAAGCAACCATAATAGAGTTTAGACAGTAGTAGGCATCCATCAGTCTCAGGAGACTATGATGTTGCGCTCTAGTTGTCAGTCTGAAGTGGCCTCACCAGGGCGCAAAGCCAGGGTAGGTTGATATGGAGAAGCTGTTACCCAGGCAGCAGAAGGCCCCTTCCCCCTCTCCACTGCGCTGAAAGTCTCCAATGGAAAGACGAATGCCAGTGCAACTGGTTCCAGCGCTGTCGCAGGAAATGAGTTCCATGGTTGACCTCGAAGTTGGTGAAAAAGGGCACAGGGACCTCCAAACCCGGAGACCGCCGTTGACGGGGCTGATGAAGAAACATCATCATCATCAGAAGTGGAGTTAGATGAAGAAACATCTAACTTATATATTATGTGAGAAATCTTAAAAAAAATTCTGATAAAGAAAGATCTAGGGGTGGTTCTAGATAGAAAACTATCACCTGAGGACCACATAAAGAACGTTGTGCGAGGAGGCTATGCCACGCTTTCTAACTTCATAATTGCTTTTAAATACATGGATGGCGATATACTAAAGAAATTGTTCACAACTTTTGTTAGGCCAAAGCTAGAATATGCAGCGGTTATGTGATGCCCATATCTTAAGAAGCACATCAACAAACTGGAAAAGGTGCAAAGACATGCTACTAAGTGGCTCCCAGAACTGAAGGGCAAGAGCTACGAGGAGAGGTTAGAGGCATTAAATATGCCAAAACTAGAAGACAGAAGAAAAAGAGGTGATATGATCACTGCGTACAAAATAGTAACAGGAATTGATAATATCGATAGGAAAGATTTCTTGAAACCTGGAACTTCAAGAACAAGAGGTCATAGATTTAAACTAGCTAGAACTTCAAGAACAAGAGGTCATAGATTTAAACTAGCTAGACACAGATGCCGAAGAAATATAAGAAAAATCACTTTCGCAAACAGAATGGTAGACGGTTGGAACAAGTTAGGTGAGAAGGTGGTGGAGGCCAAGACCGTCAGTAGTTTCAAAGTGTTATATGACAGAGTGTTGGGAAGACAGGACACCACGAGCGTAGCTCTCATCTTGTAACTACACTTAGGTAATTACAACGAAGTCAGAAAAGGATCAGAGGTATGCCACCAGACTAGTCCATGAGCTGAGAGGTATGAGCTATGAGGAAAGATTGCTGGAACTAAACCTCACAACACTGAAAGACAAAGGAGTTAGGAGAGACATGATCACTACCTATTAAATTCTCAGAGGAACTGACAGTAGATAAACTGTTTAGCACGGATGGGACACAAATAAGGGGACACAGGTGGAAACCTAGTACCCAAATGAGCCACAGGGACATTAGGAAAGTACTTTTTCAGTGTCAGTAGTTAACAAGTGAAATGAATTAGGCAGTGATAAGGTGGAGGCAGACTCCATACACAATTTCAAATGTAGATATGACAGAGCCCAGTAGGCTCAGGAATATGTACACCAGTTGATTGACAGTTGAGAGGTGGGACAAAAGAGCCAAAGCTCAACCTCAATAAGCACAACTAGGCGAGTACACCATTAGTGGGAATGGAAAATTATAATTATCGTTCAAATTTGAGCAAACAGACTTCTGCTGTCCACGGCACTGAGACGGGTACTATAGGACGTACTATGGTACGTGAGGAAGAGTTGGTGCCTAGTGATAGCTAATAACTGTAAATTTACCACAGGGAAACTGTGAACATTAGTATCATAGGAACTATAAGCATTATGTGACATAAGTACTATGGTATCCCGAGGACAGGTTGAAACTGCCATAAAACAGAGATGGCACCACTCCCGTGCCAGGTAAGTCCACTATGGGCTCACCATAGCCCGTGCTATTTGCCCCGCTCCTGTGCCAGGTAATTTACGGGCTCACCATAGCCCGTGCTACTTGGAACCTGTTCAGAGTAGCTGAATCTATAACAACAACAATACCATGAATATTCCATTGAAGAATAGACATTGCCAAAAAGACAACAGAAAGGGAATGAGAGAACAAATGTAAAGAATGGTAAATTGCAATCTAGCAAAGACGACGGAGTCGAGAGAGTGGTAGGATGGGCCAGAGGCAGACTGACAGAATCTGGAGTGGGAGGGGGCATCGGAGGACAGTCCTCACCCCAAAGGAAATGAAGTGAGGAAGGGCAGAAACAGAGGAGTGTACTTTATCAAGGATGGCCCCCGAGAGAGAGAATTAAGAGCCAAGGGAATCTTCACAGCTGAGACAGGTGATGCCACTATTAAAATGAGAGGAAATGCAAGGACAGAGTTGGATGCAGAAGGCAAGGGATGTATTTACTATTTGTGCCTGCAGAATCTAGCCATTAGCTCTTGGACCAATGTATTGATGCGTTCTTACCTGTCAGGTTTACATTTTACGACAGACAAGTGTACCGGTAGCAATGTACTGGGTGGCAGCCTCCACAGTCTCAGCAGGAGGAAGAATGAGAGCAGACAATGCAAAGATGGCAGGAAGTAGGATGGACAACGGCCTGGACAGACAGGTGTTGTGGAGGGCTAAGAAGAATGATAGGGTCGAGAGCACAAGAAACAGAAGACATAAGAGAAGTGACACGAGGACGAGTAGAAGACTAGGAAGGAAGGAAACACCAGGCAGGGAATCATGAAGACCCTCTGTTTCAGAACGCAGAGGAGCAGAAGTTGGGAAGTTGGTGGAGGTGTTTGGGTCCAAGGAACTGGAAATGGTTGTGGATCTGGGAAAGGTTGAGAAGTGGGACGCAGTACATGCTGAAGATAGAGGGAAGACGATGCACCTGGCATCTCGCCTTAGGGAAAAATAAACAATCACAATGTTTTAAATTAAGAATGGCTTCCTCAAACTTGTAGTGCACATGTGGGAGAAGGCAGGGTGGGAGTCACCACTATTGATGCAGTGAGCTCGGGAAGATGAGAACTCCTCAGAATGACCCGAGACTACACAAGGGACACAGACACCTCACTTGTGCACTTCAAAGACCATGTCCTAATCTCCAGCGCACATGGCAGAAGCAAGGAGAGGGGCTGTACTCCTGAACGTAGCATCTGGCACATGCAAGATTTATGAAAGACAGAAAGATCCACTATCAAATTGCTACAAATTTGCTACACAAGGGGGTCGAGTGAACGTATCAATCTGGAGGATAGAATGACATTAGGGCTTGAAGATATATTTAATATCCTTGTGGCAGTCTGAGGTCCCCATCACAAGTCATGATGTGGTGTGGGAGAATAACTGTGGCAATGCTGCCATTTAACCAGGCATTTTTTGAGATCCAAACTGGGGGTCTCACCAATGCAGGACACGTAGCCAGGTGGTCCGTTGCCTCTTGAGAAGGGGCTGCAACTACATGTTCCAGTTTGGGACATAAATGAGGTACATTGCATATTCAGATGCACGTTTCCATACAACAAAAGTTAATATATCGTAGTCAGCATAACTATTTTGTAATTACCAGATATGATAAGGATACAGCTTACAGGGATGACTATTTGTAACTAAAAATCTTGCCATACTATATTCTTAATTAATATCCCTTGTACCATAACAAATAGGTTTATTGTCTACTGTAATGCCAAAAAGAACATTTGAAGTCTGGACATTTACCTACCTTCCTTCCTCTTAGCTCTCAATGTTTTAAAAGTCCCCAGTACAACTCATATTATTTTAACAAAAGTCAAGGAGTTATAAAAATTTCATTACAAATAAAACTTCAATAGTATTTACTTCTCCATGTCTATTTTTCTTGCACATCCACTTATCACATATAGGATTGAGAAACCACTAATTAAATGTACACAACAAATAAGGCATTTACCTTATATATTTGATTGGTATACAAGTAAGAGGGAAAAAAAAATCTATACTACAGGTTCTAGGGCAGATTCATTGGCTAGGATTAAATTACGCTGAACACACAACAGCTTTGCTGCTGCTCTTCTCGCTCCAGCTGCTTGAGCAGGAGTCTGTGCACCTATAAAGTTACCAACAAACTCTCTGGCTGTATCGGTCTGAGGTGACGGCTTAGGTGCAGTGATAGCCAAGAGTTCTGCATATGTGAATGCATCTGGTGGAGACAGAAGGGGCACTAAGTTTGGAAGAAGTGCTGGTGGAGTGAGTGTAAGAAGAGTGTGGCTGTATGGGGCAGCTATCAACTCGTGCAGGATGTTCACAACCAGCTGGGATACAGGACTCACAACTCCAGCCCGACTAACCTTAAAAAAAAATATATATACACATGTAAAAATATACATGGGACTCGGTTATTATGTCTAAGACTAAGACCAAACCTCACATACTATATTTCAAGACTCTCCCCCCCCCCCCCCCACCTACCCATTCCCAATAAGTGAATAATGCATTGAGACAAAAGTCTCTAGGATGTCAGTAAGAAAAACCTTGACTGGTTACTGGAAAACCAAGGCAAGTGATGGTAGGATGCCACACACATAATGATGGTTACCAGTTCCTGCAACTGTATTGTGATGATGGGTGCTGTCACCTAGTGGCAGTTTGGGTAACCTTTGGTTGCTAACTAGTATTTAACAAAGTGAAAGCTGCATTTTTTGTTTTCCTTGCATTTTTATATTGTGGCTTAAGATTGACTCCAATGCCTCCATTCCCTGAACTATAACTGGCACAAGGTCAACAGGAGTCTGGTGGGTTCCGATATAGATTCTGGCCTGAGAAGCATCCAAGAGGTCAGTTGCTAGAAACAAATGACAAGTATCAATGGAGAGAAGAGATAAGGAAAAAAATAAAGAGGTAGGAAAGAGAAAGACATTAAGGATACAGCCATAGGATGTAATTGAAAAAATGACTTAATTAAACTATTGTTTCATTATTACCTGTGTCATGAGCATGAGTAGTGACTGAACAGCAACTAAGAGGGATGTTCCATCTTTGGTCAGCCCTGGAGTGCCCCTGGCAATAGCCAGGTCCATTGAGTGAAGTTGGAGGTTACACTCTAGATCCTCTAATTCCCTGTCATGATAAGTCCTCTTTCTGTTGACCCCACCTATCACAGTCACAGATGCTGCTGCTGCCTGAAAAGTTTGTAAAAAAAATTAAAATTTAATAAATGTACAAAATAGGTAAAGATTAATGAAGAGCTCAATAACAGTGTGAATTTTTATTCTCTCTTTTATGACCCATGTTCCACTTTTATATGGTGGATATCTCCAGTAGATTTAAGACAGTGGAGTTTTGCTGGGTTGCCAGCCATATTAGCATGTCCTTAAATGAGCTTGTGACGCTGTTGCTAAGCAGACTATCTGCACTTGTCCCCTCTCCCTTAAAGGTATCCCCTATTATGACTTCTACATAGTTATCCATTCCTCAACCCTTGCCCATTGGCAGGGTCGTTGGTCTTCTGTTACTAGTAACAAACTGCGTGCTCTTAAGAGTAGTGTATCCCCATGGCCCAATCTCCAATATATATAAATACCAATATATGGTATATATGTATCTATGACCAATACTGTATATGTATCCCCAATATATGGTAAATACTGATACCTTAATTACTGTTTTATAAACACTAACCTCAGACTTGACTGGGGCTTGCTGGACAGCTAACCATGCTGATATAATCATCATGACAGTCAGACGAGACAGCGCTTCTGTACGTTGTTTGCTTATTAACTCCCCCATATATATAAAATATATATATATAAATATATATATATATATATATATATATATAATATATATATCTCCATAAAAAACATTAAAACATTCATTTTTAACAAGTGAAAATAATACACTTAAATTACCTGAAGAATTCCCCTCATTGTTACCTGGGACAGATTTCTCAGGTGATCCAAAAAATTTGTTTGATGGTTATGTTATAATTTAATTGAAAATGCCTCAATATCTATTGTTCTTATGTAAGTATACTTTAAGGCTTTGAGTATTTTATTTGAAAAGCACTTTTTTGAACAGTATACAGTACATAACAAAGGTAAGATCCTACAAATTGCTGATTAGAATGTGGTGCAGTTAGGAAAACAGAAAAACTGGAATGGTAAGAACAAACCGTCTCCTACCATTGGTGCCAGTAGACAAAATATGGCCACCACAAAAGCATCATAATCAAGGTTATGGGGCAGCAGATAGGGAGTTTGTAGTTCCAAGCAAATACGTACATTCAAATCGACTCGAGGGATTGAGTATTTTCCAGGATCTTCCAAGCACCAGAATGACCCAGTGTAGACAAGTTTGAAATGTTCCCTGCTGTACCAGAGCGAAATGTTGACCTGCTCTGACTGCCAAATCCTAATCAGGAATTGGTACGATCTTGTCTTAGGAAGCAACCGAGTGGAAAATCTTGGGTAATAATGCAAGTACGGAACTTATATTTACAAGCAAATATACATCATATCAATGTACTAAGGCTATATTAATTTACCAGTAGCTAGCAAAAAGCAATCAGTTTATTGACAAAATATACAACTACTTAGATCTTACCTGAACAAGGCCCAGATATATACATGGGTAGAGCATGTACCAATAAGCTTAGTGTACAACCCACTACATCTTGATGTAGGAGACCATAAATTATGTCCATTCCACGAGTCAGGTCAGAATGAAAGACACTATGCATACCAGCCTGTAAATAAATAACTAATTACAGCTATGAACAAAGTGAAGTGATCATATCTTAAATTTATGAAACTCACAAGGTTCTTTCTTATTTCTCTTAGAGGTCTATTTTATATATTCAGTATAATTTTCTTTTTCATCTTCACTAAATTTAGCTTCATCAAGGATATCTACAGATTAGGACAATAGGCAAGACAACAAACCACCATATTTTAGGTTAAAAGAAACTCTAGGAAGAAATTCATTTTGTGCTCCTGCTAGGCAGACTGAAATGTATAACCAAGGAAGGCTAACAAAAACACTAAGAATGTACTAACCTTAATGAGATCGCAGACGAACCACCTCGTGCCTCCTAAGCGGAGAAGATCCCTGAAAGTGGCTAAAGCCTGGTGTGAAATAATGCCACTGGGAAATACTTGGTTCCAAGTTTCTCTTAAGAGATGAGAAAGTGGCTCTTGGGAGGACAAGAGAGTGTGAGAGTTGTTCTCTCCTGGACTACTGTTGCCACTTCTGTTATTGAAAAATATAATTTAAGTCAATATTTAACTGACTTTACAGGAAAAAATATGTATCACAAATTAAACATTTTAATAAACATTTCATCAGAAATTTTGAGCAAAAAAAAATTTAAATATTAATAGTGTCAGTTATATGGAAGGAATGATGCAAGTCAAGATGGATAAAAGTATTTCCAATACTGTATGGATGGATGTATTTGCAATACTGTATGGATAAATGTATTTGCAAGCCAAGATGGATAAAAATGACATGAATAAAGTGAGGCCCTACAAACCTGGTTATATTTTAAGGGGTGTTTAAAGAACATGCAGTATATTAGTAGTGTAAAATTACCATGTACTGTTATCACTAAATCACAAAGAAAAGTGGTTTTTGGATGTCATTGCTTAGCACAAAATAATAAGGAATCTTTCTTATGATAAAGAAAATGAGTCATGTTTACACAAAGAGGCTGTGTTTGTTTTAAAGCACAGACTGACAAATATGAAATTATTCTAATCATCTTCACGATGGGGTATCAGACTTACTTACATTGTTCTTTAACATACCTATTACTGTTTGCAGAGTTTGATAGTGAATGGACTCCCCCTTTCATAACCTGCACCATATTCTCCACAATCTGTACCATCAGTGTTGACCTGATCACAAAGTATACAGTAGTAGTGTATTTGCATAACAAATGCATGGTATTTGAAGGACAAAATAAATCATAACTAGTTAACTAATATTCCCTATAGCACGGTATGACCAAAACAAAACAAATGGCGGCACTTGCGTATGCTCAAATATTTCAACATTTTTATTACCTGTCTTTAAAGTTGTCAAGGGTAGGTATAGATGGATCATGATCACCAAGAGAGGTATGTAAATAATGCAGAAAACTAAGGGGCTCAACTGCTTGCTCTGCATCCACAACCTGTAATGAAATTACAAGTTTCATGTACTCTGCCTGCAACTTTGTTACCAAAATAATATGGCAGTACCCTAATTATAAAGCAAATTTTATATATGTTTAATTTCCTCTGATGGGTAGCATATAAATATATATTTTTTGTTGTCAAACTATAAAATACAAATAAGTGTAATGTCTCCCAGACATTACACTCATCTGTGAATGTGAGCTTCACATACACCACCCATTTAGATATTGTGTCATAATTATTGTGCACGATAATTGCCTGTCCCATTGACAGTGCCATTGTGATTTATTGCACATCATCATTACCCGAGTATCTGGTTGGAACTCCTGTGACCCCTTTGCACACCGGCAGTTAGGTTTGCTGTGTTAATGATTGGCTGTCAATCGTGTTAAGTTAGGTGTTTCTCCACGAGTGGATCCGAATCGATTAGTCAGACGTCAAGAGTCTCGCTAATGCAACCATAGCCTTTCTGACGTCAATCTAAAGTAAATCAAACACTCTTTGTATTAGTGGTTAAATTGTAAATAAACTACTGTTAAGCTTTATGCAGTGTTTCTGTTGAACCACTTCTGAATACTGCCAACTATTACTCAAGCCATCAGCTCCAGGTGTCTTCAACACCGAGTTGCCTATTATTCACTGATCTATCAATGTGAAGAGGACCCTAGAAGTCCCTTAAAGTGTTTCAAACATTGAGGAGATTCTTATGACCAACATGGATCAGGACCAGGTGAGGCTAGTCTGAGAAGAGACCCTCAAGGACTAACTCGACCTTGCTCCTAGGCCCTGTACGGTTGCTCTCGTATTTTCTCTGCTGGATTCCGACAGCTTCGTGAAACGTCTGCCATATGTACATTGGTGACGTACGCATTGCAGTCAGGAAAGGAAAATAGAAAACCCCACATCATATTTCTTGTTCGGCAGAATTCACAGTACTGTATCCTAATTACTATTCGGATTAAAAGGTAAAAATGGGTTAAAAAGTGGAATGTGAATTCGTTCCGAATACTCTGAGATTCGGCTTACCTGAATCTGAATTACAGAGCTCTTACAGTACAGGATTACAGCAAACTTTTTTTTTAACTCGCCTGAACATGGGAACAAAGCCACGTGACCACACAAATAGGGAGACAGCAAAGGTGATATCGAAGTCGGTCGAGGAGTTCCTTAACATGCTGTACTGGAAGTGCTCCTTGTTGTGCAGCACTCACCACCTCCCTGAGTGCCACAGTTGCTATTTGGCACACGTCACTCCATCTAACCATACTGTGGATAAACCATTATACGAGGTAATGTAATACAAAATGCTAAAAATGGCTATCAGACTGATATTCAAGTCTACTGTACAGCATAAGAATGTGAAGCAGAACAGCATGACCATTCAAGTGCAAGAGTGATATGAGGCCATGAAGTGAATGAACAAAATGTACTACTGAATAATAGACAATATTTAAACACACACAATGTAAGTGGTTGGTGTGAAGAATGGAGTAATTAAATGCTAAGGAAAAGGGAAAAAAAATGTTTTGAGAAAACATTCACTTTACCACAAAGCAAACAGGAAAACTTTCTTGTCCAACTACTTGGGGTGGACGGTAGAGCGACGGTTTCGCTTCACGCTGGTCGGCGTTCAATCCCTGACCGTCCAAATGGTTGGGCACCATACCTTTCCCCGGTCCCATTCCAAATCCTTATCCTGACCCTTTCCAAGTGCTATATAGTGGTAATGGTTTGGCACTTTCCCCTGATAGTTCCCTTCCTGCCTTACTTGAATTCTAATGAATAATTACCTATACTTATTTCAATATCTAAGACCTGCTGATAAATACTACAGTTTACCTGGATGATACAAAAAAGCTTGACAAAATATACTCTGAGAAATAAAGTTATAATTAGATAATAGGGAGGTAATAGTAATTAATGCAAGAATTTGAGCTCTGACAAACTATCACGTGTAGTTAGTGTGTTGAATGAATGAAACAAAGCTGCCAAAAAAATTACAAAGTTCACTTTTGCAAACAGTGTTAGACAGTTGTAACAAGTCGAGTTCCAAATGTATTTGGAAGACAGGACACGAGCATAGCTCTCATCCTGTCATCACTTGGGTAATTATGAGGCAATGAAATGGCTGAAAGAGCAATGTGGAAGTTGTGCTTGTATGGAGGCACTAGTTTCCTATGGTATCCTACCAAGTGTGTCGAGTGTCAATGCAAATATTTTAAAACCCTTTCCTATTATATCTTCCTTTTCTCTAGTATTTGCCACTCCACCTCCAAGCAAGAGGGAAATGGAATAGAGAGATAAAACACAAAGCAATTAGAAAACACACTTGTACTTCATGTCAAGCTCCGAAATATTGACTTCTCTAATGAATTCTTCTACAGCATTCTGGTCAGTGCGAATAGTCATCAATGGAGCTTTGACACGACCTAGCTCTGGCATATTCTCTTTCATCCATTGCTCCACAAAGGTTTCACATTTTTCTGACACTACAACCTGAAAAGAAATTAACTTTGAATACTTATGTAAAAATAATAATTTATTAATATTAAGTAATATTTAATGAGAAATTTAAAATCTTCTCCCAATGTTCCATTTAAAAAATAATTCTGTAAATCATTCCAATACATTCATCTGCCAAATAAATATAAACACAAGCACGCACACACACACACTACGAATATACAAAATAGTAACAGGAATCAACAAAATTGACATAGGAATTCTTGAGACCTGCAACTTCAAGAAGAAGAGGTCATTGATTCAAGCTAAGGAAACAAAGATGCCAAAAAATATTTGCTAACAGGGTGGAAGTAGTTAAGCAAGAAGGCATATGACAAATCATACTGGAAAGATGGGACACCACGTGCGTAACTCTCAACCTGTAACTACACACTACTGTATTTCCATATTGTACACTCCCTCCACACACGCACACAAACACACATACTTTGCTTGTATTTTATATTACATCTCAATATTCATCGGTTACATAACTGGCACCTTTCACTATTCATTCCAGTACAACTATAAAAGTTAATTTTACTGATTATCATTGAAGAATATCTTAAAATCTTAAGAAATCATAGAAGAAAATATGGAATTAAAACATCATATAGCTCTGGAACCCTTGACTTTACATTTCATCAGGATCACTGGTTTTCTGGAGACAGAACTCCAAATAATCATCCTTATACATCATCTTGATAGACTGAACTTTACCTCACCCCATCTCCTCTCCAGTGCCTTTTGAATATCCAAGACACAGACAATGCTACATAGTTTTTCTGGCTTGGTACCTTTTAATAATTACTGACTTGCTTCCCCTTTCCAGCCAGGTGACAGTTTCATTTACGTTACTTATCTAGATAGGAACCCAGGGTTAGCTGGTTAGTTGTGCCTGTCCATAATGCAAGCCATAGCTTACAAAACTTTGACAGCCTTGCTCACAATTATTAATATATTTTTAATATCATACATAAATACTATATACAGTACTATATTCTTTTCTTATATATTCTGCTTAATTTTACACACACACACACACACAAATACAAGGTATTCCACACTTACATCAATGCCATATAACTGTACTATATGGCATAGCAGAAGAAAGGATATATCAAACATAAGTGCACGGTTGATGGCCATTTTCGTAGTTTCACCAGGCTGTGGGTCCTGTGGACAGCAAAATGAAGACGAAAAATACAAATGAAATATCCCACACATTACATTTCCATTATTAATGTATCAAAGAAATCAAACAAAATGTCCAAATTTCAAAATAACTCACCATACTTAGCTCATTGAATTTAACAAATTTCTGAGCAAATATATGTAAGCTGCCAGAGGCTGCAGCAGCTGCCAGGAGGAGGTCTCTGCTCTTGCCATTGATAAGGAGATTCATTACAGGTAACACTGATTCCTGAAATATAATTTAACTGTTCACAACTCAAATTACAGGCTAAAATTTAAATGTGAATCTCTCTCCAAGCAAAATGATCATACACCATTATGCATGCATGTTTTGTGGAGGTACTTATTATGGAAGGTACTAACATGGAAAGAAAATAAATTTAGTTATGTGAAAAGCAAGCCTACAGAAAGTATGAAGGTAAGGTAATTATGAGGTGAAAGCACTGAGTCAGTGTGACTATACAGCATTTGGAAGTGTGGTGGTGCTAAACTTTAATACAACGAAAGGAATGCACATGACAAAACAGCAAAAAAAAAAAAAATTGACAAATTTTACTCCACTTCTTAGTGGAGAAACAGAATATACTTAGTACAAACAGAATATACATTATCATTATCCTGTTTCCCACTTATGGGGTGGGAAGGTATCTGACAGGCAAAAAAAAAAAAAAAAAAAAGGCAAAAGTTTTAGATAGTCAATTCAAAAATTTAAAATATCACTCAGTCAGTATGTGATATATCCACAAAATGTACAGTAATACGATGGCTAGCCAAGCACTGCTACCACTCTGGCAGTTATCTACAGCAAAACCCTCATTGCTTCATTAAGACAGTGTAGAGTGCTCCTCATCAATTGTCATATATAGCATACAATTTGCTCCCCTTCCTGCAAGCCAATTCACTCAGCCTTGTCCCTTACCGTATCTCATGCATTATATATACTCGCACCCAGTTTCCTCACACAACTCTGTCACCATGTATACCCATCTTCTTGACCTTTCTCTATCCAACTTTATTCAAATGCATTAGTATATTTTCTCTTCACAAGTACAATACAGTATATCTTCCTTCGGTTACACATTCCCAAACTACTTAAAAACTCTTCAATATTAAAATTTAATGAACAAATGAGTTTGGGGGGATATTAATAGGAACTGCCTCATATGGGCCAATAGACCTTCTGCAATTTTGCATATATCATATATCAAGTATAATTTGATATATGTGCATATATCAAATCTAACATTCTCAGATTAGCTATGAATAGGTCTGCAACCCTCTTTAGGACACTTACTTTTATCTTCTGAATAATCCATTCATGTTACCACAGTTCTGCTGTATATACATCACATGAACATCACTACACCTATGTGAATATTAAATCACTCATTACTGCATTAACTGTTACGCATACACTACTTCCAATAAACAAACATTACACAGTGTTTAACAAAACTCAACCAACTACTGTATATGTGTAAAGTGCAGATAGTGCCAATGTTTGTTGCATTGGTTCTAAACTCCATCACATTAATTTTAAATAATCATTGCCCCATGTTGACCAAACCACACACTAGAAGGTGAAGGGACGACGACGTTTTGGTCCATCCTGGACCATTCTCAAGTCGATTGTCACAATCGACATTTTCACAATTGACTTGAGAATGGTCCAGGACGGACCGAAATGTTGTCGTCCCTTCACCTTCTAGTGCGTGGTCTGGTCAACATATTTCTGCCATGTTTTTGTGATGCCTCGTCTGCATCATTGCCCCATACCCCATTCTTTTCTTAACAGGCACTTCCTTTCTTCTTTCTCTTGTTCTTATAATACTTACCTGATTTTTATTACTTAAGGTCTTCAAGATGCTGGTGACGGTGGGCTGTGCACGGAGGACAAGATTTGGGGTGCCTGGATGGGATCCCTGGGCATCATTATTTTGGATGTTGGCCAGGACATTTGATTCTTGAACTCTGCAAGAGACATACATTAGTTATTCATATGCAACGTTTTTGTACCACTATAGCTGAAAACATTAATAATCAAATAAAAATCAATCTCAGAACTAGCCATCAACCTCACTGCTATGATGGCTTGAGCATCTCTCTCCGATATAAGGCTTGTTTTATTGACAAGCTCATTTAGGAGGTACTCCAAACAATTGCAATTGACACGTAAGTCAACTTGGTCCAGGAGCAGCGTCAGTTGAGACAGGTGTTGCACAGCTGTCAACAAGTCCTCAGATTCTCCACTGGTGGCTTCCCCTGCAAATAAAGAAAAAGTATTGAGCTTTCTAAACAAAAACTAAACACTTTCACTAAACACACTTTCTAAACCGGTCTTGCAGTTGTTCCCAAACCAAAGTCATCATTGTCAGAATCTTATCTCCTGCCAGCCTTCCGTTGACCTTGTCCCACACCATGATAAGTCACACTGCAGACAGTTTTATCAAGGTTTATAAAGAAAGAAAGGTAGTGGAAAGTCTAACATTAGCTATTGCTGAGGGACAAGACTGCTAAAAAGATATGCAAATTATTGTCTTGTTAGCTGCAGTACTTATTAAGAAACCAAGTTACCAGATGACAGCACATACCATTATAACAGTGTCAAAGTCAGCAACCTCTCTTTAAGCCAGACCATCCAAGCAAGCTCTGGAGAAAGAGATCAAAATGTTGGAAATGGAAGCATCCAGGGGTTTGGCTCAGAAAGGAGTGTAAGTGTGAATCCCTTGGAGTGACTCCTGAGCCATCTCCCAACACTGAACAAAGCTATGCAAGCTAGATAAAAGGAATGAAGAAAAACAGGGCACGTATGTTATCCAAACATGAAGTGCATGGTCCAAATGAATGGAAGTTAAACCAGAGAAGAGACCAAAGGTACCCATAGCTGCCCATCATCAGATGCAGCCCAAGGCAAGACACATTAGTGAAGTAGCAAACTGCCAACATATAATTTGACCTCTAGAAACCATGGTCCAAATGTCAAAGCTTAACTACCTGGTGGTGAAGCTATGATAGGTATACTGTGGAATATAGCCAAGGTGTATGGATTTGAAGAGCAGCAGCTGAATGAGAAGCACAGATACTTGCACAACTAGGACAGAGGGTATGATGAATATCAGGGCAGAGGAACCAAGCCAGAATAGGAAAGACAATGATGAAAAGTATGTAAATCATTCATAGCTAAGAAATGAAGTTATAGCCACTGACCAAAACCATCAGGGAGCAAAGCCTTCAGACTTACATCCTCCAAAGGCGGCAAAACCCAAAATCAACAAGGACAAATTTCTAGAACAATGTCTTGTAGACCATAAATGCTTTCTAAAGAGTATGAGAAGGATGAAGAAAAATTACAACCCAACTTAGGAATAGGAGTGTTGTGCATGAGGTAGAGCTCAGGGAATAACCATGGAAGAAAATGTCATGAACACTGCCACAGATGAATGAAGACAATTGAAGTACAAGAAAACAAAGCCAGAAACCAGTGATTGGTTTAGTGATGGCTGGTGACAAAGCCTCAGCACATGCCAGAAACATCTGCTTGAAAACAACATCAAACAGCACCTGGGAAGGTAATCCTGAAACACAGTCATGTCAGATATCTTTAGCCAGTACATAACTAATTATATATGCTGAAAGTCAAATTGTAAAACATGGACAAATCCCCTGTGCTGAAATAGCAGCATCAATGGAAAAACTAGTAAGATGTAGAATGAAGCACTATGGTTGGAAGATGCTAGGCACAAAGTGAAATTGTCAGCTTTTCCAACCCTGTTGATGTGTAAGGTGCTACTACCTGGTGGTGTGAGGAGCATGTAGTTTTATAATAGCAGTTGGTGCAGTAGTGAAAAAAAGGCATTCTTTGTGATAATTAGAACATACAGAGGTTGCTGAGGGTATTGCTCACTTTTTGGTGTAATAGTGAGCTGGCCTCCTCTGTGGTGGCAATTAGAGAAATTCCTGCAAGAAGTGCGAGACCAACAGTTATAGTGGATAAATGGGCCTGAGGGTTGCTTCAAGCAGTAGGCTGTGGGACTAAGTTATCACAAGTCGAGCCTGGGCCCCAGGCCAGGCATGGGGAGTAGAACTCTTGGAACCCTCCCCAGGGTTCCAAGATATTTGAACCCTTGCAATAACTCTCCAGGGTTATCTCCAGATAACACACAACACACTATCTCCCTTACCCTATATATCTCTAGTAAGACCATTTGCAAAAATCTTTGTCAGATTAGAGCAGCAGCATCACAAAAGTGTAGTGTGGGGATACAAGTAATAGTGGACCATAATGGATTATGCTCAGAAGCACCCAAGGTCTTTCAGTTCTGAAAATATATAGCCGAATTACTGTATTACCAGCATAATAGCAAGTGAAAAATACCTCTGGCTAGGTTGCTCATTATCCAAATGTCATTAAATCATGGTTATTTTATAGAACAAAGTCTTGCACCTAACTGTCAGAATTGAATTGGTAAAGGGGTAATTTATGCACCAGATATAAATGGGTAGGAGGCAGTGCATAAACAACTAATATCACTCATTCACCTGTAGCCACTGATAGATAAGCACCTATTAGTACAGTATTTTAGGTACCGCTCGTATTTTCTCCCTTCACACCAATGATTTTTAATACAGTTCTAAAATCTGTCACTATGGAGCAACCTGGCCCAGTAACAATCAGGAGCTTTCTTGCACCACTTTACACAAGTCTTAAAAGGTTTAAAGCCAATATATGAAGGAGTTCTCCAGATATCACATACAGTACATTTTTTAAAGATAAAACATGACAATAACAGTTAACATCTTCATAAACTCACCACTAAGAATAACATGAATAGTGTACAAAATGGAAGGAACTTTTATAAACGTGAAGCCAACCCATTTAAGCTCTTGATAGGGATGGTATTCTGGACAACTCAACCCCAAAAAACTGTTCCTCAAAAGCTCCAGATAAAGCTCCATGGTGCTCAGTCCCTGAAAAGAAAGGAAAATATGCATGAGGCTACACTCCCGGTTCCAGTTCCCAGTTCAGCATAAGGTGCTTCATGTAGCTGAAGTACACACAAACATCAAGTATAAAAGACGAAAAAAACATTGGTTATATATCCAGTTAAATATAATTATACTTAAGTATATTGATGCATTCATAATGGCACATATTTAAAGGTGTGTGTGGAAGACTGGACACAAACATGTATAAAACTACCTTAAAAAACTATAAAACTTTACAAAACTACCTTATGTGCTCAATTGCCTAGTTGCCTTTTTAAGGTATAAAACAAACCAAAGAAAATTTGCAGCTTTGTGGAATGACAACTAGACAAATATATAGACAGTCAAAAGTATTGCCTTATATATTCTCATTCCACTGGTAACTGACAACAGTACACATGCGAGATCAAAATGGAATATAGTCATTGCTCTTTGAATTCTCTGTGGCATTTTTGGTTAATACAAAATCAAATTTTAGTATGAAAATAACAAGGATAAAAGGGAATACTGTAATAGATAATATTTATCATCAAAATATATGCAAGACAGGCAAAAATAGATACAAAAAGTTCAAAGTATCTCAAAATATTACACATTATATATATTACTCATGAAACATGAAAAACAGAGTTAAACAAGGTAAATAATACCTGGAGCTGTTGAAGGAGCAGCAACTGGTGGGCAAATGTGGATGCATCACGAGTGGTATGAGTTATTACCTCCAGCATTACGAGACTGTGCATAGCATGACATAATGGAGTGGTTCTGCTGTCAAACTTGTGCTTGTTATCAATGCTCTCCAAGGGTAGATAATCACGCAGTTGGCTGCATCAACAAATTAGCCATAAATAATATTCAGAAAATAAAATAATGTATTTATTCATTAGTTGTTAAATGTATGTTTTCCACAACCAAGTTAATATATACTTCCACACTAGCATTCACATCTTTATTTCCAAAATAAAAAGATAATATGACTGGAAAATTTCACTTACCAAACAGTCTTTATATGAATGTCCTTGTTCTCTACAATGGCACCAGCACCAGCTAACAAAGTCTCAACTTCTACCATTTTCTTTACACAGCTTCCCCAAGTTGCTAAACAATTAATGAAATGGGAGAGACAGATATAATTACATCACTTATATGAAGCACAATGAATGTTAATCAAATAGAATACCTCTACATCACAATTGTACAGTTGTTGGCATGACAACCCACACACTACAGCATAGACACGGGATGAAATCAAAAGTATGACTCACTGAAAAATGCACATCCGTGCACATACACAAATGGAAAAATGTAGTGCACTTAAGGAGCAGGTTGTGGAAGCAAAAACTATTCATAATTATAAAACTAGATATGACAGGGAAATAAGACCGGAGTTATTGCTATAAACAACCGATGGCTAGAAAGGGGGATCCAAGAGTTAATGCGCGATCCTGCAGGTACAAATAGGCGAGTACAATGAAAAATTAAAATTATGCTGTGCTACTGGAGCATAGAAACGTAATACTGCATAATTAAAATTTCTGAGATTAATATCATTCCATTAAATAATGTTCTCTGAAGTCTAGATCACTCTGGATGTTGCAACAATATAAGAATATGAATAATGTGAACGGCAATAATTAAGATACTGTTAGATGAATGCAAGATATAACTAAGGAGTGACCAACTGTTTTATATGTACTGTATTGTTAATAAATGGATGTCATTTTGAAAGTTGTTAACCTTTTCACACACACACATTCTGCTCTCCCATGTTTTCTTAGCAAATGCCTTCCCGACTCAAGTGAAAATGCAAAATGGGGTAATGTTAATACAGTGTATTAATAATGATTCTAATGATGGCATTGATGATGACACTAATAATATTTCAAAGGTGCAACTCTTACAAAAATATGATAAAATAAAGGTGAAGTAGTAAGTTATACTGTAAGTATTACAAATCTAAGAATCTAGATGTAACAACAATAGAAGACAGTTATTCTCACTTGGCTCTTCCCGCCGACCAATTTCCAGCATGCAGGTGAGGAAAGGACAATTTAGGATGTCCAGCATGATGGAAGCTACCAGGCTGAGATTAGTGGAGTGCTCTGGAGCATTGCGCAAATCTAGCAGTTGTTGTGTTGTCCATCCCATCACCTGTTGTTAACAAGATGTTAAAAGCAATATCTTAACAGGTTCTAAAACATCAATCTACAAGAGGTCCCAAATGAGCAACATAAAAAAGGTCCTAATCAACTTAACAAAACAGATTAACTTGCAAGAGGCAAGTTAATCTTGCCTCTACCAGGCTTCAACCTTGAGGCCTGGTCGAGGACTGGGCCGCAAGGATGCTAAGCCCCGAAACCATCAGAAGGTAACCACATGGCAAGAGGTCTCAAGATCAGTTTATGAGACTTCTGGTAGGATCAACTTCATTTTAGAGTAGGGGAGAGGCAAGTCATTTTGCTCTCTGTCCTGGTATACTGGGTCCAAGTGCAGTACCGTGTCCTAGTACACTCGCCCAAAGTATAGTTCTGTATCCCTAAAACTGCTTGTAATTCACAGGTACCAACACTGCAGCTGATGCACAAAAGCATGGCAGAAAAACTGGTGTTACCTAAAGAAAAGTGAAGAATGCATGACTGAGGAGACAATACAAACATGGCTTTGAACTTTTGTGAAACTACTTTCAGAGTTGTATCATTTGAATACTACCCCCCCCCCCTCCCCCACCACAATTAAGATGCCACTGTGTTTTGGGATAAGAATAATGTAGTCAAACAGATGTGACACAGCACTTCATTAAGAAAAATCAAAGCCCTCCCTTATAATCCTTAGAGGCCAAACGAGAGCTCTAAGAACATAAGAATAAAATACAGAAGGCCCATTGGCCCAAATGTGGCCATTCCTATTTAAATCCACCCAAACACATTCATATACTGTACATGTCTAACCTGCACTCAAACAATTCACCAAATGATTTGCCAAAGGCAGTGATTCTTTTATGTTTTCTGCTAGTTCAAAAGAACACTAACTTTGCATTAAATATGGATCCTACAATACAATTTCTTATTATGCAAGCCTATTTTCCATAATGGTGCAATTTGCACCTACATCCACTATATAAAAATCTTACAAATTTGAGGACCAATGTCATCAACATTAGGAGCACACTTTGTCATTCCAATACAAAACAATTAAATTTACCCGATATTTAGTTTTCATTATTTTTTACTTGTATAATATTGATTTTCATACTATATAAATTTTGTGCTATACAATATTCTATTATAAAAATGTCATAATATTAAAGAATATGAACCATACTCTGGAAGTTAAAACTAGCTTCCAGAGCTAAATATATTTCATGGGTGAAAAGGCTTCTTTTTTAAATTAAAGTTATAATAATTTTCAACACTCCTGCAAGTAATCAAATGATTACTGAGTGAGACTTTTAAAGTAAATACTCTACATTTTTAGCAATACAAGAAGAGAAGCAACCCACTGTAAATGTTTTTGCTACACCATTACACACAAGGTCTAATATACAGGTAGCACCAGCCAGCCAACTCCATCAACAACAGCAAAAGCCTGCATACCTCTACCAGTCACTTAAAACAATAGACATGGGCAACATACCTGCACCAGCCACTTGACCCCACCAACAACAGATGTAGCCAACATTAAGCAATCCTCGGGCTTTCCTCTGCATGACACACTTTTCTGTGAATGGCGCACATGTGAAGTGTGTCAACCTTCTTCAAAACTTTAATTAGCTTCAACAATAAATGATGCACTTAGTACAAGTGATTGATTTACATATTTAGTACTCAGTTTATGCTCCTAATCCCATCTCTCCCTTAAAAAGTACAAATTAATCAATTTCTGTTCCTCCACTGTTATTAATAATGTGCAATAAATTCAATTTAATACAAGTTTACCACATAATATTGAATGATACTGTATAATAATTTATGATGCATTAATCTGGGCCAACTTTTTTCCTAGCCATTCTTACCATAGACCTATTGATCTACGGAGAAAGTTAGTGCCCTCCACATTTAAACAATGTTAGAATTGAGACCATATTTCAGTTTAATAGGCAACTCTCAGGTTTACCAAGACTTTACTATGCTACTGCATAAAATAAAAATAAACCAAAGTTCAATCTAATGTTTTGTATTTTGTGCATAGTTATTATTTATATGCATACAAAATCCCTTTATATATACCTGTATATTATTATTTATCCAAAACAAAAATGTGTATTATATCATTAACAGTAAGAAAAATTGGTGATAAATACCTTAAAAAAATTATTAAAAAAAAATCATGTGAATCCAGATTAAGCCCAGAATGACGTACCTACTATAAATCTGAATTCTGGATGGTCCACTGTACTGTATTATACATACATCATTTAAATGTATAATTTATTAAAACTCTTGGTGCTGAAATTAATCCTATTAAACAGGGCTTCAAAATACACATCTCTATGCAAAGTTAGCCGTCTTCTCATACAGAGAAAAAATTTAACCCAATAATTAGCTTCCCACAGTTCATATGTTTGATCATGCAGTAGTTTTAAAATTCACTCCTGTATATACAGATTGCATTACGTATATTAACAGGTCGTCACCCTATCCTTATGTTTTCATAGAGCCCCTTACCATCATCGACTGCATCAGAGCGAGAAGAGCATGTACACAATGGGGCTTATGTAGGCCGTCATACTTGCTGATACTCTCAATCACACCACCAAAAGACACAATCTGAGAATAACAATACTGATTAGAAGATTATAAACAATATTTGCTGAAATTCACATCAATAACTTGTTAAATGCCCAAAATGCTATGTATGTTAGTGGCTTTGCAAGAATGTACAAATACCAATTTTATGTAATCTCACCAACCCATTGTACCTTCTTGTGAATGCAGTATTAGGTCACTATCTATAGTCAAGTCTGTTCAACAAATTTTTGACAAAAACTAATAAGCAAAATACAGTACAGTACTGTACTCCTATATGAACAAATACCTATACAGTATAATAGGGTAAAATATGAGTCTTTATTACTATTAAGAACAACCTGAAATAAAGATATCAAATTTTGTTTAGTCTATGAGTAATGGACATACAGTACAGTATTTAACTTTAAATTGATTTTATAGACAAAATATTTATCTTATTATGACCATTTCCCACAATCATAGGATGGGGAGTCATTGCCTGAAGAAAAAACCAAGCAGTGGAGCAATATAATGAAAGGTTATAAATATGAAAAATATAGCAATTGCCATTTAAGCAATACATGTAGTGCAGATAATATTTATTTGATCAGTACATTTTGAATTATCAAATGAATAACAAAGAAAAATGTATGATTTTAAGTTAAAGTGCACTGTTCACTGTTCACACAACCCCTGCTGCTCTTACACTCAACGCGCCCATCTTTCTCCCAGCCTTCCTCTCCCATTGCTACCCTCAAACACACTTGAATACTGTACTCTCTTCAAAAGTTGTACTATTCATACATTCGTTCTACATGCTTCAAACATCTCGGTACATGCTTTTTTAATTATTGAACATTTTTGTTCATAACTATTCTCCTAACACACCTATGGTTCTCAGATTATCCACTTCTACTGCTCTAATTCTTGATATTTCCTGATTTTACCTGACTTTCACACTCATACCACACCATCGTCTTACACCTGTAAATAATGGTAGAACAACACTCCACTGGCTGCATCTATTCTTATCTCTCTTTGTTTTCAGCTAGGTCTTTCATTGCATCAGCCCCTTTTCCCCATGATTCACTACTTTCAACTTCACTTGCACAAATACTGCATTTATCAATCATATCCAATTTTCCCTTTTTTTTGTTTTTATGCCTAGCAAAATATAGCACTATACAGACAAATAATATGATGGATATGACAATATTGAAAACAAGGGATGCCACACTAGTGATGGTACTCTTCAAAGCACAAGGCCATCTTGCATGGAATACAATATTGTTCAGTCCTCATATCCCCAATCAAGATGGCAAAACTACAGAGCCTGAAAATAAACAGATATCCTTTACTGCTTACACACAATCAGTGAAGCATTTAAACTACTGGGACTGCCTCAAAGCACTCAAACTATGCTTTCCATATGCTTGTAAGAGATGGAAAATACTGGAAAGTAAGGTTCCAAAACTTAACCAAATTACAACGTACTGGAGTGAGAGAAATGACAAGAAGTGTAATGAATAAACCACATTAAAAGTAGTGGTACCATCAGTACACACACTGTAAATATCAGAGGTCCATGACTTTTCAGCAACAACAAATGTAAGAAAATTAGTTGGAAAAGTAAAAGCTTTCAAGAGAGAGTGAGAGAGAGAGAACTTGAAAAGTTATTACTCAAGTTGTTGGACCAGCCTGGCTGTGATGGTTATTTTGGCCTGTGGGCCCAAATAGAAGAACTGTCAAAATCCTCAACAGGTAATCAAAAATTATCTTTTTATGTACTGTACCTCACATTTTACCTCACCCTCTCTTGTTCACTTTGTATCCATAAAATTCACTTTTTTCTTAATAACTCCCTAGCCACTTCACCATACCCAGCAGTTCTCATTACTGTACCAGGTAATTTGCAACTCAGCACATTTGCTTGCCAGTCTTAACAAAATATTCTTGTACACATTCCACACATCATAATCCAAGAAATCTTACATTTCTTAAACATAAAGGCAATCATCCAGAGAATATAAATGCAACTAACCTGAGAACTGAGTGAATGTCTAAGATACGAGAGAATGAGATTATTGGGCAGTGGTCCCATCAGAGCCTGCTGCAGAATATAATCAGCCAAGTGGTATATGTCACCACTCACAGCCCTTGGTAAAACCTGAAACATTTACCACTATAATAAAAATTTTGTTACCCTAATGTAATATTATATTTTCAGAACATTATATTATTATGTATATAATACTCAATATTTTACCCTTAACTTTCTCATCCAATTATTCTTCATCAAATTCACTGTTATTAATTCACTCAGATATACACAAACATGTTTCTTACGGTTTTTATATGGATTCCCCATTGTAAATCTGACCAGCGTTCCCGCCAAGCTCGGATCAAGAGTGAGCGGATGGTGCCAGCTTTACTGCTGGTCACTGGCTCAAGAACCATTTTGAAAGGCCAATTATGGCTACTTTAGTGAATAGTTCATGTATGGCAATACTGTATTTCTAGCTTGCACTCAAGTTAGATTTATAATCTGAAATACAGGACTAAAATATAATCATGCTCGATACAGTATTCAGTATTAGCAGTGACCTTAAAAATAAACAAAGTTATGTAACATGAAAAAAATATTCTTGCCAAAGGAAGATTACACACACTAAATTTGTGTGATACTTAAATTACACACACTACTGAGTTTAGTTTGAGAATGTTGAGACTTTAAAGGCCACAAACTGCATGGAGTATGTTCAGCATGTTTAGGAATTTAAACAGAAGGGTTGTGTGTTTGAAGACAGAGTTTGTTATAATTCTAAGAACAGATTCTTGCTGGGTGATGATGGGCTTCAGAAAATTTGCAGTGGTTGCACCCCATACACAGATACTATATGTTAGATAGGGATAAACTAGCGAGTTGTACTGTACAGTGAAATGAGAGCAGAGTGGGGAACATAATACAGTACAGCATCTGATTTTAGAGAGTATACCAACAGTTTTTGGTACTTTTTTTTTACTGTGTTGTATGTGGGTGGTGAAGTTTAGTCTCTATATGGGAGCCGGTCGGCTGAGCGGACAGCACACTGGACTTGTGATCCTGTGGTCCCGGGTTTGATCCCGGGCGCCGGCGAGAAACAATGGGCATTGTTTCTTTCACCCTATGCCCCTGTTACCTAGCAGTAAAATAGGTACCTGGGTGTTAGTCAGCTGTCACAGGCTGCTTCCTGGGGGTGGAGGCCTGGTCGAGGACCGGGCCGCGGGGACACTAAAACCCCGAAATCATCTCGAGATAACCTCTAGTTTATGTATTGGCTAAGGAACATTTCCATGCTAATGCTAATGTTAATATTTTCTATCTGAAGGTGAATTTGGTGTAATGATTTACTTTAAAATAAAATGTAGTAGGTCTTTTCTATGTTTAGTACGAGTTTGTTGGTCAACATCCATGAGTGGACTTTTTTAAATCCTTATTTGCAATATTATTTAGTGTATGTGGTTTGGGATCTGAAGAGATGAAGGTAGTATCATCAGCAAATAGTAGTAGTAGTAGTAGGGATCCATCAGTCTCAAAGACTATGGAGTTGCACATTTAAATATTGCAATCAGTATAGGTTTAAGAATGTTTAAGAGACATTTGGCAAATACTTGATGTATATAAGAGATAAAAAAAGGTCCCAAGATGCTGCCCTGTGGCACTCCTACAATTAATCGTAGAGTGGGGAGACATGTTATTGATGGCTACATAGTGGGGTCTGGCTGCTTGTAACTGACTTGCTACCACCATTTTAGTCCTTCCAGCAAAACAAAATGTGAATTTCAGCATCTAAATAAGACATTTGTGGACAGTCTTTAGTGCTAAGACCAGCTAGTAAATATTGAATATTTCTGGTCATTTCACACCCTTATCAATTTGACAGTCATTATCCTATCCTAAACTAACTAATCTTTTACTAAGAACTGTGCTGGCAGCAAGGAGGACTTTTCATTAATTTACTGGAAATGTATTGAGAGCTACTACGTCACTCGTGGCCTCGACAAGGAGAGGAAGCCGTGTCAAAAGTCATACCTGATGTTTTTATCGAGCTAGAGTTTAAAATTCAGCAGTATTTTGGCTTTGGTGGGCAGGCAGTTCCATAGGTTTATAATCCTATGGGTGACAAAGCATCTCCTGTTATGTCCTACATTGTTGGTAAGAATCATAAGGGTAATAAACTCATGGAACTGTCTAAACACAAATACAAAGACAAATTCACTTTAATATTCAGCTGGAAAAATATCGTAAGGAATAATGGGGTGTCTTTGATTAGCTGCTGGCTTCCAGTCCCCATCTAGGTCAGTAGATATACAGTAGTGGCTTTGAGGTAAATCCAGGTTAATAACCAACTTAATGTGCCAGAGACATATCAAAACATAAACCTATACCACCATACTCCAAACACAAATAAGGCTAGTTTGACCTTAGAGTATTATTAAGAAAATTACATGAAACAAAAGATAACTGTAGAGAAAAATATTTCCTTGCCAAGCTGCAGAAATTGTCAGCAAACCAAGTTGAAAAGATAATATAAATATCTTCCTTCTCTGGGGGAACTTAAGGTATATACTCACGCCGAGAGGCAATTACAAATTATTAGACCGAGTATACACATGACCAGGACAACCGAGAGTAGGGGGGGGTGTTCCTGTGATAAGCCGCCGGCTTCCTGTCCCCATGGAGGTCACTAGATGGTGTCCCTCAGGTAAAAGAAGTGTATGGCACAAGTGTCGGGAGGAGCGTGTGCCGACACCTCTCACTCACCACGGCTGTCAGGCCTCAACTGCTGAGGGACCAGACAGGATTGCCAGATCCAAATTGCTAAAAGTAGCGAGCTGACGGTCTAAAAGTAGCGAATTTGTAATAAGAGTAGCCCAATTTTTTGTTTAGTGACTGATACGGGTTTCAAAGTAATCTATTATGATATATAGAGCACATTAAACGATTATAATTGTTTTATTAACATTATCTCTGCATATTTAACCAATATGATAATAGGATAACTTACCAATATTTACTGTTTGAAGCTTAATGGGTGTGAAGTCCTTCCACGTCTTTACAGTTGAAGATTACCAAGATCTTGATCTGCATCCACAACCTCGTTCTTGTATATTGCAGACTCATATTTAAGCATTGACATGAGTGGTTCAAATGACGAGCAACAAGTTACATTTTCTTCAAGATATGTTTTGATTCTCAAGACTGATGTCAAAAGCTCAAGTCCCATTCCCATTCAAGATTTCTCAGTTTAGTTTTCACAGACGTTACTCTCGAAAATATCCGTTCAACCAGGGCATTACTGATTGGCAAGCTGAATATTTTCAACACAAACTCAGCGAGGTCAATCAGTATGGGATTGAAGTCAATCAGTATATCTGAAGTGTCGGAAATTTGACTCCTGAGTGTGATTTTTGAGCCGAATTCCGACTCTCTGCACCTATTTTCATTTTCAAATTACGACTTTTTATGCCGAAAATATGCCAATTACTGAAAACGGCGATGGGTCATATTTTGCCCAAACCCCCCTGCAGTTTTCAAAATATCGTAAATCTCCTAAATTTGACTCCTGAGCGTGATTTTTGAGCCGAATTCTGACTCTCTGCACCTATTTTAATTTTCAAACTACGACTTTTTATACCGAAAATATGCCAATTACTGAAAACGGCGAGGGGTCATATTTTGCCCAAACCCCCCTGCAGTTTTCAAAATATCTGAAATGTCGGAAATTTGACTCCTGAACGTGATTTTTGAGCCGAATTCCGACTCTCTGCACCTATTTTCATTTTCAAATTATGACTTTATTTCGAAAATATGCCAATTACTGAAAACGGCGAAGGGTCATATTTTGCCCAAACCCCCCTGCAGTTTTCAAAAAATCTGAAATGCCGGAAATTTGACTCCTGAGCGTGATTTTTTAGCCGAATTCTGACTCTCTGCACCTATTTTCATTGTCAAATTATGACTTTGTATACCGAAAATATGTCAATTACTGAAAACGGCGATGGGTCATATTTTGCCCAAACCCCCCTGTAGTTTTCAAAATATCTGAAATGTCGGAAATTTGACTCCTGAGCGTGATTTTTGAGCCGAATTCTGACTCTCTTCACCTATTTTCATTTTCAAATTACGAATTTTTATACCGAAAATATGCCAATTACTGAAAACGGCGATAGGTCATAATTTGTACGTACCCCCCTGCAGTTTTCGAAATGTCTGAAATGTCCAAAATTTGACCCCTGAGCGTGATTTTTGAGCCGAATTCTGACTCTCTGCACCAATTTTCATTTTCATATTACGAATTTTTATACCGAAAATATGCCAATTACTGTTTTTTATACCGAAAATATGCCAATTACTGAAAACGGCGATGGGTCATTGTTACGACCCTGGGTTCTCCAGTGGAAACCAGAGGTCAAAATTGAGCTATTAAACTTCCTGGTAGCACAGTTGGGCATCTAGAATGTCAATTGTTTGTATCTTCCCTGCCAGACGTAAGACTATTATTGTTTCTCAAAGAGCATTTAAAGACTGAGCTGGGGGTTGATTATTAAATAATAACATAGGCACCAACTTTGCTTACTAATACTTTCTAATCATTCATAAAGTAACAATACGTTGCATAGGGGAAGATCTTTAATGTGCTTAGCTGCACGATCAATTAGGCTCCTCCCGGCACCACGACATGAGGGAGGCAGCTGGTGGCTAGCTCGGTCTTCTCTTGGCTGGTGGCGTGAGGTTAAGACCTACTCTGTGGCTGTATCCCTACTCTCCTTCCTTCTCCTCTTACTTATTTCCCTTACCTGAAGTTCCTGTACCCTTAAGTTAAGTATTATATGGTGTAAGTGTGCCTACTCTGGTAGTAACGATTGGGGAGACCTGGGGATAGTATTTTGCCAGTGTTTGGGTACCCCTAAGTGTTGTGTTTTGTATTAGGGTCCCACGTGGTTTCACTACCCTAAGCTGCATCCAGCTTCAGTGCTTATCCAGTAGTACTTTACCCTAGCTTGTTATTAGTGTAAACCTTGTATCCTGCCTACGTGGACCAAGGCTTTTAACGTAAGATAGTGTGGTAAAGTTATTATTATTATTGTTATTGGTGTGAGTGTATATGGGGGGTTGTTAACGGGTTAATAAATAAGTACATGAATTACAGAGTATCTCTTCTTCCAAGGTGGGAGCGCAGTGATCAACCCTTAGACGAACATATTTGGTCTTGTAGCAAGTTATTACTACTGTGGATAGTTTATTTTGGGGGCCGGGCCTTTTAGCTCTCCCATATTTGATACTCCTGTCTTCTAACTACCTATACCCCTTAATAGTACCAGTACCCCATAGAAGCCCCACTCATATCAGTTGTAACAGTCATATTTTGCCCAAACCCCCCTGCAGTTTTCAAAATATCTGAAATGTCGGAAATTTGACTCCTGAGCGTGATTTTTGAGCCGAATTCTGACTCTTTGCACCTATTTTAATTTTCAAACTACGACTTTTTATACCGAAAATATGCCAATTACTGAAAACGGCGAGGGGTCATATTTTGCCCAAACCCCCCTGCAGTTTTCAAAATATCTGAAATGTCGGAAATTTCACTCCTGAGCGTGATTTTTGAGCCGAATTCCGACTCTCTGCACCTATTTTCATTTTCAAATTATGACTTTATTTCGAAAATATGCCAATTACTGAAAACGGCAAAGGGTCATATTTTGCCCAAACCCCCCTGCAGTTTTCAAAAAATATGAAATGCCGGAAATTTGACTCCTGAGCGTGATTTTTGAGCCGAATTCTGACTCTCTGCACCTCTTTTCATTTTCAAATTACGACCTTTTATGCCGAAAATATGCCAATTACTGAAAACGACGATGGGTCATATTTTGCCCAAACCCCCCTGTAGTTTTCAAAATATCTGAAATGTCGGAAATTTGACCCCTGAGCGTGATTTTTGAGCCGAATTCTGACTCTCTTCACTTATTTTCATTTTCAAATTACGAATTTTTATACCGAAAACATGCCAATTACTGAAAACGGCGATGGGTCATATTTTGGCCAAACCCCCCTGCATTTTTCAAAATATCTGAAATGTCCAAAATTTGACCCCTGAGCGTGATTTTTGAGCCGAATTCTGACTCTCTGCACCAATTTTCATTTTCATATTACGACTTTTTATACCGAAAATATGCCAATTACTGTTTTTTATACCGATATGTCAATTACTGAAAACGGCGATGGGTCATATTTTGCCCAAACCCCCCTGCAGTTTTCAAAATATCTGAAATGTCGGAAATTTGACTCCTGAGCGTGATTTTTGAGCCGAAACCTGACTCTCTTCATCTATTTTCATTTTCAAATTACGAATTTTTATACCGAAAATATGCCAATTACTGAAAACGGCGAGGGGTCATATTTTGCCCAAACACCCCTGCAGTTTTCAAAATATCGTAAATGTCCGAAATTTGACTCTTGAGCGTGATTTTTGAGCTGAATTCTGACTCTCTGCACCTATTTTCAGTTTCAAATTACGACGTTTCATACCGAAAATATGCCAATTACTGAAAACGGGGATGGGTCATATTTTGCCCAAACCCCCATGCAGTTTTTAAAATGTCTGAAATGTCGGAAATTTGACTCCTGAGCGTGATTTTTGAGCCGAATTCTAACTCTTCACTTATTTTCATTTTCAAATTACGAATTTTTATACCGAAAACATGCCAATTACTGAAAACGGCGATGGGTCATATTTTGGCCAAACCCCCCTGTAGTTTTCAAAATATCTGAAATGTCCAAAATTTGACCCCTGAGCGTGATTTTTGAGCCGAATTCTGACTCTCTGCACCAATTTTCATTTTCATATTACGACTTTTTATACCGAAAATATGCCAATTACGTTTTTTATACCGAAAATATGCCAATTACTGAAAACAGCGATGGGTCATATTTTGCCCAAACCCCCCTGCAGTTTTCAAAATATCTGAAATGTCGGAAATTTGACTCCTGAGCGTGGTTTTTGAGCCGAATTCCGACTCTCTGCACCTGTTACGGCCCTCTCGGGACGCAACGGGGTCCTTACTCTGATGTTGTTAGAGGAAGATATATGTATCCGTTCCCAAGCCAGTATTGGCTATCAAGGGATGAGATTCGTGACGCAAGTAACTTTAAAGGAAGTAGGGAAAGAAAGTTAAGAACTTAATATTATAATGTTCACCACCACCGATTAAATATATAGAATAAAAGAGTACACAAGGGGGAGGGGTATTAACACTTTACAGGGGGATTATGCACAATATAGTCTTCTGCTGAAGACTCTGGTGCCACAACTCTTGGTGCTTTCTTCGTGGCCTCACGACGTGTCCTCTGAGAATGCCGAGCCTACCCTGGCCACAGGTCAGCCAAAACACAGGTCCACTGGGGGCACCGCCGTGGAGGCCGTCAACCACACGTCCAGCTGGTCTGCTGGCAGGTACTGAGCCACCAAGGCTGGTACGGCCACTCCACGAACGATATAAGGGGTACGCCCTAGACAGGAGTCTCGTGTGATATCACAAATCACCCTCCTGTCCTCAATACCCCAGTGGATGATCGTCTCCAACAGTCGGTCCCGGGTAAATCCTTTTACTGCCTCTCCACTGGCAGGCTAACACACCACAGTGTTCTTCCGGGGGGACGACGTCACAACAGCTGCAGCAAACTTCACAGTATGGATTCAGATTCAGATTCAGATTCAGATGTTTATTCAGGT